CCCATCGAGTTCGCATTTGCTGACATCTTGGTCCTTTGCCTTAAGTGTCTTGAGTATTCAAGTCAGGTCGAGGGTTTGGGCTCGCAATCTCATGAAGGGGATGGCATATTACAATTAATATAAGATGCTCTGACTCATAATGTTCCCTACGCTATACGAAGCCTGGACAATGTGGGCACCCCCCTTCAAGTATCACCAAAGTTCTGGCTTCACGCGCAGACATTGTAGCTCGGCCGTTGCTCTCGAATATTTCTTTCCATGGTTCTATGGGCTGTGCTGTTTCGAGGTACTTCGCCATGATTCGCTCACCTGGCTCCCGTGTCCGAGCTACCGCTGCTCCTGCATCACAAATCGTTCTACCGCAACAAGCAACTGCGCCCAGGAGCCTGGCGGTGAGTTTAACTTAGAATAAGCCATCAGGCGGGACAGGTAAAAGGCTATCGACTGTACATTCCACACATCGACTGCGTCGTTGAAGAGATGTGCACTTCATGGAGGACGAGCTGTACAACTAACCGTTAATGTCGGGACGGCGATGGCTGCGGGGGCTGTGCCGACCAACAACTACACCGGGTGTAATCCACCCAGCGAGAGCGATGTCGACAGGGAAAATGGCAATGACTCCGCACCATCACACCTCTCCTATTCAAGACAGCGTGACCGCCATGCTTCGGTCGACGCCGACAGAGTGTTTCTCGCCCTAGGAGGTTCGTCACCATTGACGTCGAGCTCGCCACTGGCAGAAAGGAGGTTGTCGTGGACTTCCGGCCAGCTTAACAGCCGACATCGAAGGGGACCAATTCGGAACTCAAGGACAAAGCCGATCTCCTGAGCAAAGCATGCCCGTGGCGTCGATCTTGTCGCTGCTATTGTGGTGTCCACCATCCTCATTGCTCGCAAGCTCCTTATGCTCTGCTGCATAAAAACTTTGGGGGGGGGGGGTACCTACCCGAATGCATGGAGGACGCCATTTACTTCCTGTGTGGCATCTCAATGAGCAACGGGAAAGGGCGCGCGACTTTGCGGTTGTCCAGCTAAACAACCAAGCTGACTGCTGGCCGTATGCCCAACTTGTCAATGACGACATCTGCCTTGCCGCTAGCCAGATCTTGCGCAGCGCAGATGGGCAATTGCTGGAGCCATTGTCATTGGCGGAAGCAAAGCGCCGGGAGGATTCCCCGCGATGAAGGCAGCAATGTCCATTGAGATGCAATCGATGCACCACATGTAGGTCTGGGACAGTGTCGATTCCTGAGGGAATTTAAGTGCTGGGAGTCAAATGGGGTTTCAAACTCAATTTAAACGAGCTGTGCAGGGTACCAAGATTCAAAGCCAGGCTCATAACCCAGGGCTTACGTCAACTCCACAGCATCGATTTCGAAAACACATTCTCACCCGCCACCCGGAACCAGACCATACGCATCGGCCTCGCCTTCGCTCGCCACTGCGGCCAGCATGTCCATCAGCTGGATATCGAAAGCGCCTTCCTCAATGGCAAGATTGAGGAGGACACCTACACCCAGATCGTACCCGAGTGCTAGACCGCTGACACTGTGGGTAAATGCACTGTATAAGCTCAGCAGGCGACCTACAGGCTGCGTCAGGCGGGCCGCCTCTGGAATCAGGAATTGGGTCAGCGATAGCAGAACTTCGGCTGCCGCCGGTAGTCAAGTGAACCATGCGTCCACATACGAGGGAAGGACGGTGCGACGATCATCAGTTTCGTCTGTGTCGTTGATCTGCTTGTACTGGGAGCAAAGAAGAGTCGCATCGAGTCGGCGAAACAACTTCGCTCGGATTTCTCGCGCACCAACGAGCCGATCGACTTCAACATCAGCATCGATGCTTACTACTCAGCAGCAGACCGGACATCCTTGCTAAGCCAAGCGGCTTACCCCTCTGGTGTGCTTGAGAAAATACGGCATCGTTGAAGGCAGCAGTACCAGAGCGGGGACAACGCCAGAACTCGATGACCATATCATGACTGGTGACCAAGGCCGCGATGCTCGAGGATGATGTAACATCGCGAATTACGAACTTCTTTTTATCGTAATCCATCAATATGTTGCGGATCTTCAATGCAAGGTATGGTTTGTAGTGGGACCTATTGAGGTTAATCGTCTGTACTCGAGTTGATTCTGCACCCTTGTAATATGTTGGGGAACGCGAGCTAGATCGAGTTGTGATCAGCTTAAGGATACAGCAGGGTATGCAGCGCAGCGTCAATCATGCACATTTACAGCTTACGAGAGAAACGCATGGGACAGAGCTTCCTTAGGGCTAATCCTTTTGGCGGGATCTAATTCTAGCATGCGTTCCAGCAGATCGACGAATTGTTTGAGCAGCCGAAGCTCATCGCCGGGAATTCTTGCATTGGTCGCTGGGAGCAACTTTGCCTTCAAGCCTTGCTTAGGGCCAGCGATTGTGATGCGCTTGACGATAGGCTAGAGACCAGTGACAGACAATGTGAGTAGGAGGAACCGGCTAATCGCACGTGTAATAGGTGCCTACCTGGCCACTGGTCTTGTCAACGTCGTTCAGCAGGAAGGAATTCGTGTTATCAAAGTAAGCTGGGCCGAATGTACCACGTCGCGCCTGTTTGGCTGTAAATTTTCCTTTCAATTCCTGCATTAGAAGTAGCATTTGGTTGTTGCTGCGTCCAGGAAAAAGAATTTTACCGGTATATAGCTCAAACAAGGTACATCCGATGGACCACATGTCAATTGCGCAATCGTACGGCTGGCCAAGGACTTCAAGAGCAAATTCAACATCACCACGCAACCTACCAGCAGCACACAGAAATTAGACTCACTGATTTCTGGAGCTCTGTAGAACCGACTGACGAGGTAGGGCGTAATTTCCGTTTCGCTCGTGTCCGAAGCTGAACCCAAGTCGCAGACTTTGAGGATGGTTTTCGCATCGTTCACCTATTGCAAAGCATAAGTGAGCCTCATATCAGTGTTCGGTTGACCATAGGAGCTGCGTCGAAATCACTTACAAGTATGTTGTCAGGCTTCAGGTCTGCGTGCATGATATTGAGCTTGCGCATCAGAGACAGCGCCAGCAACATTTGGTGCGCGTAGGCCTTGACAGCTCTGATATTGAGGCCAACGTCTTTTCCAAACCTCTTCACTACTTCGCGTAGATTCATGCTGAAGGCAGAAAAACTGTCTCAGCTAGTGTGCGGCGAAAACATGGAGCCACGTACCTTAAAGACTCGAACACCATGCAGAGGTGATTGCGATGCATGAAGTGTTTCTCGAGGCGGACGACATGGCGCTTGTCTTCTGGATCAGCCTCGGCCAGCTTCTTAAGAATGGTCATTTCTTTCAAACCAGCCTTGCACCTGTCGAGGAGGTTTTAGCAGCTTTGTCGAAGAAAATGCGCACCAATAGCAACACATACATGGTCTCCTGAGAACGAATGATCTTTATTGCTACCTCACGGTTGTGGTTGTGGGTGTCTCGCGCGCGGACGACCGTGGAAAACATACCCTTTCCTAAGTTTGCAACGACAGAATATCTCCCGTCCTGCAGAGATTCGCCGAGCGTGACTCGATAGTAACCCTGGGGATCATCAAAATTGTCCTCATGTCCACCCGAGTCGGAATGTACCTGCACGCCAAAGGTATCAGACGGACATATCGAAAATCTCTGTACGAGATGGTGCTCACGGGGACAGAGCTTGTCACTTTAGTATCCCCGATGGCTGGGATGAAGTCTCTCGACTCGTCCAGGGAGAACATATCTTCGATCTCGCCAGCTGCTGACGACTTCTCTGTAAATGAGGTTCTATATATCGGTGATCGACTGTCTGTCGAAGCGAGGTGATCTTCTGCTGGTATTCCTTGCGAAACTGACATCGTCGGCACGGTCGAAAGATAGCCAGTTCGCATTTGAACGGTTAATCTACTGTTTCAAACATTGGTTTGAAAATCGAACGTGCATTCATAACTCACTGCGAAGGACATCGTCAGTAGTGTTCACTGCTGCTCTTTTACTCCCGGTTCGGCCATTGCAAGGGGCTGAGGGTGGAAGACCCAAGGAAGGGGCTAAAGGCGCTGTCGAAGACGATGAAGATGCTGAAGGCTTTGACGGCTCAGCACCCTGTCGATCGAATGTTGAGTACTTGGCAAGAATGGCTTGCCTCTTCCGTCTTCTTTCTTCGGCGAGGCGGTCCTGGTAGACCAAGTCAGAGCCCAGCTCGTAGTCATATTCACCAAGGTCACGAATCATCACCGTCCAGTGTGAAGTACTCAAAGGAAGGGTAACCTTTCCTTTGGGTTGCAGATGGAGATAACCGGACAAAGGAAGCAGAGTCGCCCAAGAGAAGTGATGCGGCACTCGATCCTGAACACCACCAGCAACAGTGCTTCTTATAGTATCAAACATGCAAGGAAGTTAGCCATGCTCCGACCGAACGAATTCAGATTGCTGCTTTTTGATAATCGCCGCGTCTGTTCAGGTAAGTTATGGGTATGTTTGCTCGCATATGGTGCAATTGCACCGAAAAGGTTGCTCATGCCGCCTCCGGGCCCTGGGATCTCTCAGCTGATCAGAGGCGCCAGCGCGCAGTCAGAAGTCATGTGCCGTCTAGTATCTAGATGCGCTGATGACGTTGACACTGACTGAGGAGCAGCAGTAAACTACATGTTGTATAGCTTCATCGTATAGCGGACAATTGCTCCAGTGTAGGCCCCGAGTAGTGACTTACTGTTGATGCCGAAGCCAAATATCGGAAGTGCTGCAGCAGAACGATACGAGGCTCGACCGAAACGAAATGCAGCACTCTGACTTCTGAGCCATTTGACAGCCCACACAAAGATGAAAAGTGAATAAGCTTCGTTCGACCGTCGGTCGCGGATCCAAACCAAGGATGTTGCTTCGAATGGCCGCGCGATGGATGGCTTTTGCACTGATTACGGCCAGGTCCGGCTTTGCCTACCATCAGAAGGAGCAACTCTTCCTAATCGCGCCGCTCCAGGAACAAATCCCGACTGAACCCCACCATGGCTTCGGGGACCTACCGCAAAATCGCACCGTCATAGACGTACTGAATGCATCGCCAGACCACCTCATCTTTGTTCGACTGCTTCAACGAGCTCGTCTCATTCCCTATATCAACAAATTGCAAGAATTTGACGATGAAAATGTCGGTCTGACTGTCCTCGCACCAACTGACAGAGTTTGGCCGCGTGAATTCCGTGCCGCTTTGGGGGGCGATACCTCCTTCACAGACGAGCAGGTAGACGCTGCTATCGTGAATTCGCTCCAAATGGGATCACGCGACAACATTCAAGAGTTTCTACAAGATCTCTTGCTGTATCACTTCGTCAATCGGTCGGTGGTGGGCGATATCAGCGAATCGCAGTGGCCAGCGAGGCTCCTCACCACGTTGCAAAGACCCCACGATCATATCACAATCGGCAACCGCCCTGATCTCATGCTAGAGGGCCAAAAGATTCTCATGCGTCAGAATACCTCAGCAGTATTCTTCGGTTGGTCGTACGGGAATGACACAGTCTGGGAGATGGGCAGCGCCATCTATGTAAGGATGTGCTCGAAAGGAATTGTCGTCGCTTTAGACCGGGTACTCCGACCCCCACCAACTTTAGGTGAGCTGACCGTCAAATGAAACGTTTGAAATCATGGACTTAATTTCCATTGGCCTTGTAGATGTCATCGTTCGGACGCATCCCGCGCTTGAATACATGAATCAAATACTAAGCGAAGACGAGCTCGTCAGAGTCGGCAAATCACCTTCAACAACAGCTTTCCTTCCGACTGATGGCGCTTTTAATGCTTTGAGCCCACTTGAGCGTCGCTACCTTGAAGGCCCATGGGCCATATCACGGCGGGACGATGTGCGGGTATTAGCCTGGCACCTGACCTCGTCGGAACATGTGCTTTATGGGCACCGCCTCCAAGACCGCGAAGTGGTTATGGCACTGGGAGGTTCCCATAAGATCAGTCTCGAAGACGGGCAAATCAAAATTGGTTCGGCGAATGTGGTAGAAACCGATATCCTTACCGCAAATGGCGTTGTGCACCTAGTCGACTCGCTTTTGAGTCCTTACCACTCACCCACTCTGGCCCTGACGGTGGAAAAAGTACTCTTAGCCTCCAATGCCAGCCACTTCGTTGATTTGTAAGTGCAAATAGCAAGCTCAGCGTGACAGATGCTAATATCTGTTAATGTTGCAGAATTCATCGCGCTGGTCTTGCCTCATACATTACACGGAGTCCTTCACCTGGGGACGAGGATAATGATGAAGCGACGCGTCGGAGTCCAATGACCTTTCTAGCCCCCGGAGACCGTGCGATCACTCAGATTAGTTCAGAAAGGGGACGTGAAGAGCTGCGAGGGTTTCTCAAGTACCATTTCTTGGGAAAAGCCTACTCCACACATGACTTGACTGATGGCATGCTTCTTCCAACTGAGCTGCAAACCTCGGCACTGCAAGGAGCATCCCAAAGAATGCCTATTCATGTCCATGGGTCGACTCTCGCCCAATATCCAGATATCTCCTTCGGCGAAGCCAGCATTGTCGGGGAACCTAGTGAGCAAGCAAGCTGTAACGGTGAAGTGGGCTCAAGCTGGATGAAGCTGACCCATATGCTAACCGCTTTTTAGTCGCGGTAGGGAAAGACCGAGTGTTCTTCATCTCTCAATTCATTGAGCCGCCAGAAGAGCCAATGCAAGTAGCTGTTAGCACGTTGACCATGTCGGCATTCGTCGCTTGGATATACTCGGGGGCCATGGAAGACCAAGTATCACACACGCCAGCATTGACCGGGCTCTTTCCAAGTAATAAAGCCTTTGCTCAGCTTGGTCTGCTGGCGAATTTCCTTTTGCACGTCGACAACAGGGAAGCTCTTCAGTCGGTCTTGCAATACCATCTTTTGAGGGGCGTACACTACTCGGACACCATCAGAGGTATGCACCAGCCGTACGATACCCTTCAAGGGTCAACCATCGATCTGTCACGCTCCAAGACCGGAAATCTGTCTATCACATCGCGCAGCTACCTGGCGTCTGTCATTCAGAAAGACCTGCTGACTTCTAATGGAGTGATCCATCAAGTTGATCGTTTGTTGCTTCCTCTGGAAATGGAGGTCACCATTGTGAGCTTCACACGTCCCTTGCAGGTACGAGCGATTTCTGACACTACGTTTTAGGGCGACCTGCTGCGCGCATCCAAGCTCGAAACGATGGAGGAACTCATACTCCTGTCAAACTATTCTTGGATCTTGAAAGCAGAAGGGTCATACATTGTGCTCGCTCCCTCAGCAGATGGCTTCGGCAGAACGAACCTGACCAAATTACGATCGGATCCATTCGAGTTGGACAAGTTCATTGGTCTGCACATCCTTCAGGCAGAGCGTCGCCCGGATCACCTGGATCAGCACCAGCCCATCGCCTTGCAGGACGGTGCGACGCTCTCCACGCTTTATCCAGGCAAGTTTTCACGCTTAGCGTTGCGTCGACTTTCGCATCGAGAGGACGATAGCGATTCGCCCCGCTTCCAGATTGGCATTCTCGGCGCCAGGGGGACTTCAGGCGACGGCCACGCCTCCGCTATCATTTCGCATGGAATGCAGATTCGGCCAGCAAATGACACACGCCCAGAAGGGGGAGTTCTGGTGCTTGCATCGGCACTGGATCCTTATGAGCCAAATTGGTTCTTCAAATGTGAGAAGGGTTGGAGCAAAGTCAGACCCGGCGGAGTTGCTGACGGAGACGAAAACCTGCTCATTTCAGGGTGTTGGCCCGCCGCATTGGCCGTATTCTCCCTGCTGTCCCTCTCGCTGCTTCTTTTCATATCAGGAAGATACCTTATACGCAAGAGAAGGGATGCATCATCAGCGCCGCTGGAAGGAGAGGAGGAGTGATGCAATGGAATGTGCTCCACTCTTCGCGTCACAATTGGTACATTTTCCCTCCACAATGTCTGCGTGTCTGTACTGAGGAACAGGTTCGGGTTGTGTTGAGCGCTTGTAAGCGACCCCAGGAGCGAAGCGGTCCTTGATCAAAGGGTTCGTACTTGTCCTGTTTCGCCCGGTACTCGAGGTGTTGACGTTCGAAGCTTGAAGTGTGACATCTTGAGACATGGCGTGCGTTTGCTGTGAGGATGTATTCAGTGTGGGTTGTCGCGACGCGACGCGAAGTGTTATTTCTTGCGCGTCGAGAGGCAATGGACAAACAAAAGCAACACACATCCGACGTTCCTTACAGCACCCATCGTTCCATTGTCCATCACGATACGCAATTTGGTGCTCTCCCCTCATATGTATATCCAGCCTGCTCTCGACGACTAATTCTTTGTACAGAAGCAGTCAAGTAGAAAGAGGAGAACTAGGGCCAGGCTGAATCAAGCCATGAGACGCAGCGTTGTACTTGCTGCGCTAGGTGGCAACACGCCCTCCTCAGAAAAGGCCAGCAGCTGTAATGATGCCTCTCGCTCCGCCTCTGGTGGCGGTTTCGGTCCGCTTCTCGGACGCAAGCCTTTCAAACCACCATCTATGAAGTCCAACAGCAACGTTTCTTCTCGTGGTCGCAAGCGGATTCGCGTAGACTACTCAGGCATGGGTGGCTATGGGGAGGATGTCGAGGACGGAGAGGCTGGCCTTGGATCGGACGAGGAGGGAGCCAAGAGAAAACCGTTTAAAAAGAAAGCGATAGAAGTCTCCGTCAAAGGCGTCGATGCAAATGGGCGTTCCCTGAAGGCTACTCACCGTGAATGGCCCGTGTACAAGGGCAAAGAGAGGGCCTTGCAGCAACGATTCAGTATTCCTGTCATGCGCAACAGAGAAGGAGAAATCGTCGAGAATCGCATTACCATGGCATCTCTTGGCACGCGTCGGCCCATCGAAATCCCTCCAAGACCTCTTCATGACCCTATGGGAGAGTTCTCCATTGTTCTCTTTGACCCCACCATTGACGATCGTGAAGCGGAGAGGAGAAAGGAAGAACTGCAACAGCATCGCCAAAAGCTTGAGGAGAAAGGAGCACAACACATCCATGGCCCTCATAAAAAGCTCTCAGATATCCTTGGCCTCAACAAAGAGCCTAAGAATCTTGATATCAAAGTACCCGTCGTCATCGACCCACGCCTAGCGAAGGTTCTTCGCCCACACCAAATCGAGGGAGTAAAGGTGCGTCAACGTCTCCCTTCCAGTGAATTCTCCCTCGGCTAATGCAAGGCTCGATGCAGTTCCTGTACCGATGCACTACAGGACTCATTGTCGCTAATGCGCATGGGTGAGTGTGTAGCAGGTTTGGTTGTTCTGCCCTCGGTGATTGACCTCGCACTTCCCGGCTCAAGGTGCATTATGGCTGACGAGATGGGTCTTGGAAAGACTCTGCAATGTATTGCGCTGATGTGGACGCTGCTGCGTCAATCGCCGATTCCTAATAAGCCCACGATCGATAAGTGCATCATCGTCTGCCCTTCGAGCCTTGTTCGAAATTGGGCAAACGAATTGGTCAAATGGCTAGGTACAGCGGCGCCGGGGGTGTTCGCCTTGGATGGAAAACTGTCAAAAGAGCAGGTAGATGAGCGGGTCCGACGATGGTGTTTAGCAAAAGGGAGGAGCAACACAGCACCTGTGATGATTGTGTCCTACGAGACACTTCGCAACTTGACCGACCACATCGGTGACACAGAGGTTGGGCTTCTTCTGTGCGACGAGGGCCATCGCCTCAAAAATGCCGAGTCGCTCACGTTCCAAGCGCTGTGTCAGATCAATGTCAAGCGCAGGGTTATTTTGTCAGGGACGCCTATCCAAAACGACTTGAGCGAATATTTCTCACTGCTCAACTTTGCCAACCCTGACCTACTTGGCTCCAAGTTGGAGTTTCGCAAAAACTTTGAACTCGCCATTCTCAAAGGGCGCGATGCCGATGCGACGGACAAAGAGCAGGAAGAGAGTAACAAGAAACTGCAGGAATTGTCCTCGCTCGTCAGTCGGTTCATCATACGTCGTACTAATGACTTGCTATCAAAGTATCTGCCTGTGAAGTACGAGCACGTTGTTTTCTGTCGCATGGCGCCTTTGCAGCTTAGCCTGTATCGCCATTTCATCCAATCGCCCGAGATCAAGAAGCTACTTAAAGGAGTAGGGTCTCAGCCGCTAAAAGCGATCAATATCCTCAAGAAGCTGTGCAATCACCCCGATCTTCTCACCTTACCGGATGACCTTGAAGGCAGCGAAAAGTGCTTCCCTGAAGACTATGTTCCACGTGACCGCAGAAACGTGCACCCAGAATACTCGGGAAAGATGATGGTCTTGGAACGCTTCCTGCGAACGATCAAACAACAGACCAACGACAAGATTGTCCTTATCAGCAATTACACCCAAACTCTAGATGTTTTCGAACGCATGTGCAGGAACAACAGGTGGGGCAACTTCCGCCTGGACGGGACCATGAACGTCAACAAGCGACAGAAGTTGGTCGACAGGTTCAACGACCCAGAAGGCTCGGAATTCGTATTCTTGCTCAGCTCGAAAGCTGGCGGCTGCGGTCTGAATTTGATCGGTGCCAACAGGCTTGTCCTTTTCGACCCCGACTGGAACCCGGCATCCGATCAACAAGCTCTCGCACGAGTTTGGCGAGATGGACAGAAGAAGAGCTGCTTTGTGTACCGCTTCATTGGGACCGGATCGATCGAGGAAAAGATCTTCCAAAGGTAAGCAAGACCATGTTTCTAAATTCCTGCGAGTTCGGACTGACAAGGGCCGTCCACGACAGGCAAGCCCACAAGCAAACACTATCCTCGTGCGTGGTCGATGAGGCTCAAGATGCAGCACGGCATTTCAGTGGTGACGACCTTCGCGAGCTGTTCACATTCAAAGAAAAGACGGTCAGCGATACGCACGACACTTACAAGTGCAAAAGATGCCGTGAAGGGAAGCAAAGGATGAAAGCGCCCGCTCTGCTCTACGGTGATACCAGCACGTGAGTGTGCTAGCGATAGGGAACAGCGAAGACTTGAGATTGCAACTGAAGCCGTTCTGACATGCAGGTGGAATCACTACGAGAGGGCGGAGTTCGGTCAGCTCCACGATGACCTTTTGCGGGCAGAGATGGCGTACGATGATGTTTCCTTCGTTTTCCAATATTGCAGGTAAGCGTTGTCGGATGGAGCAGGTGCTAGAGATATGACCCCTTGCTAATAATCATTTGTGTTTTCTCCAGCCACTGAGCTCAAAGTCGACCCCTCATCGAACGCCTCCGAAAATAGATCGAGAACCTTCAACAGACGCGCAGACCTTGACATATATGTATCAATTATTTAGGACGGATTTGAAATTGCAAGCAACGTATCTCCATAGCTCACACATCACATGTCTTCATCTTGCAAGTGGTGTGCTTAGAACACAATCAGCGACGGGATGGTCCGGTCATGCTTCGCGCTTGATGACAATCGCGGATGCTCCTCCACCTCCATTGCACACGCCGGCACACCCGTACTCGCCAGGCTTGAGGGAATGAGCGAGTGTGACTACGATCCTGCAGCCGGAGCTGCCGATAGGATGCCCCAGGCTGACACCACCACCGAGCGTGTTAACCTTGCTGGCATCCAGGCCGAGGATCTTGTTGTTGGCGAGAGCAACGGCGGAGAAGGCCTCGTTGATCTCCCAAAGCGCGATGTCCTCCTTCTTCAAGCCAGCACGCTCCAGCGCGAGCGGGATCGCCTTCGCTGGTGCGACCGGGAAGTCGATCGGTGCGCACGCCGCATCGGCAAAGGCTGAACATTAGAGCAATGTGGGGAGATCGGTCAGAAAAGTTTGCTGGTCTGTCTCGCCGTCCATCAAACAACACGTTAAATGAACTCACAGATAATTTTGGCAAGCGGCTTAAGGCCATGCTTCTTAACCTCAGCCTCGCTCGCGAGTACAACAGCACTGGCGCCGTCGTTGATGGTGCTCGCATTGGCGGCGGTGACGGTACCCTTCGCGTCAAAGACGGGGCGAAGACTGGGGATCTTTTCCAGCTTGACGTTTTTGTACTCCTCGTCCTCATCAACTGTAACGCTGCCCTTCTTGTCTGCGATGACCACAGGCACGATCTCGTCCTTGAATGCACCGGCCTTCCATGCGTCTGCTGCGCGCTTGTAGCTCTCGATGGCGTATGCATCTTGGTCCTCGCGCGAGAGGCTGTAGTCCTTGGCGGTCTTTTCTGCGCAGTTGCCCATGGGAAACTTGTTGTAGACGTCCGTGAGACCGTCCTTGGCGAGCGCATCTAGCAGCTGGCCGTGGCCGAATCCAGATGTGCTATTGCGTGGAATATAGTACGGAGCGTTGGACATGGACTCCATGCCACCGGCGACCATGATGCCGCGCTGGCCGAGCATGATGTTTTGGGCGGCAAGCGAGATGGCCTTCATGCCGGACGCACAGACCTTGTTAATCGTCGTTGCTTCAGTAGTCTCTGGGCAGCCGGAGGCGATGACGACCTGCCTGGCGGGTGCTTGGCCGACATTGCCCGAGATGACATTGCCCAAGTAAACGTCCTCGATGTGCTCTGGCTTCAGGTTGGCGCGCTCGATGGCCGCCTTGACAGCAAAGGTGCCGAGTTCAGGTGCAGTGAGCTTCTTCAACGCGCCATTGAAGGAACCGATTGGAGTGCGAGTCGCACTGACGATGAAGACATCGTTGATGTTGGACATGATTTTGGTGGTCTGCGAAGGAAGATGATACAGGATAGGTGTCAGTGAGTGTGAGCGGAAGCGGAAATCCTCATTTCGAAGGACTAACCTGCGTGAGTCTTCTAACGGCCGAGGGTGCGAATGACATTTGCTATTCGTGAAACGACTGCAGCCTGAAACAAGGGCGGTAGATCGCGCTTGCGTGCTGCGTTTGTTCAAAATAGGAGAAGGAGAAGCAACAGAGGGAGATGAAATGAAATGAGCATCAATGTAAATCCCCGCTGAGACCCGAGGTGAAAGGGGGTGGGTAGAAGAGCGACATACAGTTCTAGACGCACGGGACGGGAATTTGCAATGTCGACGGGCAACACAAATGGATCCTGTTTGGAGGATGAGATGCGATTGGGAGAAGAAGATACAACAAAGGGAGACACGGTTGGAGCATTTCTATTTTCGCAGTCTCCAAAGTTCCGTGTTAGTCACGTCTGGTCACTGGAAAGAGTCTGTCACAGTCTATAATGTTGGCCCACACAACATAAGTTCATGGTGGGGGCTCTCGGCCGAGAGAGACAGATATCCTTGGGAGATTCGATTCTATTGTGGTAGCCATCCAAGAGAATAAATACTTCATAGACCGGGATCGCTGATTATACTCAAGAGCAGGTGTTGCGAGGGGCCAAAACGGGACCTTACCGGTCCCCGTGGTCCGCGGCACTCACCGGCCCCCAAAAGTACACGTGTTCCCACAGACAAGAATTGCGTATGGACCTGCAAGCGTCAAGCATGCCATAGGACCAGTTCATAATACGGCCGCGATCAGCCCTTCAACCGCTCCGCAGACAGCGAGAGTCCGGAGGGGGTGTATTTCTGGAAGGCCAACCGTGCACGGTCGTCAATTCTTGCTTACACTGCTGTGCTTCGCCAAGGCCCCATTAGCTTGCTGAATCGACCCGACAAGTGCTTCTCGCCAGTGACTGCAGCGCGTCCACCCCTCCGAATCGTTTCGCGTGCGCCATCATGAGTCCCTCCTTTTCTACTTCATTATCAACATCCCGACTTTGGGCCCTCCGTAGCCCCGCGCCTCGCTTCTGCTATGGTCTGAACACAAGCATCGCTCGGTGTACGGTCCGATCATCGGATGCGCATCTTCTCTCCCGAGGTGCACGAGGCTTCGCCACTGGCACTCAACACGAAGCGCCCACGCAGATGCGCATGCTCATCGTCGGGTGCCCAGTCAGTCAGGCTCTTTGTGGAGATGTAGGATCACGTATCCTGTCCTGCTCACACTTTCTGCTCCAAATTTCTTCTGTGTCATGCTTTACACGCTTGCAAATGCAGGGATCAGGCAAAGGCACACTCTCCTCTAGGCTCCTCAAGAAATTCGATGTTCAGTATCTCTCCGCTGGCGATGTGTTGCGTTCTCACATCTCCCGCAACACCGAGATCGGCAAGCAGGCCAGCGTGGTCATCGCGAAAGGATGTGAGTCGGTTTTAAATAGAAGATCGTACACTCGTGATGCAGGACTGACAGAAGGCACCCCATCGTCACAGCGCTCATGCCGGACGACATCATGATGAAGCTCGTCGGCAGCGAGGTGGATGCATTGGCGGACACGGTGAGCAACAAGATCGTACTGGCGTCAATGCGCCTTTCACCTGTCGCTTGCCTGAGATGAGGCTCCTCGACTACGCTCTAGGCTGACGCACTCTTCCATGTTGGTTCTCAGGATTGGCTTTTGGACGGATTTCCACGGACGCTTGGACAAGCTAAAATGCTGGATGAAGTGCTCCAGCGAAGGTATAAGCCTCTTAACCTTGTCGTCAATCTGGATGTCCCTGAGGGAATCATTTTGCAGCGCATCATGGGTGAGCTGCGACTCTGCTGTCGTCATCCATGCCATGCTGCTTGGCTCTTTGTCTGAACATCGTTGTGCTAATTTCAGACCGGTGGACACACATTCCCTCCGGCCGCATCTAGTGAGTTTGGAGTACTCTGCAGCTATGAGCACTGCACAACTGACCATGGATGCCTGGCCTATCGCCTTGCGTGTGCACGTATAGCAACCTGTCGTACAATCCGCCGCAGGTTCCAGGCAAGGACGACGTGACTGGCGAGCCCTTGGAGAAGCGCCCGGATGACAACCCACACGTATTTGCCAAGCGTCTCACCTCCTTCCACTCGAGCACGGGTCCCATGCTGGAATACTACCGTGACCGCCCGACCACAGGTGCGGGCCAAGCGCAAGCACTGTACGTCAATCTCGAGGGAAGCACCTCGGATGAACTTTGGCCCAAGCTAGCCGATGTCCTAGAGCAGCGCTTCCCTTCGCTCATGCACAAAACCATCGCACAATAAACAACAGCAAAGCGCAAGATTGTCGCTCACGGGGGCGAGTGAGCATTCTCGTTTTCTGTGGGGAGTAACTTTGACAAGCATCCTGTGGGATGCTTATAGATCTGCTGGATCTATCGAGCGTTCAATTCATGTTTCCGCGCGAGCGACAAAAGACTACGGAGCGTCCTTTTGGAGCATCCCCTCGCTCCTGCCTTGTGGAGCCAGCTATATCGAAAAAAAAACATTTTGCTGTGTATGAAGCGCAAGAGCCCAGACTTGTTGCAAGTGTGCTTTGCGCACAGCGCGCTGCATCTTCTTAGTCTTCAAAATACCGAGTCATCGCGTATATGGGCTGCCTTCTGGTACATCCAGTACGGTCAAGATAAGAATAGAGAAACGTACGAATACAACACAAGATTGATAGCGATAATCAAGAGTCTGTCGTAATCGGCAGCAGGACTTATTGCTGTCGCGTGACCCACCACTCGTGTTCGTTGCGAAAGCTGCGCTTGGCGTAGATGAGCGAGGCCGCGAGCTGGAGGAGCATGATACTGGTGAGGATGGCCCAGCTAGTTCCGTAGACGATCATGCGGTCGTGCACGAGCGTGGCCAAGGCGATCTCCGGCGCGAGCTGCAGCGTCAAGCCGACTGCGATAATCCAGTTGAGCGTGGCGACCATGCGGCGGAACGGCAAGCTGGCGTCGTAGCGGCGGCTGAAGCTGTTCCGGAACTCCACACCGCCGCCGCCGTCGAGCGCGACGAGGTCGGGCCAGATATAACCGAGACCCGGGCGGACGCGCTCGCCGCGTGGGCGGTCAAACATGGCGCACGGCATCGTGCATCGGGTGGCGTGCGCAATGCCCGTCGCGAGCATCGCCAGGCCGATGTAGCCAAAGATGATCGGCGGGGACAACGCCAGCAGCGGGAAGTATCCGTGGTCGCCAAAGAGCGAGCAGGCGGATACAAGCGCGGAGGTACCTACGACGATACCCCCAAAGAACCCGGCCTGGAAGATGTCCCAGCAGGCGAAGATGCCTGGGGGGCGGAAGGGAGTGCGTTTCTTCTTGAGAGTGTCTGCCGATCCTTGCACCGGTTCCCGCTCTCCATCACATTCCGGCTCGTAGAGCAGGACAGGATCCCGTGCGCCGTTGCGCTTGTAAAGCACCCACCAGCGATAGGCAAATTGAGGTAGTCTGCGGGTATGATGTTTTAGTGGTTACCGTTGGAGTTCTCGGCAAGGAAGTCAGCGCAAGGCATAGTAGGCTTCCATCTTTTCAGCAACTTGTCTGAGCACGCTACTCACTGCAATGTACCCAGGGTGGCCGTCGTCGCACCATATAGGACTGGGTGGATGTGGCGAAGGTGCAGCAACATGAGGAAAATTGGGTGCGTCAGTCGGATTTCAGTTGCGATGGGCTTGAGACGTACTGTTATTGTTGTCGTCATGCTTATGCGTATCGTCATATTGTAGCAGGATGTAGAATATCAGGATCGGACAGCACAGGTTAAAGAATACGATCAAGAATACTATCGCGATGTGCAGCGCAGCAAGAAGATGCAACCGGGGAAGAGAGATCAGAATGTAACTATCTCGGGAGGAAGATGATGCCCAAGCGCTTGGGCTCACTGTTCAACGCGAAGGACCTTCTCCGGGCGTGAAAATCGTACAGTAGGCGCGGTGGCCGGGTCAATGCAGCACGTTGTTGGTCCAGATCAAAGACATTGTCAAAGCCCTTCTGCTGCTCCTGTTGCTCATACTGCTCCTGCTGCTTTTTGTCGTCATAGTCCGCGTTGTCCTCGGTGATGGGCGAGATGACGGGAGCGAGTTGATCTGCAACTGGCATGCTCGAGCTATTCTCTTCTTTGCTCTGCTGATATTTTTCAGGCTGCGCGTTGCAGGAGGGAGAGGTGTGCGGCTCTGTGAATGGAGAAGGATCCATGGCTGGCATCTTGTACAGCGGGCGAGGGGCACAATGCTCTGCTTGGCCACCGTCCCCCACACAAGGAAAGCCGGGAGGTATTAAAAGGTCCACCTGAGGGATCAGACAGACAAAAACGGCGAGGAGGGCCTCAGGTCGATTCACGGAGCGAGCGGCGGCGACAACGTCTCGAACTGAATGTGATCGATGAGTAGCAGCAGCGGCGGCTGGGTGAGCCACCAGTCGCGCACGCCGGGGCGAACATACAGGGTGAGCTGTCAGACCGTCTTTGGATGAGGACGCAGGAGCCGCTACATCCAGTAGCCTGAGCTTTGTTCAGAAATGCAGACGCGAAGGTATGTAGTGGCGGAGATGCACTGGCTAAGTTGGGTTTACTGCCGTGTCAAGTGTCATATATGTGTGTACCCTGCTTGGGTTGTTGTTGCGGCCTGCCCAACAGCAACGGTCCCGCTCGTTCCCTATCTGTTGTTGCCCTACAGATTCATCTCCAAGGACGGGGTCGAAATGAACCAGCCAGAGGCTTGCTTAGTTCGGCTCTTCTCGACGCTCGCTCTGTTTCTTTCATGGAGGTCGCCATGCTGCATCCTGAGCCCATCCTATCGCAGCATTGATATCCACGGGGAAGCTAGCGCGAAAGCAACTCGAGTTCTATTTGGGTGAGAGTGGTGCAGTGCCGCTCGTTACAAGTGTGGCTTTCGGCCATCGCCCATTTTCGGCCTTCGTGCCTGCACAGCCGTCGGCCGGAGGTGTAGTCCACGATTCTTACCTTTCACCTTCACGGTTGTTGTACCGTACACGGGCGGCACAGACACTCCACTCGCCTTTGCTCGGCCATACACAGTGTCCCAACGCCCACGCTCGTTCCAGGCCTGCCTTCATTTGGCGCTCTTTTTAGCTCCAACACGTCTCCGCTCGTCTGTGGCGTCGGGCGCGAAAGTGAGCAAAGACCCCCGTAATGAAATTGGTGGGAAGGGGGGCAGGAAAAGGGGCGTCTCTTCGTGCTAATCATATCGATCTTGCCGCGTGGCAGTGACTTCGAAGCAGGGAAAAAAGAAGGGGGGAAGGAAGAAGGCAGCAACACAAGGCCTAGGCGATGGCAGCGACCAACGAAGAGCGGGCCGAGCGACTGGCGCGCCGGAGCTCGCGCCAAGCGCAGCCGATCAGCACGTCGCAGACAAGCACATCCAACGAAGCAGCGGCTTCAGGGACGAGGAACCGGTGGACTCAAGGGACCTCACCACCACCTTCGGATGCAACGGTGCTCACCGTACTGCGACAGGGAGACGAACCGATGCAGCAGACACACTTGGCAATGATCCGCTTGGTGCAGCAGCAAATCGAAACGGTACAGCAGCAAACTGAAACATTGAGTAGCTTGGTGCAGCAGCAAAACGAAATATTGCAGCAGCGAGCCGAAGCGTCAACCCGCTTGGTACAGCAGCATGTCGAAACATTGAGCCGATTAATGCAGCATCAAGAAGAACACAGTACAGCGTGCACACAGCTGCGAGCGGAAAACGAGCACCGCTTCATGTCCATGCTCTCGGCAATGTCCAGCATACTCGAGGCACTGGGGCAGCGAGCGCAGGAAACACACATGGTCAATACCGCAAGGACGCCATCTGAAGGCCACTCGCTCCAGCAGAATGCGCGCTCCGAGCCACCACCTGTTGATGAGCCAATGGCAGCACCAAGCAGAAGCTGGGATGAGCTCCAGCCGTTGGAGGGCGGCCCTGACAGCTACGATGCATTTGTCGACGGTACGGATGCGCCAGGCCCGCCTCGCACCACGAGCATACCTCTTGGTGATGGCAATCTGCCGGGGAGAGGTGCGGTTCCATTGAGCGAAGAACAGGCACAAGTCTTCGGCGGGGATGCACCCAGCAGTGAAGATCGGCAAGCGTCAGCGTACCCCCAGACATCGAACGAAATTTCTGGAGAAGACGGCGGTGACGACGACGACGACGAAATCTCGGACAACGACGCAGAGTTCACCAGCAGCGCCAATGATGACCAGAGCTTTGCCCATATGTTGCGTATTTCCAACGAGGAGAAGACTGCGTTGCGGTTGATCCGGGAGGAATCGCGGCCAGACGCGCTTGCGCGCGTGAAAGAAGCTGTCCGTCCACATGGGCACCGCTTGTACATCCGTCGCACCAGGGGACGAAACAGCCCGTGCCTCATGCTCTGCCACCGCGGTGGGGCCCGCGCGGGAAGGACAAGGACTAACAAAGGTTCATGTCCTTTCTCGATCACCCTTCATCGCGCAGACTCTGTCTGGCGGGTGCACATTGACAATGCGTACCACGAGTCCAGCTTGTGCGGCCAAGCAGATGTGCTTCACCCGCGCTTGAGCCTATCGGAGCGTGACGAGATCGAGCGGATGGACGAAGCCGGAGTGAGACCGCAGCGCATACGAGAGCTCGTCAATCAAGCTCGTGAACATCAGGGTATCCCGCCGATCCAGAAAGCCAAGACGTTCTCGAACGCTCTCGAACGCTATCGCCGTCAGAGGCGGCTAGAGAAGAGCCATGATATGGGGACATTCAGCGGCGGTGCTGCCGCCAACCCGCAGACATGACGTTGGAAGAAGGCTGGTGTTGCTGCTGCAAATCCAAGATGTACATAATTTCCTGTCGATTGCACTCTGTATCATAATTTAAACTTTGAAAGCTCGCCTGCAAGTTCCCGGGCGCTATGATTCGGGATCGACCCAGTCTTGCTTCTGCTTCCATACTGAGAACCACTGGAGTCCCCTGCCTTGAGCTTCGGAAGTTGTCCATAGGGGCGCATAGCTGCGACAATGACCCCAATTCTTGATTGTGGTACCTTTGCGCCGGTATTGCCGGCTCAGGGGTGGGGAAGAGGAGGATGGGCGCTGCTCAAAGTAGGGTTATGTATTGCGACCATCATTTATCGGTGATTGCACATTTAGATTACCACTTGGGATGGGGTTTGCGATTGCTGCTCATATAGTCGGTATGAGCTAGTGCCGATGCTCGAGGGCACGTCCTTCCGACCTTTGCGCAAGCACAAACGACCGGCAGCCAGCCGTCCACGCCTGTGCGTTTGTGCCACTTTCGGTCACAAGCATCATGTCTTCCCCCACCGCCGCCGTCGCCTCTGGCCCTTGTTCGGGCCGTAAGGTACCTGCCAAATCGCCCCTCACTGGCAAACAAGGTGAGCCTTTGCATGCGATCCAGCGCCGAGAAACGCTGCTTCTTGTACGGTGAAGCATTTGCGGACGATGCTGACCACGCATGCCCGACTTTCCTTCCTCGACCAGTTCTGCCGTACTACCTGCACGCCTCGGACGCCTACTTTCGCGACGTGCATGGTCGCGCCGTCCTGCTGCGTGGCGTCAACCTCTCCGGCTCGTCCAAAGCGCCATTGGGACAATCCACGTTCGATGACCCGAAGGAGTTTTGGGAGAAGGCAGAGCACGGCGGCGAGTCGTTTGTCGGTCAGCCACTGCAGCTCGAGGACGGCAGTGCCGACGTGCACCTGGCACGTCTCTGTGCGTGGGGATTCAACTGCTTTCGATACGTCTTTACCTGGGAGGCGCTCGAACACGAGGGACCGTGAGCCAATGGCGTTATGGCGCGCTCACATACACACACGCACACACACATGCTGACGGATGATTTTGCTATACTCGCTTCTCACGGCCGGGAACAGTGGAAAATATGACCACGAATTCATGGACTACACCGTCGAGGTCCTGCGCAAAGTCAAAGCGTACGGTTTCCGCGTCTTCATGGACCCGCACCAGGATCTCTTCTCACGCTTCACGGGCGGCTCCGGCGCTCCATATTGGGTCCTACCCGCGTGCGGCATCGACCACCGTAACATCACCGCGACGCAAGCTGCCTTCTTGCAGTGCGAGTGGCCCTCGCCTGAGGAACCCGACCCACAAAACTTCCCCAAGATGCTGTGGGCGACTAACTACACGCGGCTCGCCGCCGCGACGCTCTCCGTCTTCTTCTTTGCCGGGCGCGACCTGGCACCACGCTGCGTGCTCGACGGAAAGAATATCCAGGACTGGCTCCAGGAGCACTTTATAAACGCTTGTCGCGAGCTCGCACTGCATATCCACAATGCCGGCGATCTTGAGGACATCTGTGTCATCGGCTGGGATAGCATCAACGAGCCCAACGCGTGCTACATTGGCCTCGACGCCATCGACGTCCTCCCGGACAAGTGGCTGCTCAAGAAGGGACCCATGCCAACGCCGCTGCAGAGCATGCACCTCGGCGTCGGCCATAAGCAGGTTGTCCAGGACTGGGCCTTCGGCGCACTCGGGCCCAAGAAGCAGAAGGACGTCGAGGTGGATCCAAAGGGCAAGTCCCTCTGGCTCACCCATGACGAAGACATTGCCAGAGGGGGCTCTCGCTGGGGGTGGGAACGCGATGCCGCGTGGCCGCTCGGCACGTGCCCTTGGGCAGCGCATGGCGTTTGGGATATTGAAACTGGGCAGCCGCTGCTTCGCGATTATTTTAAATACTACCGCGGTGGGAGTGATTCAAAAGATTGGCGGCCGGTCGATTTCGTCGAAGACTACTGGCTCCCCTTCTGGCGGGCGTACGCCAAAATGGTCCGATCCGTTCACAAGGAAGCGATTCTGTTTGTCCAACCTCCGGTCTTCGAACCGCCACCGAAGAGCATGGGTGAGGCAGATCTGCAGTCGCGCGCGTGCACTTCGCAGCACTTTTATGACGGCCTCACGCTGATCACCAAGCATTGGAACTGGTTCAACGCGGATGCCGTCGGGCTGCTGCGCGGCAAGTACCGCAGCGTCCTCTTCGCTGTCAAAGTCGGCCAGCGCGCCATCCGTCAAAGCATGCGCGATCAGCTCGGCTACTTGCGCACCGATACGCTCACCGTGCTCGGCAAGTACCCTACCTTGATTGGCGAGATCGGCGTCCCGTTCGACATGGACGACCGCAAGACGTACTATGGTGACAACAAGGGCAACGGCATCGGCGATTACTCTCAGCAGACGACCGCGCTGGACGTATCGCTCAACGCATGCGACGGCACCAACATGCTTAGCTTCACCGCGTGGAACTACGATGCGAGCAATTCGCACAAATTTGGCGATCAGTGGAACGGCGAAGATTTCAGCTTCTGGAGTCAGGATGACGTCAAGTATTCCCCAAGCGCCGCAACGCGGACATCGATGCCCGCGGTGCTGGACGCCGTCAGGGCGGCCGATTCAGCGTCCGACAAGGTAGATGACAGCCTGGCCACCGTACAATCTAAGTCCCTCTCATCCCCATCCGCCTCCTCTTCCTCTTCAATCCCCGATGTACTACAGCCTTCTCGGCCGCCTTTGACACGGACTGACTCGTCCGCATTGAGGCTAGACGGCGTCGCCAAGGAAACGGATGGCGTGCACATCCCGGCGATCACCAACGGCTCGCGCGCCGCACAGGCCTTCTGCCGCCCATATCCGATCGCAACGACCGGCACGCCGTACGAGCTCAACTTTGACATCAAGACGTCCAGTCTGTCCTTTGCGCTCGACTTGGCCGCGGACGACGCGCGGATGGACGCAGAGGGAAAGGACCTCGCAACGGAGATCTTCATCCCGTTCATTCACTACGCAGCTGATTCGGTCACAGGCGCAGCAAGCGGCAACGTCAGCGGCAGCGGTCAGAATTCCCCGTTCTGTACTTCGCGCTCCCGTGTCAACACCCTGACGAATGCGAATGGGCACCTAGCAGCAGGAACACGGAAAGCACCCACGGTTCTGTCGAAATCCCTCGACTCGCTTAGCCTCGGACCCATGCCGTCATTAGACTCGTCTAGCTCGACGCCGTCCATTTCATCATCTTCTTCGTCGCCGCAGCGTAATGGCATGGCGCTGTACTCGTCCGCACAGAGCACAACTACCAGCTCCTCTCTCAGTCTGAACAACATCACCACATCAGATAGCTCCAAAGGAAAATTGGCCAGTTCGCAACAGCAGTCTGTGCGCGGCAGAAGAGCATCTGCTGCTACCGCAATATCAGATGCGTGTTACGCGTCGAGCAAAGACGAGTTCTCCATGGCGCTAGAGGTGCAAGTGTCAGCAGGAAGCTGGGATATCGAGCCTGGCACGCAAGTTCTCAGATGGTATCTCCGAGACGCAGCCCCAGGTCGACACAGCCTGCATCTGAAGAGAGCAGGCGGGCCAATCGCACTCAGTCAGAGCGCTTCGGCGTTCAAATTGCTCGTCGAATCCGCAAGCTGCATGGGGTCCTTGATCCTCTGAAACGATTCCTTGCACTTGTAATACAAAATTTTGCAACATCATTATAGTGGCGAGCGCGTAGGTGGATTGAGAGGGGAGCGCGGAGAATTGCGATTACTGGGATATATTTGCGAATGAAGACAGGGTCCGGATCAGAATATCATGGGGCCGAAAAGGGCAGAGCTGGCCGCGGCCGTTACAAAATCCTCCTGGGGCAGGTTGAGAGGGAACACGTCGTCCTTGTCCATGCTGCCGAGTAGCTCCTCGATCTGCACAGTGTCAAAGTCGACAGGTGGTAGACCATGGTTGCCGCCGTTCTGCGGCAGGCCTAAGCTAATCGCCGGTCGAGGGAAGGGCGTAGATGCACCAGATGTCTGCATGCCCCATGCCCTGAGCAGCGCATCCATGCCGAGGTCCGCTTCCGCACCCATGATGCCTGAGATGCCGAAGCCTTGCGCTGAGAAGCGGTTGCCCAATCCTGATGCGAAAAGCGCATTTGCCGCTGCGGAATCATCTGGCAGTTGCTCTTTGTTGCGCATGGTCGGACTCTTGGTCATTGCTCTGGCCTGTTGCACACGCTCTTTCGCCCACTTGAGCACCATCTCCACGTCGTGGATCGGCGCATTTTGGGCATCATCGTCTGAAAGGGGCATGGGTTGATCAGCACGAGACTAGGTGTACGCATGCAGCACGATGCACACTCACCACACGCATCCGGATCGACGTCTTCGGTGGCGCCTGCCGACTCCTGCTCGAGTGCCCGCGCAGGCCAAGACGCACCACCCCAAAAGACAGCCAACTTGTCCAGCACTTGCTGGCACGTGGCCAAATTCGTCTCAGCCCAGCTCCTGTTAACCAAGAGTAGGTTGTTCCGGGTGCTGTTGATGTTGGTGTTCGTATCCACCGGCCCGTTGCGAGATGGGGGTCGTGAATGGCTAGGAGTGTACCCCGCACGCTTGAGCGCCTCTCGCGTGGCCTCGCGCTCACCTAGGAATGCGCGCCCGGCGGGAAGAACCAGCTGATCGAGATATGGATTCGCGAGAATGCTCTTCTCGTCCAATGCATCTGCAAGGGAAAGGACGTCCGCGATCGTGCGTGAGGTCGAGCTGGCGATCGGTGCGAGCGAGGGCTCGGGCAGGACCCATGGCATCTCTGCGCTGAATTTGCGCATGAGTGCGGGTCGGTGAAGCAGGCTGATCGTGCTTTGGAAGAGCACGTGCAGGTACACAAAGGCCGGACCCATGTTGCCAGCTGCTGCACGCTTGAATGTTTGCACACTACAGAAAAGAGACTCGCCTGCGTCAGATTCATCACTTGAGGGATAAGAGACATGGGGCAGACCCACTTGAATTGCAGCGCATTTGGCAGGGTCTGGTAGTACTGTGCCAGCTCGACCCACATCTGCCCTAGCCGCGACTTCTTTTCGTCGACAGAGATGTCGTCTTCGCGGCGATTCAGCAGCTCTCCCATCGCACCGCGACGCAGTAGAATGCGGACAATGTGGCCAAATAGGGCTTTTTCTGAGGATGCATACTCGTCAAGCGGAGGGAGGTCGCAGTTGATCGCATCCTCGCGGATCTGAAAGAAGGGTGTATGCGGTCAGAGTCACAACCTCTAAAGTGGGTGCCTGGGAAGTCAACTCACTGTCACAGGGCGGCCAGTCCCGAAGCAGATGATCCGGTCGATGCCGACGACAGACCAGAACAGCAACCTAGCGCGTGTGGCCTGCTTCTCGTCCGGAAGGCTGGAAATGGTTGATTCCTACACGTACGGGGCGAGGCAAGTCAGACCAGGCACAGCGGGAATGAAGAGGATGTCAATTCGCGAGCCTTGGCTCGACTCACATGCTGGAGACCGAGATCCTGCGCCATGCGCAGCGCCATGCCAGCGTACATCCAGAGTCCCGAATCGCTCCCGGCTCCGAATTCCGCATAGCTGAGCAGGACGAGTGCCTCGATGACCTCAAAGGAGGGCCAGGAGAGCATCGGCACGATGAGTGTCTTGGCCATGTCCGAGAAGGGCTCTCCAGCGCTGATGGAGGAAGAAGTGTCGGGAAGAGCATCAGGGCACAATTCAAGGGCGCGCAGCAAGGGTGCCGGTGCAGCAGACTCACCTCTTCAGCTGACCTCGCTTCAGCTCGGGGCGTGGAGAGAACCTGGCCGTCATGGCGCAGATGGCATTGGCAAGGAGTGCGGGTAAGCTGCCGCTCTGTATGCCTTGCGCGAGCTCATCCGCCTCGAGCCAGGGGAAGAAGTTGGACTTGAAGTGGGACGTGAAGATGGCGCCGAGGTGCGCGAGGATGTCTTTGCGCGGGTAACGTGGCCTGCTCGGCTCGAACAGCTCGCGCGTTGACGTCGACAGCGTCGAGCCGCCGCTTGCACCACCACCGGGACCCATCCGTGGGGAGGCCTCGCCGAAGTGCGCAACGTCTTTGTGCGGACTGCCTTCGGCGTGCTCCTGCCTCGGCTTGCTGTACATGCGACCGAGCGAGGCTGCGCTGGCGCCGGCACATGCGCTACCGGTCGCCATCGCGGGTGTGGTGCCCGAGACGGCGAGGGTAAAGGCGTTGCTGTGCGCCTCGGAGCCAGCGTTGATCGCGGGTGTCGTCGCGGCTGGCGTCGCGCCCATGGACGGCGCATCGACCTCGAGTACAGGGTCGTGGAAGACACCGACCTTGATCCTGCGGTAGCCAGGCGTGTTGGCCGTCGCGCCAAACCAGCGGAAGAAGGGCAGGGCGATCTTCTTGAAGCCGTTGCCGCCGCCACTGCTGCCCATGACCTTCTCGGTGGCCACGCCGCTGGGCGAATCACATGCATCGCTGCCAGCCGCTGAGCCGGCAAACGCGAGCGACTTGCCCTTGAGCGACGGACGTGCCGCGTTCACGGCTGCGGACTGCAGCTTGCGGTGGAGGATCTCTGCCTGGACGGCCGATGAGCCGATTGGGGCGTCTTCGGGCGCGGTAAGCGCGTCCCTGTCGCTGCCGCTCGTAGCGGTGCCGTTCGTGTGCGAGCGGCCCTGTCTGCCTCTGCTGCGCTCCTCGTGCTCGTCGGCCGCCGAACCCTCGTGGCTGCTCCTCTGCGCGCCGCGCCAGCCGTCGTGGTCGCTGCGCCCATCGCTGGCGTGCGCATGCTGCGAGTCCCTCACGTGGCTCGTCTGCTGTTGGTGCAGGTGGGCGCTGAACACGCCTCCAGACACGGCAGAGGCAGCAGCAGCGGAGATGGGATGGCCGTAGTACTCGGGCGAGAAGGTCTCGGCATCTTTTTGCTGCTGCTGCCCTTGCTCATCCGCGGCGGTGGCGCCGTTGGTGGAGCGCATGCGCGAGAGGGTGCGTATGCGCTGCTGGGCTGAGGAGCTCCAGCGCATGCCGGCCGCGACTTTAGGGTTGGTGTCATACAGCTGCGAGCGACTTATGGCAGCAGCGCCAGCACCGGCAGCACTCAGACCGGCCTCTCCGCCGGGCGCAGGTGCGTGCGGCACAGTAGCGGCGGGTACGACTGGGGTCCACGCGGGGTGCGACGACTCGGCGTAGGCGCCGCTCGCTCCTGCGGGTCCGGCCGCCATCGCGGGGGATGACGATGAGGTGTGGCGCGCGTGGAAGGCGGCCATGGCCGCTGCGGCCCTCGGAGAAATGCCTGCGTTGGGGGGGGGAGGGAGCGGACCGGCACGCTGCGCGTGCGCTTGCACACGCGATGTGGCGTGGCCCATATCCGCCGCAGCGCCATGGGCGTATCCATTGACACCTGGCGCTGCAACTCCCGGACCAGTAGCTGCCGTCGGCGCGGTGGGGTACCCGCGCTGCTCGATCTCTGGGAACTGCGAGCGGAAGGAGGGCAAGGCCTGCTGCTGCTGCGAGCCGGATCCGCTGCTGGCGAGGGACGCAGTGCGTTCGCGGCCTACGATTCCCAGCACGGGTGTGCGGCGCGCCTCTGGCGGCGCGTACGGCGATGTAGCGCCTTGGATCGCCGTCGGCGACACGGCACCTGCACTCGACGGTGGCCGGGGGTCCGCGACGCCCGCATAGCCCGCATGCTGGTGCGGGTGAGGCGCATGGTGCAGGTGCTGCTGCTGCTGCTGCACGTGGTGGTAGTGCTGTGGATGGTGCGCAGCATGCGTGTGCTGATACACAGGCGACAGGTGGTGCTGCTGATCCTGCTCCTGCTGGTGATGAAGAGGCGGAGGATAGCCCACAAAGGGAGTCTGGTACGGCGGCGCCGCGTGTGGTTGAAGGACACTTGCTTGCTGCGCATGCGGCGTGTGGAGCGGGTCCGATGGCGGCGAGAGACTCGGATACGCATAAGCCGATGCCGAGCCTGCAGCGCCCACCGCTGGTGCTGCTGCTGCGTCAGGATAGCTCGATCGCGGCGCATTGGACGGCGGCGAATATGCCTGGCCCTGCGAATGCGGCGGGTATGACTGATTCGCGTGTCCCGCGCGGTGGTGAGAGAGATGGTGTGGGTGCTGGTGCTGTTGTGAGAGTTGATTCTGATGATGGGGATGTGGATGCTGTTGCTGCGGCTGCGGCTGTGACTGTGGCTGAGGATATGGCGAGTTTGCTAACGTCTGCTGCAGCTGCAGACCGGCCGCTGGTACGGGCGATGGCGCTGCTAGGTTGGTTGGGTTGGCAAACGAGCGAAACACCGACTTGGACTTGGACTTCTTTTTCCCCGAGGCGTCGGCGTTCTGCTGCTGCTGCAGCGGCGGGTCATCCGATGCAGCGCTGGACGCTTTGCGCTTGCGGCTGTTGGCGTTCGCTAGGTCGCCGAAGGTGTCTGCGTCATCGTCGTCATCGGCGAGGGCGCTACCCGTGTCGACTGCTCTGACATGCGCGCCATGGGCAGCGCTGCCGAGCGAGGGCATCTGCCTCGGCCCGTGGTTGGCGAAGCGTTCTTGCCGCAGCTTGGGCGCTAGGTCGTCGACGCGGAAGAGACATGTCTTGCCTGTTGCACTGCAATTTTCGCACTTGATCGAGTGGGGTGGCAGGAGGCAGCGCACCTTTTTCGCCCGGCTGGGCCAGAGGGAGGGAAGAGGCGCATGTGGTCAATGTTTTGGTCCCGCAGTCCTGGCGTTGCGAAAAACACGAAAATACAAGCTCACCATGGCTCGCAGGCGCTAACGGGGCGCGTCCGTTTCTTAGCTGTCAGCGGAAGCGCTGGTGTCGGCGTCGGACTGACTGGCCTGGCTTGTTTATGCTGCTGAAGCGCCGGAGGTGGATTTTGCGCTACGGTTGCCATGGCTGGCACCCACCCACGGGCGAGAAGAGGGGTCGCTGGGGTTTTGGGGTCTATTCGCTTCCTTGAATCCGACTGCGGCGGTCTTCTGCGTTGCTGTCACGCGCTATGCAGCTTGGCGGCCACAAGGGAAGGACAGACGAAGGGTTAGCCCTTGGCAGCTGGCGTATCCAAAGGTGATTGGCAAGCTCCAGCAGAGAATGTCCCTCACAGTGATTGATAGCGTATGCAAAGGACGGGTGGTCGAGCAGGGGGAAAGAAACGCTCCCCACGTTGATCGCATCCAAGGTCAAAGATGCGAGCAAGAATGAGTGCAAGATGATGCGACGCAGATTCGGCTCGGGATCGACTCGACTGTCGATACCAACAAAAGATGGTGGTGGTATGCCTGCGCACACGAGCCAGGCCCTCAGCGCGAAAGCGTTGAAGGGGGAAGAGAAGGATGCTGGCTTGGAATGCTGTCTTTTGTCGTTGGTTGTACGAGAGGGGATGGGTTAGCGAAAAGCGGGGAGAGGAGGGAGCGATGACTGACTGGCTTGCTGACTGGATGAGCTGGATGAGCTGGATGGCGGGCCCTCGGGGCAGGCGAGAAGAGCCGTCGACTGACTAGCCCCCCCCAGCCAAAGTGCGCTCTGAGCTCTCCCACTGCGCCCGCACACCCTTCAACCTCTCTCATGCACACGTGACTCTGCCACTCAGTCACAGTCCGCACCTGGTTGCGGAAGGAGGGGAAGCGGAACTGGCCAGGCCCAGGAACTAGTCTGCAATGCAAGCGCCTCTTTCATCGATGACTAGACTGCGTTCACCCGTCGCTCCCGGGCCATTATTAAAAATATAATATGTACTCACATACATTCATTCGGACAGCGCACGTGGAAACACGGAGGAGTGTCAGAATATGCATCTGGAATCGGCCAGATTCTATTCCTCTCCACGCATTTGGAAGTTCATTCAGACACAGCCCCGCTCGCGTGGCAAGATCTGGTCACTGAGCCTCAGTTCGACATGGACTCAGCCTCACCATGTAGATATGTAGAGCCAGCGCGACCATGGCAAGTTCCCACGTAGACTCTCTACGAGTCCTCTCTGGAGCGCATGAAGTGGGACTTTGACTTTCTGTGCCTCATACAGCATGACTGCGTGAATGAATGAGCCAAAGATGAGCATGGCAGGCTTAGGGTCTGTGTGTTAGGCACAGACCTAGCACTTTGGAGCGTCGAGATGAAACATTCGTGGTGGAACTTCCAAGGGCGTGCACCTAGCACACATTATAAAGGCGCAGAGAGCTGACGGAACTGTCTCTCGCTCTCCGACTCCTCGCCATCGCTTGCGTTTCAACACTGTTCTAACCAACCAAGCCAAGGGGGGAAAAGTCTCATCAATCAGAGGTCCGGCTCGTGCCATTGCTGCCATCAGCGGCCTCCACACCAGCGGTCGCTCCAAACTTCGACTTTCGAGGCTTGGAGTGAAACAGCAGCACCGCTGCAAGGGTGTATGCAGAGTACAGACAGACATGGTGCAGGGCTGCAGAGTTACGCGGTGGAGACCAGACCGCAGGTATATGCACTGTGTCCATTTATTTTAGTTACAGAAACGATTAAATATGTGCATACATACATTTGATATGCATGTACAGTAGAACTTGGGCAGTCTGGAAGTCTGGGTGGAGTCCGCTCGAGGTGCAAGGATGCCACATTCGCAATCTTGCGCCACGCCACTGTCAACACTGATCGAGTGGTTCCCAGTGGTTCACTCAACTGCATCCTCACTAGACACGACTCGCTGCTCTCTACATACTCACTACTCACCCACTTCTAACAGTTGGGCTGTTGCGGAAGTGCTGCGACAAGTTGCGACTCGCTTGCGGGACATCCGGATTCCGGTCCTTGGGTCCGTCCAGACGCGTCCATGTGTGGTGCATAGTTTGTCGTGCATAACAATTTTATAGTAACTTGAGTAATGAGTGAGATACAGAATGAGATATGGGATATCAGATGTAGCACGAGCGATGGGCGATATGTATATAATGTGAGCGATGGGCAGATACGGAGAAAGGTGCATCGATCGATTGCTTCGCACCCCAGTCAACGCTTCTTTCGTCAAGCTTTGCGTGGTGGCATATACGCGTGAAGTCTCGAGGTGCAGCTGTCCGGCATTTCGGTGATCCAGGAACGAGTAAAAGGAGCATTTCAATAAACGAATGAGTAACAAGTAATGAGTAATGGCTATTGATGCTTGGGCTTGGAGTTTAAGGAAGGGAACAGCAGGATAGACGGACGCATCGATTAGGTTATCATATGTCATAGGCAGCATAGGCTCATACCGCAATTCGACAAGGCGACACATTACCCCTCTCGCCTTGTGCCCAGCTGGAGGTCGGATACGCTGCAATCGATACTCTACGCTCCACACACCACATGTCAGCTTCATGTGTCGCAGCCAAAGCGAGTAGCCATCACTTCCGTGGGGCTGGCTTCAAGCTGCCAGCCAATGTCGACTGACAATTCATTTCCTCATCCTCCGCGGCTCTTGAGGTACGCCCAGACTTCTTTACACAGTCTACTGCAGTCGGTAGTGTCATTTGATGATAGGACGCTCGATGGATGAGGCGGTGATGTACAACCAGCCTCCAACACCAAACGTGTGTGTTTGCACAAACTTGTGTCTCGCTGAGCCGACGTTTTTCGTTGTCCCCTTTCCTTCCCTCGTCAAGGACGCTGCTGCCGTCCCCGCAGTTCATTCACTTTCTACCCGGCCGCATGACATCATCACAAACTTGCACATTTCACAAGCGCTTACCAACAAACATGTCGACATGGTCATGAATGTGGTATGTGATCGGCTAATCGGAGCGCAAACTTCGCCGCTGCTTCACACGCCAAGGTGGACAAGAAGTGCGGCACTGAGGTGCCACTTACGAGCGATTTTCGAGTGTTCTTGGACCTCCACCGTCACGTTCGAGTCAGCTTGGATAAGTGCAATATGGGTCAAGCAACAAATTATTCGATTACAGACGAGCTTGTTTCACCATCGCCAGCATCAAGCACCCGTTTTTTCTTGCTAAATCTGCGATATGGAAGGATCTGCATGATTGACATGCGGCTGCCACAGGCTCAGCCCTGATCCCCAAATGTCCAGCTCACATCCCTGAAGTCCCTCGCAACCATAACTGTACTCACGTACCCCCCCCCCTAGAGCTGTCTACTTCGGCTTCTAAACCCATGTGTGGCCTTGCTGCACTGCCCGCCTCATGTTGGCCTAGCATGCACTTGCCTCTCAAATAGTCTCGGTCCCCATCCCCGGCTCGCCGCTGCATATGCATAGTCTGCGGCACTGCTCAGCTGCCTCTCATAGCTGCGGACTCTTCACCACTTGCCGCATGAAGGCTACAGGATAGTTCACTGAGCACCAAGGCGTGCATGGTCTCAATGCATTCAACTGATTCAACTCACTCTCGAATGGACACCCTGGCACTTTTGCATCCTTTCCGACTTGCTCGTGTTGCAGTCAGCACTCGTGTGGAAGGCGAATGCTGGCTTCCCCCCCCCCCTTTGCGTGTTGAAATGATTTGCCCCTTCCTGCGAGGGAGTGTCACGAGCCGAAAAGCAAAGAAAGCGGCACGTGGACGGGGACAAATGCGTCATATCGAACCCAGTGCAACAACACCCAGCAACCTCCTCCGCAGGGCCACCATGACTGCCTTGTTCTACATCACGGACATGATTTCGGACCCGAGTCATGCGACAGTCGTGTTGAGGAAATAAGTTGAGCCTGTTCAAGGGGTCAAGGCTCTAATGTAGAAAAGGCAGCATACAATTGGGCTCTTCCTGTCCTGACCAATATCCCAGAGCTGTGCAAATTCAGTCTTCGCCACGATCGGTATTACACTTGTTCTATGAATCAGTCTCATCTATAATGACCCGTCAACGCCGCCTCGAAAGCTTTCTAACGTGCCATGGGGGACGTATCCACCGCCGAGTCGTGCTTATACTAGCCAATATCTAATGGCGCGACGATGAAGGCGCTGACTTGGCAGAGTAAGCATCCTCTCGCGCTCAAGGACGTGCCAGGGCCTACGGCCACCGAGGCACGTGTTGTCATCATCAAGATCACCGCCACAATGATTTGTGGCTCGGATCTGCATCTCTGCGGTGGCAACATCTTGCAGCTGAAAAAGGGTGATATCCTCGGGTAGGTGAATGCTTGCATGTATTGCCGCCTGCAGAATTTCTTCAAATTCTCCAATTTGCTGACCCACTCTTGTATTACTTCAGAGTGCATGGGTGTCTTCAATGATGCAGGGCAAGCAGTGAAGTGCGTGAAAGTCCGTGGTCGTGTCGCTTACAGATTCAGCATCTCCTGTGGCGAGTGCAAATTCTGCAAGATGAATCTCAACAGCGTGTGCGAAAGGACGAACAGCAGCAACGGAATGGACAAGCTCTATGATCAGTGATTCGGCGGCCTCGTGGGATATGGATACTTCAATCGCGGCCTCGCCGGGTGCCAGGCCGAGTACATCCGCATTCCATTCGCCGATTTCAGCACGCTCAAGGTTCCTGATGGCCTACTCGACGAGAGGGCCTTTATGTTGACCGATATCAGCTGCACATCCTACCACTCTGTTCTCGACGCCAGCTTCCAAGAGGGCTGAGAATGCGGCAATATGGGGTGCGGGACCGATTGGACAGCATTTCGTGCAGTGGCTTCAGGTCTTTGGCGCAAAGGGGATCATTCTCATTGACAACGTCCAGACGCACCTCGACTACGCCAAATGCACATTAAACGACGTTGCAACACACGCGGGCAAGGCGCAGATCAAGACGCTCAACTTTAACAGCAAGGCGGACTGCCCCCGAGGTCAGTTCCTGACCAAGAAGCTGTACGAGCTGGAGCCGCTCGGGATCAATGTCAGATTTGACGAGGCCGGCTTTCGATACGAGAGGAGCATCGCGCACACGGCCATACGCGCCGTCGCGCTCAAGACAGACACGCCCGAGACGCGAAATGAATGCATTCAGGCAATACCAAAATTTGTACGCATCAGCACCGCCGCGGACTGTGCCGGCCTTGGTAATGGCTTTAACATCGGTGGGCTGATGGAGAAGTGCCTGAACGGCTTTAGTAATTGCCACGCACCCGTTCAGCTCTACGCCACGGAGGTACTGGAAAAGTACATTGTGCTGGGCACGTTCAGCGCCACTAATGCCCTTACAGAATTTCAGCATCGACATGTTCCCCAAGCTGTATGTTGCCTTCAACGAGAAGAGATTCGACGAGGAGCACAAGCCGATCCTCAAGTGACTTGTCCAGACACAGTCCAGTGCTTCGCCAGCACCAAGCATGCCTGCTCTGAGAAAAAGCGCTTGCAGGTCAGCATAGGGACACTTGTCGACTGGACCCCTATGATGCAATGCTCCAACGCGAATGCTTCATTTTGGAACGTGCAAGGTAACGAAATCATGCATATACTCCGTATATAGTCAACTGCTCAAAGGAACAGGCGGGCGCAGGACAGCTCGGACCCTACATTGTAAACCCACTTCTCGTGGCATCCAACGACAGGACACCGATTCCGCGCGATGCCATTGATAATCTCCGTGGGCGGCGGGATAGGCGTGTGAGATGAGCTGCCGACTGGTGTGACGACGCCTAATTCGGAACGCGTGCCTTTAGCCGGAGATGGAGCTACTATTGCGCTATCCAGAGTATCGCTTGCTGTACCTCTGGGTCGCTTGGTACTGCCGCTACCTCCCCCAAATCCGTGAGACCCATCTGGAAGTTGGAAGTCGCTCATGTTCGGGTCGGTCATGGAATCCTTGTCGTCGGCCATCTTTCTAGCCAGCCGATCACGGCACTCGCCATCGATCACATGGCCGCATGGTAGGGCATACAGAAACTTCAAAGGGTCCTCGTTCTCCATCTGCAGCGCCTTGTCACATCCAGCGCAAATGGGAGTCTTGTCCGTCAAATCGTTAGCAGCTGCGCCTGGGCCTGCAGGAGCCCCATCGTCGTCATCATCGCCAATCGAGATGGGTGGCGGCAGAATCGAGTCGGAAAATGGAGGTTTGGACGATTCTTTGCCGTGTGTGTACTTGGACTTGTACTCCTTCCTGATGTACTTCTCCCTGCCCTCGTAGCGCTTAGCGGCTGTTCCTGTCCTCGCAGCACGAGTGCCATTGCCGGAGCCTGTAGCCGGCCATACAGGAGGCGCACGCCCTCCATAGTCAATCGCGAATCCTGCCAACAGTGCGTCATTTCGTCGTTCAACGCCAAACGGGCCCAGCAGACGATTCTGTGCGAGCGCGGCGATCCTGGCAGTGTCGGCTCGTACTGGTGACGGCGCGTTCGGATTCGCATTAGGCCCAGGCGCGAGTCCATTTGTGATTCGTGTGCCCGGCTCAGCCGCAAACAGCGGTCGTGCTAAGAAAAGGGCAAAAACACGTTCAGCGTTGGCTCAAGCGGAGTGACAAGGCGATCGGCGACTTGAAAGGAACGCTTACTTTGCCTGACACCTGTTACTTGCACTTCACTGCGTGCGACGCCCGTAATCTGCACATCTGCGATGCCATCAGAGCTAGCATGTACAGTTGCAGAGCCGGTTCCAGCGCTCGCAGTAGTGCGCGAAGGCCCAGCAGTCTGACCGGGAAGTACTAGACGATATTGTGTAGCAGACGACTCAGCTCGGGGCCCATCGAGCTCATCTTCCGAATCGACGTAGTGTGTCACCCTTCTAGCCCTTTGTCTGGAGGGTGCCGTTGTGTGGAGAGTAGACCTTGAGCTTTGATTGCTTGGACCAGCTGTCGTTGCTGCAGACGAGCTCAACGCCGCGGTGTCGACAGGGATCTGCGCTTCTCGTGACGATCGCTCCATACGCCGTGGGCGCAGCGATCTCCCTGATGCTGCTTCTGTAGAGTTTGTTCGAGACCGGGTCGAAAGCTGAGAAGAGCACGTTGATCTCGCAGGCCGCGTGACGGGCACCTGCGAATCGCTGGTCAAATCGATGATCGAGTCGTCGACTGGTATCGGCGAGGACATGGTGGTGAGAGGACGGGGCGGACAAGAAGCGCGCTTAAGCGTTGTATGGGGACAACCGAAGTGCGTCTGCTCCAAATAGGCCCTGCGAGCAGCACCCAGAATCAATGATGTCTCTCAATGCACTTCTAGCCAACAAACAGGCTGTAAATGCAGTACCTATAGCCTGGTCAACTTTTGGTGCGCACATGGATTCTAGGGCCACGATTTGCCACTCATGGCACACCCCTCTCTTATCTCGGCAGGGCGCCTATCGGCCGAGAGAGAAGAGCGTGTGTCACGCATGGAAACGGCGACGCGACCTGTTTTGCGTACGAGTGTGGATGGACACAGAACGTGAGTTCGCCACACGAGGTCAATGCAACCACTTCAGAAGATTCACCTTGGCCTCTATTCAGACTACGGTGACGCGCGGACATTATCACGTCTTTTCCATGTGCCTTTAGCCAGCCGTGCGCTCAGGGCCGCCGAGCGTGCGGCGGCAAGGGCAACTCTGACCGCAGATGGAAGCCGTTTCGAATAGCGCGTGGCCTGCCACGTTGCAGGAGCTGCAAGAGCCACCAGTCGTTCAGAGCAAGCAGCAGGGTCAAGCATCACCAATTAGCCGCATTCGGCATGAAATCCTTAACGGAGCCATACCTCATGCGAAAGTGAGTAAGCAATAGGACGGCCTGTTGTGCAATGACATTCGAGAGGTGAAGGTGGGACTGAAGTCTACACGTCTCACGGGCCGTTTAACGTTGCAGGATATTCATTCGAACGTCCAAGGCAGTGCAAGCTCATGGCGCAGCATCTCCTGGAAACTACTCCTAGGAATTGAATCCCTCCCTGCAAAGAAGTACCTCGACCTCGTCGCTCAAGGCCCTTCGGTAGCGCACGAGAAAATCCGCAATGACACTTTTCGGACGCTGACGACGGACCAAGGCTTCAAAGAGAGTGTGCATGAGGACCAGCTGATTCGGGTGCTGGATGCCTTCGTGTGGAGCCATACCGGTGAGGGTTGCCCTTATGAGAGCTTTTCTTGTGGCAACTCCCTGACGCTTACGCTTGGCTATAACAGACGAGGACGTCATCATGGCTGATGCTATGGACGGATATGAGTTCACCTACGTCCAAGGGATGAACGTACTCGCTGCGCCATTCCTCTTCACTATGCCCACCGAGCTTGAAGCATACTATTGCTTGAAACGCTTTATCGAAGTCTGTTGTCCTCTTTATGTTCAGCCAACTCTCGTTGGCGTTCACAAAGGCTTGCAGGTGATGCGAGGCATGTCGCTGCTCTTGTCTCAGCTCGTCACTGATCGTCAAGCATCCCCTCTGCTCAGCTGCTTGACCAATGCCTTGAGGCAATTGACTTGGAACTCTACACATATCTGCGGTCCAAGAACCTTTCCGCAGAGCTGTATGCCTTTCCATGTGAGTGGATCTATCGCACAAGCTATGGCGGCTTTCGCACTTACGATATTCTTCCGCTGCAGCTGTCCTGACGCTATGTGCTTGTACACCGCCGCTGGACCAAGTTCTTCATCTCTGGGACTTCCTCCTTGCTTTCGGCGTGCACATGAACATCCTTTGCGTACTGGCACAGCTGCTCATCATGCGCGACGAGCTTCTCGCGGAAGCGAGCCCTATGAAAATGCTGCGCACCCTGCCACCGTTCAACGCGCGCAGGATTATCTCGATCGCCGTCGATCTTGCGGGGAAACTTAGCCCAGCGCTGCAGAGTGCACTCGTCGCGCACACCTACGATGCTAGCGCTGTAGAGGAGTGAGAGGGGGCGCCGCACGTATTTACGCCTCTGTACAACCTTGCGCGCCAAAACGCGCCTTACGACACAACGCCAGGCAGATGGCTCTTGCCTCCGAGAACGGAGGTCTCGCAGTATGCAAGGGCTCTCCAGCGATTTAAATCGGTGGTCGTCCTTATTTGCACTCCATGTCCAAGCCTTGCAACCTTGCCGAGTCGACCACAGCATTCGGCCAGGGTGCATCGGGCATGCCGACCTTGCCACACAGGTCGCAGCTCGGCCATTACGATGCGGCTTGTCGATATGGATTGCACCACAAGAACGAATACTAACCAGTATCACCAGAATACAGCACCATATCACACATTGCATGGCGCTGTCCTGTCTATTCAGATACACGCCAAGCGAACGACCAGGCCGTCGACGCACTCCTGCAAATCCTGTTAGCGCGCCTCCAGTTGCCTTAGCATGTAGTGTCTGGTGCATACGTGGATCTAGCTGGACGCATTCATGCTCCATCCCTCTAGGATACACAATAGCAAGAACAAAATATGCATTCAGGTGCTGCTGCGAAAGTAAAATGCATTATTGTATAGCGTAAATCTTCAGAGTTGAGTGTTGATTGTGTTGCTTCATCACTGTGATGCGTGAGCGTGATACGCGTCTCGATTCTCCCGATATGATTGAATGCCGCACTGGCTCCCGGCCACAAACATAGTCTACGTTTCTCCGCTAAACTCGGGATTGATCACATCACGCGAGTCAAAAAGAGAATATTGCCAGCCATTCCACGGCCCGCGAGAGGTGGCTAACAGTAGGCAATCATGCTCTCGACTAGCGCACGCCAAGTCGTGCGCGGGGCCTGGTTTCCTGCGCCGGCGTGCAGGCAAGCATGCTTCCTCAGCGCACAATTCCGTATGCAACCTCGTCGGCTTGAGCCAAGCCAGAGGCATGCATTGAGACCGTATGCGACCATGCAAAATTGCATTTTCTGCACCTCTGCACGCACTCCAGCTTGTCATCCTGCAAACCTGTCGCTTCAAGCTCGCCCTGCAAAGGAAGGTGAATACGGTGCCACGCATGGCAGACTTCGCCCCCAATTTCGACGGCATCCAGGTCTGTTCAGTGCTCAGGCGCAAGGAGTGACAGTCACTAGCAGGAGCATTGCAACCGGAGCGGGGCCAAGCGACACCCCTCCTGAAGCGCCGATTTCTGGGTTCAGCGTCCGACCATTTTTGCAACTCGCACGTCTAGACAAGCCAATCGGAACATGGCTACTGTATTGGCCGTGCGGTGAGACTGCAACCCATCATGTGGATTGTACAATGTAGCAAAAGCTAACCTCCATATCCTCTTCTCATCCTTCGTAGCATGGTCGATCACCCTTGCGTCACAATACGTCGACGCACCAGTCAGCGTAGCGGCGTCCAACATTTTACTATTTGGAGTCGGTGCAGTTGTGATGCGCGGCGCAGGCTGCACGATCAATGACATGTGGGACGCCAAGATGGACAGGCTAGTAGGTGCGTCTTGCCGTGAATGTGCTCTGACCACCTTTTAGGCGTGACGATCAGCTACGCAAAGTTGGGCCACGTATCTCACTGGCCTCGGACACCCGGCGCTTCCACAGAGCGAACAAAATCGCGGCCCATCGCATCGGGCCAAGTCTCGCACTTTCAGGCGCTTGTCTTTCTTGGCGCGCAGCTCAGCACTGGACTCGCCGTGCTGGTGAACCTCAACACATACAGCATTCTGCTAGGCGCATCCTCCCTCAGTCTCGTGACCATTTATCCGTTGATGAAGCGGATCACCTATTGGCCGCAGTTCGTCCTTGGTGCGTCATACACTTCTGCGTCTGGTGTCGCGATCGAGCTGTCTATACTGATACAACTATGGCTGTGCGATCCATAGGCCTCGCATTCAATTGGGGTACTCTTCTCGGCTGGTCAGCAGTCGCGGGGAGCTGCAATTGGCCGATCTTGCTGCCCATGTACGCTGGCAGCGTCGCTTGGACGCTTGTCTATGACACGATCTATGCACACCAGGTGAGACCGCTTCACCAGCTGCAGCCCGAGGCCTCCATTGATGAATAATCCAAATCGGATCAGGACAAAGTTGACGATGTGACGGCTGGCGTCAAGTCCACTGCGCTTCTGTTCAGCGAGCAAACCAAGCCGATTCTCTCCGCCTTCTCGACCATCTTTCTGAGCAGCATGGCGTTCTCTGTCGCGCTGTCCACTCGTTCACTCGGAACGCCTCTGGAGCTGCTCACCAACCCCCAGCTGCTCTTCCAAATGGCCGTCCTGTCGGAACACCCAGCGTTCTTTGCGGCGCTTGGTGCAGCTGGTGCGCAGCTTGCGTGGCAGGTCGGCACGGCCAATTTGGACAGTCGAGCGGATTGCTGGAGAAAATTTGTCAGCAACCAGTACCTCGGTCTGCTCATCTGGCTCGGTTTGGCGGTGGACTATGGTCTTCACATTTGGAAGTTGCAAGGCGAGGAGGCAATGGAGGGCCATGTAGAAGACTCAATTAAGGGTCGTCCTCGTTTGGTGTAGGCCGCGTGGCCTCCGTTCGACGTGCGATTCATCAGAAGCTAGCACGATCTCTGATACGACATGGAAAGACACTATTTATCGAATCAAAAGTGAGCAACAGGTTAACGATGGAGATATGAGTATAGAACGATGTACCTCCAAAGCGAAGAAAAAGAAGATGAGACAATGCCCCTTTTAGGGTTGTGTCTCGGTTCAAGTCACCTTGCCTATCAGCGGAGTGAGCCCGCGGGAGTGTGGACGTGTTAGTGAACTGTGCGGCGGGATCGGTTCGCAACTCACCATGGAGAACGGCTATAGTAGGTGTTGATAGCGACCATAACAGCAGGTGCATTCATATATACCTAATCCCCTGAACAACCTCATCCTTTGCATCGTCAACATCTGTTTCGGTTGACGTGCGCGACACACTTCTTCAGAGACAATCTGTATCTGACTTCGCTGGCGTGCCACTGGCCGTTGCTCACCATGGCATCCTCTTTCCGCCAAACCGGCCGTAAGATCATCGCGTGAGTGTGGGAGTAGGCAGCATGGCCTCCGTACGTATCGTGCGTCGTGCCATCCAACACTGGTGCTGAAGGGCCTCTATGCGATGCCGCCTCACCTCGTTCGTGCAGTATTGGGCGTAACTACGCCGATCATGCAAAAGAGCTCGGCAACGCCGTCCCCACCGAGCCTTTCTTCTTTCTCAAGCCTACGAGCAGCTACATCGACAATGGCGGCACAGTTGAGATCCCCCGCGGCATCAAGTGCCATCACGAAGGTGATCCATAGCTCACGCATCTCTGTGGCTGTTATTGCGTGCAAATGCTGATAGCACACATCTCCGCCGACCTTGCAGTCGAGCTTGGTGTCGTGATCGGCAAGGAGGGCCGGGACGTCTCGCCGGAGGACGCTGACTCTTACATTGGCGGATATGGTGAGGCAAATACCCTTCTCGATGCGTGCAACTATTGACAGTTATTTGGTGAGCTGACCTTCCTTACGTGCAACCCAATGTGATCCAGCGCTCGCAATCGACATGACGGCACGGAACTTGCAGGACAAGGTCAAGAAGAAGGGCTTGCCGTGGTCGGCCGCCAAAGGCTTCGATACATTCAATCCTGTCAGGTGGGAAACAGATCTCTATGACACGAATAGGACTTCTCCAAGGAAGCTGTACTGACTTCCACCCACCTTTACCCTTGGCCTGGACAGCTCTTTCATCGAGAAGAGCAAGATCCCAGACCCGCACAACGTGCGCCTGTGGCTGAAAGTGAACGAGAAGACGCGACAAGATGGCAACTCAAAAGATATGATCTTTAACATCCCCTCGCTCATCGAGCACGTCTCCAGCATCATGAAGCTCGAAGTCGGCGACCTTCTCCTCACCGGTACGCCGCAGGGCGTCGGCGAGGTCATGCCGGGCGACACCATCACCGCCTGCCTAGGGCTGCCAGAGCAGAACGGCGGAAGCAAGGTGCTGGCTGAGCTCAAGCTGTCCGTTGTTCAGCGACAAGGCGGCTACGAGTTCAAAGAGTAGGGTGATGCGTCCGTCGAATGCCAGATGCTGGGTGAAATGGCACGTGATATTTACCCAAGCAACTATAGTTAAATGCACATATGCTCGCGCTTTTCGGATCACACGGTGCGCCGGTGTGACGCCTGATGCCCTCCCGTGCAATTTCAACCCAAGCAGGGTATGTATTCGTATAAATGGCGTACGAGCGGCATATACCTGAAGGTGGTGTGCAAGTTAATATCGCACGTGCGAGTTCGGATGCTTACGTAACAATCTGGCGCGCGAATATGTGTGCGCCTCTCCCATAGCATAACACTCGGTAATATGGTAAGACTTGGACCACATATCCACGCAAACGCTGATGATCCGATGAAGCGATGGCGGGGTCCAGCGGCAAAGAGTGCAGGGCGAAAGCGCATGTATGTAGCATAGAGTGAACACGGTCCGCCTCGACATGCGAGCTACATAGTTTCCGAGCGTCACCTTCGCTGGTCCGGGATCCATTCCAATTATACCACGTCTGCCCACCCAGTCGCAGGACCTTTTTGGTCGCGCTTCGACCGTCTAGCGGAGCGTGTAGTGATCTCACGCTTCACCATTCATTTCGATAGTAGTCTCTTGCGGAGCGGTTCGAGACATCGAGTTGTCAGGATGCCATTGCAACCAAAGGCACCAGCCAACACGCTCGAGCGCCAAGCTGGACACAGCCAAGATGAGCCACCTGAGCTCCGCTGCGGGGCAATCATCAAGCGCGACCGCAAAGCAATTCACCTCGGTGCACTACACCGCCATCTTCGTCGGAGCAGGTGCCTCCGGTCTAAGCGCGGCGCGTGAGATCTCCTCGGCGGGCTTGCAGGTGCTCATTCTCGAGAGCCGGCAGCGGATCGGTGGTCGTATTCACACGCATGAGCTGCCCATCAAAGAGAAGCGGCGCGCCACGAGCCGGACCGCCGTTGCTACCACTGGCAGCGGTGCCTTTCGGGGTCGGTCAGCCAGTACAAGCACAGTGGCAAGCAGCTTGTCGCAATCGGAATTCGCGGCGTACGTCGAGAATAACGATGGCTCGGACGCCTCCGACAAGAATGTAGCGGGCAGCAGTACCGTCTATGCGGACCTCGGCGCCAGCTTTGTGCACGGTGTGATCGGCAACCAACTGATGGCTCTGAGCAAGCGGGTGCCATTCTCCCTGCACCTGCCTTCAGAAACGTCCTTCATGCACGTCTTTCGGGACGGTGCACATGGAGAACGACTCCCTGATGAGTAGGCCGAGAGAATAGAGTACTCTTCGAGCGAGGTCACATTTCAGAGGTGTGCTCGCCTCGCTCAAGAGGGTCGTGTGGGAAGGGATGTGGAGTCAGAGCAAGCAGGCTCACGGCAGAGAAACATACCTGGTGACGAGGAGACACTTTGAGATCCGATGATCAAGAGCGAGGCGCACGAGGGAGTTTGGTATGGGATCGATGCGAAGGAGCGAGAACGCATCCTGTCCCTGGCGCCAATATGGGCAGGCTGGATTGGTGCACAGCTCGACAAGACGAGTTTACGATGTTGGGGCTTCGAAAAGGACATGAGTAGATGGCAAGCAACCTGTGAAGTGATCGTATGACAAATGTACGACATCTTGTAATACATCAGTACGGTGGCGAAGACGCAGTCGTTACTCACGGGTGTCGGCAGCTGATCGACTGGACATGGCGACAAGCCGAGAAAGAAGGCGCCGAGCTCATCTTAGACTCCAAGGTGACGCAGATTGCGCGGCAGAACGACGACGATGACAGTCCCTTTGCCGTTCAAGCTGTCTCATTGCAAGGCGACCAGATGAAATTCCACAGCGACTTTGTCATCTGCAGCCTTCCACTGGGTGTCCTTCAAAAAGAAGCGCCAGCATTCAAACCACCACTACCGCTTCGAAAACAAGGAGCCATCGAGCGCCTTGGATTTGGCCTGCTCAACAAAATTGTCCTTACGTACTCTTCGCCATGGTGGAGATAAGACATCAGCAACCCACAAGCAGATGGCTGGTATTTTGACCTGCCGTCGCCGGCTCTCTCGCCTTCCTCCTCTCCCCCCGCTTCAAATGACAGGAGGGACATACCCCATTCCCACAACTCAAAACGGCACCGCTCTTGGCACAGGACTACTATAGCGTCACGGGCAAGCCGATGCTGATGCTCTTCTTCGGCCCTCCTGTAGCGGAAGCAATCGAGAATATCACACCGGAGCGCGACGCGGAGTTGACGTCCCACGTCCACACGCGCCTTGTCGCTGCCATCTTACCGAAACCGCCTGAGAATCACAGAAAAACGGGGAACGATGCAGTTGCACCCTCAGCCGCGGCCGCAGCCATTGGCAGTGCAGAAAGCAGCGCTCCATCCAGGCCCGTCGCCTCGGTCGTGACGCGCTGGCGTTCCGATCCACACTCCCTGGGAAGCTACACTTACTTGCCTGCCGCGCGTAAGCGTAGCGGTGCCAATGGAAGCGGAGACGGACACGGCGATGAGGGTGGGGTTCGGCCAGCAGCGTCACCACTGGATATGATGGAGCTTGCACGTCCCGTGTGTGGTGGGCAACTTGGGTTCTGCGGCGAGGCGTGTCATCCGGATTTATACGCCTCGGTACATGGTGCCCTCATGAGCGGGCTAGAAGAGGGGGTGAGGATCGTCAATCTTGCGAACGAGAGGGGGGTACGACACCTCGTAGCGAGCAGCGAGCGGACGGAGCAGCAACTTGCTCGCGAAGGAGATAGAGCATGCAGGCAGCTGATGTAAACAGTCGCGGCTTGGTATCATACATTCGTCGCAGCGAGCAATCGCGAAAGCGATCACTACGCCGCACCTACTTCTTTCCCTTCTATTGCCGGACTGTCCGCGTTCATCGGCGAGGACGCCGCTCTTCCTGCCTTTTGCTTCGGTCTGCTTCTTCCCCATGTTACGCGGACCTCTTTCCCACCAAGCTGCACTTTTACCGCGCATCGTTCTGCCGCCGCTTCTGCTTCTTTCCGTGATCGGAAGTTGACAAAGGCACAGTTGGAAGTGGAGACGAGGGTGATGGACTTGATGCTTTCTGGTTTGAGTGATGGAGTGGTCGAGACGAAGTAGGTTCGGATCGCGTCTTCCGATGTTGCGGGCGAAAGAGATGTCAGGAAGAGGGATGTCTGTGCAGCACGCGGTAGAAAGGTTGTGTTAGTCCAGCGGCTTTCCCAGAAATCGAAATTCCGTCGCCCTTACGCACCACATCAGGGTCCTCCGGAGGCGTCAATCCAAGTTCCGCCTGATGCTTTCCCATGATCTTCTTCGCTACCGGGTCATTCCGGCCATGGAACCGATCTTTGATGTTCTGCCTGCTGAGCGGATCCTCCTTGTCTCTCGGCAGCTCGTGTCGAAAGGGGCACTCGTCTCCTCTCGTGCAATTTCCCTTTGCGTAAAAAGAACACAGATGCGGCCTATTGCGCTTGTAGTTAGGATCGGTCCGCGCGAGCTTGCGCAGCAGCTCCTGGCCCGCACGGGCGCTCGGACCGGCAGAGCTTTCGATCATGCTGCTTCCATCGCTTCCATCGCCGAGTTTTGCTTCGATGTTCTGCATGTAGTACTCGCGATTGATGTCGCTCGTAGGCGCCTTGTTCTTGACGCCCAGCGCAGCATCGCGCACCTGGACTGGCAAGCCGTACTGCAGATCAAGCACGCAGGTCTGGCATACGTTCTTGATCTTGGCGCACGATGTGCAGATTTCAGTGCGCTTGAAGCGCATGCCTTGCCCCGGGTTCCATCGGAAGACAGTGAAAGGCCGAGTGCAGATCTTGGATGTATTGTGCAAAAGTCAGCATTTCAGACCGAACCCATTTCGCGATGAGGGGGTGTGCACATACCTTACATTCACTACCGTGCATCTGCTTGCTCATCCGCACATATGGGTTCGGGCCCAGACATGTCTCACAGAGGATGGGTGTGTCTGCGACCTCACCTCCCTTGAGGTTATTATCCGCTTTGCCTCCAAGGCCATACGACATGGTGGGCGATGAGCAACCTTGGTTTCGCGCAATTTAATAGCAACGCTGCAGTCGAGAGCGGCGCTGGCGGTGGGACTCTACAGAGACGGAGTAAATGCTTCAGATGGTCTTTCGGGTGGTCTGGCCAGTCACGAGTGCTCGGTTCCGTCAAGAGGGATGCTGTCCGAAGTTGACAACTGATGACAGGTCGTGGTCAATGTCGAGGATGCGTATATAAGACAAAGTCAATATATAGATGGCGACAAGGAGTCTCAGCCAACCTGGAAAAACAGAAATCGGCACTGCGCCACTCTGTGTAGCGGTTGCGAGTTTCGCCTCGTTCAGAAGGCTCCAATTTCCAAGGAGACATCTCTCATATGACAGTCTGAATGCTATAGTAATTAGGCGCCCTATGTCTTCGCTCACTGCAGCCAGGCTGCTTCACGCCGATAGCTCGCGAGAGGTCATTGCTGGGGGCCTTCAACACTGTATTGCGAGCAGGTATGGTGCAACCAACAGCTGCGGGCTTCAAGCCTGGCGAGCAGTCAGACGACCGCACCACGTCGCCGTCAGTCCAACCGTCTCGGGATAAACCGACGCCAGTTGCTGCTACCGAGCGGCGGCCTGGAGCTGCAGAAGAAGATGAGGGTGAGGACCATGCGGGGGATGACGCCGACGGTGCTACGGGTACCGATGGTCTCAGCGCCAAGCAGCGCAAGAAGCAAAAGTACAAGGCAAAGCTAAAGAAGAAACTGGGTATTGGACAGAATGCAGACGAGAGTGGCTCCCCGGGCGCGAAATCGGCTTCCACGGGCAACGCTCAAGATCGGGAGCTATCGGAACAGGTGCTCGACTCCATCAAGGCCGCGGTTGCCAAGGAACACGGTGCTGGGGCCGCACAGAATGTCAACCGTACGAATCTGGCCAAGCTGCTCGCCGCCATGAACCTCGAGAGGGACTTACTCGTCAAGAGGCAAGAAGAAAAAGCGAAGCTGAGCACCCAGAAACAGATTGCAGAGCACAAGTTCTGGAAGACACAGCCGGTGGCCAAGCCTGAAGATGGGCCCACGGAGCAAGACGGTCCGATTGAGCCGAACCAACCTGCCCATCTTGTTCGCCAAGAACCGTATCCACTCCCGTCCGACTTTGAATGGGTTCAAGTGGACATTGATGATGCAGAACAGCTCAAAGAAGTATACGAGCTGCTCATCGCCAATTACATTGAAGATGACGATGCCAGCCTGCGGTTCAGGTACAGCCCTGAATTTCTCAACTGGGTCTTGCGCCATCCAGGATACCACAAAACCTGGCACATCGGCGTTCGAGTCAAAAGCACGGGCAAAATGGTCGCTTTCATTTCCGGTATCCCTCATGAATTGAGAGTTAGGGATCAGTGAGTTTCCGGCATCTCGGTGGAAGGCCAGTGCGGCGAGTGGCTGACTGATCGCCCGGTGTGCCGAATGCAGATCCTACCATTCCGTTGAGATCAATTTCCTTTGTGTGCACAAGAAGCTTCGTTCCAAGCGACTCGCACCGATGCTCATCAAGGAAGTCACAAGACAGTGCCATTTAACCGGTGTCTTTCAAGCCATTTACACGGGCGGCATCGTAATCCCCACACCCATGTCCTGCGCCCGATATTACCACCGCACGCTCAACGCGCTAAAGCTGCTCGAGATCGGCTTCGCCGCCGTACCGCAGAACATGTCGAAGGATGCTTGGGCCAAGCGCTACGTTCTCCCTCCGCAGCCGCGGACAAAGGGGCTGAGGGAAATGCGAGAGGTAGATGTCAAGCCGGTCGGCAAGTTGACGAGACGCTTCATGCGCAAGTACGACATGGCGCCAAGGTTCAGTGATGAAGAGGTTCGACACCTTTTTCTCAGTGGGAGAGGAGAAGAGGCCGGTGCAGGCAAGAGGGAGAAGCAGGTCACTTGGAGCTACGTTGTGGAGGTGCGTCTTGACTAATTGAGCTCGTGCTAGACCGCCTTATTCACACTCTCATTCACATTGGTAGAACGAGGAAGGCCGTATTACCGACATGTTCAGCTTTTACAGCCTGCCGTCATCGATTTTGGATAATGCAAAGCACACGGTTCTGAACGCGGCATACCTCTTCTACTACGCTACGGATGTTGGGTTCTCCGACCACCGGCCATCAGCCAGTGCAGGCGGCACGTCATCATCAACGTCGTCCTCCGCCTCTCCATCCGTGAACCCTTCATCGTCGCCCTATGCGACGGCGCCGATCCCAGAATCAACCGAAGGACTCGAACCATGGAAGAAAAGCCATATTACCGGACTTAGCGCTGACGAAGCGGCTGATGAGGATGGTGTATTGCGGTGGGACCACGAAGGGAGGGAGGTGAAGGACAAGATCAAGAAGCGCTTGAATGAGCTCGTCAATGATCTGCTCATTCTCGCAAAGCAAGTGCGTGTTGCCCCTCTGACTTTGGCACTGAGCGTACGCGCAGCTGATTTCTAAGCCTCTGATTCATTTCACAGGAGGGCTTTGATGTTGTAAACTGTCTCACCGTCATGGACAATCCACTCTTTCTATCGGAGCAGAAATTCGGCCCGGGCGATGGGTTCCTGCGCTTCTATCTCTTTGTGAGTCTACGCTTTCTGCTCGACGTCATACTCTCGCGTGCGATTGCTGACAGCTTATGTTCTCCCATTGCAGAACTGGCGAGTGAAGCCAATCCAAGGAGGCATCGGCTCTCGCGCAGGCGAGGCAGAATTCGATCCCGTGGCGCAATACGTCAATGCGCAGCACAAGGCGTTCGCCTCGGCGTCTGGCGGAGACAAGGCGATGTCCATACAGGACGAAATTGCCCGAGTCATGCAGACGAGGCAGCGACCTGAGGAGTACGGCAGCGGGAACGGCATCGTCATGGTGTAACGAAGCATTGCCCTCAATTTAAGCAAAGGACTATCTGCCAGAGGCAACGGCGCATACGATAGATGCTTCACCGACAAGCGACGTCGTTTCATAGGGTCATAGATGCAATCTACCGAATAGTACAAGTGTGAATTGCGTACTCATCATTGTCAACCCTATGCAACAATGACGAGAACGCTCATGTCTGCGATGCGATGAGCGCGAAAACGACACTTAAGCAACAAGAGTGCTAGCAGTCGTGCTCTCGTACTTGAAGGTCGGCGGGACGGCACCCTTGGTCTTGTAGTAGCGGGCAAGCCTGTGGATCCTCGACTCGATCAGAATCAGGCGGAACTTGGAGTCCATGTCCTTGCGGTTGCGCTCGAGGTGCTTGCGGACGGACACAGCCTTTTTCTGAGTTAAAAGAAAACAAGCATCATGGTCCATTAGTTCGCGCACGCTTCTCACATATTTCCACTAGGAGGATCACTCACGATGAGGTGGTAAAGGTCCTCAGGAATTTGCGGGGCAAGGCCCTCGCTCTTGAGGATCCTCAAAATCTTGTTACCGGTGACGAACCTGACCTGGGCAATACCCTGGCTGTCGCGGAGCTGAACACCGATCTGCGATGGGGTGAGACCCTTGCGGGCGAGCTTGAAGATCTGGTTGCAGACGTCCTCCGGAGTCGCCTTGAGCCATGAAGGCGGCGAGCGGCGGTAGGGAAGCGCCGAGGAGGAAATACCCTTGCCCTTGCTGTGCATGCGACCCATCTTGGCGGATTTTCTGAGAGCGCAAAGAAGAGTACGTGTTAGTGGATAACTCTCGTTGAAGGTTCATCCCTTTCGAGGCTTAACAAGAGCGCAGGTCCGCAATCCCGTTCCCCACGTTCCTTGAAGACAAAGAGTCGGACCCGCAAACATCACCAATTCAAGCCGCGCAACTGTCACCGAATAATCATCTTCACTCAGGAGAGCATGGCACCTCAGTGAGGCAGGCAACTCGAGATAGCTGCCACAGGTGCTACTGTTCCGGACTCATTACCTTCGCTTTGCACCCGATCGAAGCACACCTATCCACCGTAGGCCTATTCCTTCATTGGATGCTCGATGCAGCTACCCTTGCCATCCCAAATAGGATAATGCTCGTTGAGCGGCGAAGCTGGGATGATCGGGCAGCGATGACTTCGCTTGCAGGCGAAGCACGGTGCGAGCCGAGCGCGAACAGAAGCCGCCAGTCCAACTTTCAGGATGCTAGCGCATCTCCTGCTGATAGAAGCGGATCCGCGTTTGGCATGTGAGCCGAATGAAGCTGCTCCACCATGTCCAGCATCGCCATTTCTGCGCTGTCGCTGGTCGACTTGCCGCTCTCTCCGCAGGCAGACAATCGACTGGTCCTATCTCAAAAGCCCTTGCTTTTCCATCCGAAGCCGTTGAAGTGCTCTCCATCGTCGCCTCCCTGATTCTCCAGCGACATGCTCACCTTGATGACCTTGCTGAACTGCCGAGTCGATGAGGAGTGCCGAGTCTTTGAACGTCGACCTTCTGAAGTATGAAAGTGACAATCCTTTTGGCTACAATCCGTTGCTTGATGCGTCGCGCGCGTTCTCCCACAGACAGGCCTGGCACCAAGAGGCACTGCAGGCAGCTGCGGCACAAAATTATTCAGCCCACCAATCTGTTTCACCCAACTTGGCCCACCGTTCCGCCCCCTCACGTCTTGGCCCACTCAACCCACTGGCCGACTCGCTCTCGCGACACCCAATCCAGCGACTCCTCACCATTTCTACAGAAGAGTCTTCTTCCCAACTCTTGCCACGGTATCGGACCTCCGTCTGCAGGAAACATCGCCCAACATGTGAGTACCGCCGGCATGATGGGCAGAAAGTACGCATCGCAAAAGACGCACAACGGGGTGCGGGATATTGGACGTACTAGATGGAGCAATGTCGGATGTTTGACGGCGAGACGATGTCTGGCGGCCAGACCTGAGGGAAGCATGGATCGGTGGGCAGCTGCGTTGTGAAGGCCTATGGAGCAACACGGGTTGCGAAAGACGCTGCTGCCAAAGGAAAACTGTTGCAAGCGGCAATGCTGGACAAAGCAAAGGATGCTCGTTGTTCAACGCCAGATCTGCAATTCTGCCACGAGTATGGTCGACTTTGGACTGCGGCGGTTCCCTCCCTCTTATGCAACTCGTTCAGACAATACAGGACTGCAGCTAACCTTACCTTGATCAATTTCAGGAAGCTGAACTTCGCTAACCCGGCAACGGGTGCTCAAAAGAGCATCGAAATCGACGATGACCGCAAGACCCGCATCTTTTGGGAGAAGCGCATGTCCCAAGACGTCGAGATCGACGCCCTTGGTGACGAGTGGAAGGGCTACGTTGTCCGCATTGGTGGCGGTAACGACAAGCAGGGTTTCCCCATGAAGCAGGGTGTCCTTGTCCCATACCGTGTCCGTCTTCTACTTGGCGAGGGCCACTCATGCTACCGCCAGCGCCGCGCGGGTGAGAGGCGCAGGAAGTCGGTCCGCGGCTGCATCGTTGCTGCCGACATCCAGGCCCTCCACCTCATCATTGTTAAGCAGGGCGAGCAGGAGATCCCTGGCCTTACGGATGAGGCCTCGATCCAGCCTAAGCGTCTCGGTCCTAAGCGTGCCAACCACATCCGCAAGTTCTTCAACCTCAACAAGGAGTCAGTATGCAGTTCCATCACGCTTTGCTGTTGCCCTTTTTGCGTAGATGGATACTGACAGTATAAATGTGTCTCGTGCAGGGACGATGTCCGCAAGTTCGTCGTTCGCCGTGAGGTTACTGGTAAGAAGGAGGGTGCCAAGCCATACACCAAGGCCCCGAAGATTCAGCGTCTCATCACACCTGGGCGGCTGCAGCGCAAGCGTCACCTCCGGTCGCTCAAGATCCGCAAAACCGAGGCACAGAAGGAGCAGAAGGCCGAGTACGAGAAGGTTGTTGCTCAGCGCCAGGCAGAGAAGAAGGCGGCTGTGCAGGCACACCGGGAGGCTGCCAAGGCTGCCAGGAAGGCCTAAATCTGCAAACGAGGGCAACTAGTTGCCGGACTGTCTGCAAAGGTCTTGGCAGTCATCGTAGTATGAAAAAATGGGCAACAGGAATGGCTTCGACTCTCGTTGCGTCCACTTTATCCGAGCGCCGTCGATTTGCAACGCACAGCAAGGACGCGATGCGCTGGTGCGTCGTCTGTGCCATTACAACTCGCACCTGTCCCTTGTCAAGCGACATGAGCAATCTTGTGCTGCGAGGGACGACGAAGCATGGTCGTGTTTTCTCCTTGTATGAACATGATACAATACACAATACTAGGCATCTGACTTCTCTGTTTTTCTCGCGTGTACCCGGCATCCAACACTTTTGAATTGATATGCCAGCACGTAAATAGCGCCTTCGTCCCTCATGCCATCGCAGATGATGAGGACTGGGGTGTCTTCCATTTGTGCAAGTGCCAACCGAGAGCCTGCTTCACATTGAAAAACCCTACTTTCTGGTAGTGCAACCCAAAGGTGTTGAAGTGTGCAATGCGCACCAGCAACCCACTTTAACCCGCTCGCATGCCGTGTCATCTGTGTGCGTCTGTACGAGACGTTATTGTGCAGGGGGCACATGGGGCCCATTCATGGCTTCGTTGATGGTCCACAGAGCGCTACATAATGCTCGTCCTTTCGACTCATGCTCACACGACATCATTCTGACCTATACAATTTTTAGGAGGCATCGTAGCGTGACTTGCGTGTGCGACTTGCGAACTGTTGCATATTTGGTCACGTAGCATCGTTTACCCGTATGCATTCAACCGGCGAGAAAAGACCACGCACGGCGTCTTTGTCCGATCAGAACGACTTTGTGCAACAGTCCAGTGGCCTATCCGTCACAGATAGCATTTTAGCTCTCTCAGGAAGTCCTTCACGGAAGAAAGCCAGTATGAACTCTACGGACAATTCTGCGACGGGAATGGGCGCCAGATTGCAATCCATTGCGTGCGAGCATCTTTCGGCAGCTCTCAAGAAATTGCAACCGCCAAGGGTGTCACAGCAGGTTCACAAAGAGGAATGCACGCTCTGTTTCGACGATCACGATGGAGTGAACGGAGTCGATGTGTGCTTGCATTGTTTCAATGGGGGATGCTCGGGGCCAGACAGCGATCGGCAACATGCCAAGCTACACCTCGAGAAGACAGGTCACGCCATCGCAGTCAATGTCAAGCGGAGAGCGAAGCCAAAGGCCGAGACGAATGAGGTTAGTCTTGCCTGTCACAAGCAGACTTGAATTTCTTCTGAAGGCCAATTGCACATCCCCGATCCCTTGCAGCCCGAGCCAAAGCCTATCAAGCTTGCGATTCACGCCGAGGGAGAGGCTGACAAGTATGACTACAGTTACGTGCCCAAATGTCTCGCATGCAACGATATAGAATTTGACACTGCTTCTATAGCACAGTTGCAACCTTTCGTAGACGGCGTTGTAAAGTCAATGTCCTCTGCCCAACAGAGTGAAGTGAAAAGCTGGGAGGAGGAGATCGTCAATTGCGAGCACACGGACAAGCTAGTGCAACTTGAAGAGGACAAGAGGCAGAAAATCGATTCAAGCATCAAGACTGGGCAACCGGAACGACATTGCTCGCTATGCGATCTGGTGAGTGCGAAGGCGCCTACTCCCGGCATTATGGTGTCTCCTGAGCGATAGCATTTCCACATCAGACATCGAATTTATGGCTTTGCTTGACCTGCGGAAATTTGGGGTGCGGGAGAGCGCAATTCGGAGGGGTTGGCGGCAACAGTCACGGTCTCGCCCACTTCAAAGCTACAGGTCATCCCTGCAGTGTCAAGCAAGGGACCATCACACCCGAAGGCTCAGCCGACGTATACTGTTATGCATGCAATGACGCTCGGCTTGACAATCGGCTGGCCGAACACCTTGGTAACCTGGGTATCGTGGTCGCCAATCTGAGCAAGACGGAGAAGAGCATGACAGAGCTCCAAGTGGAGCAGAACCTTTCGTTCGATTTTAGCATGATGGGTGAAGATGGTCAGAAGCTGCAGTCGGTGTTTGGGCCAGGGCTAACCGGACTCCGCAACCTCGGGAACAGCTGCTACCTCGCTTCGATCCTTCAGTCGCTTTTCTCCTTCCCGTCATTTATCAGGCGCTATGGCGACGCGTACAGACAGCATTCGCTCGTATGCGAGAACCCTTTACCTGCAGCATGCTTGGAATGCCAGCTTGGCAAGATGGCCGATGGGCTCCTTTCCGGACGCTACTCTGTGCCTGCTCCCGCGCTGCGTAACACGTCTGAAGACGCGGACGAGGTACGCTTCCAGGCGGGCATCAAGCCTGCCATGTTCAAGAATCTCATTGGCAAAGGCCATTCGGAGTTCGCAACGATGCGCCAGCAAGATGCGGATGAATTCTTCAAGCACATCGTCGACTGCATACAGAAGGAGAACCGTCGATTGCAGTCATCAGCTACGGCAGGCGGATTGGCGCCGGGCGCGCTGATCGATGATGTGACCAGCATTTTTGGCTTTGAGCTCGAACACCGGCTGCAGTGCACCCAGTGCCATAGGGTACGATACAAGATCGAGAGGCAAGATGCGGGTCTCAGCTTGCCGGTGCCGCTACGGCCAGTCGCGGAGACCGCCAGCGAAAACATGGAGGTGGATTTTAAGCAACAGGCACCTGCGGAAGGGGTAGGCTCTGCGGGTGCAGCTCTCGCTCCTGCAAATGCAGTGGGCAAAGTCAAATTTGAGCCCGTGTCCATCGATGAATGCCTGGACTTATATACCGGAACGGAGACGATCCCAGATTATGCGTGTCCGCAGTGCAAGGCCAAGACAATCGCAACGAAGCAGACGCAATTCAAAACCTTCCCGCAGGTGCTTGCCATCGCCGTTCGTAGGTTCCAGCTGATCGGCTGGGTCCCGCAGAAGGTGGATGTGAAGGTTCAAGTGCCGCTCGGCTTGGCAGAGGAACAAAATGGCGGTGTCTTGCAGCTCGATCATTATCTCGGCCACGGCATGCAAGAAGGAGAGGAGGAGTTGCCGCAAGACGAAAACAGCGGGGACGCTGGTGGAGGTCGCCTGCCGCAGTTCGATGCCAATGCCATGTCGCAACTGACTGCCATGGGGTTCCCGGAGATCCGATGTCAGAAGGCGCTGCTGGCGACAGGGAACACGGGCGATGCCGAGGCCGCGATGACCTGGCTTTTCAGCCACATGGAAGATGCCGACATTGACGACCCCATCGACTTGGAAACGTATGCGGCCGCAAGTGGTGGCACCATCGCCGCTGCGCTAGACACATCCATGCTTGAAGACATGGGATTCAGCAAGGCGCAAGCAACCAAGGCACTGCGCATCAATAACGGGAATGCGGAGATGGCCGTGGCTTGGCTGTTCGAAAACCCTGACGATCCTGGCGAGGAGTCCAGCACAGCAGCAGTAACAGCAGCAGATGAAGAGGTGGGACCTTCGAGTGAATCGACCGCGCTGTACATTGGCGATGCCAGCCTGCCGGCGAGATACAGGCTCAAGTCATTCATCTCTCACAAGGGGGTGAGCCTGCTTTGTTGTCCGAGAGCGTAGCTCAGATTTTACCGGAAGAAACTGACTTTCGTTTCCTTCGACGATAGCCGTCAGTGCACAGCGGACATGTGAGCAGCCCTAAAAGTGGCAGTACGTACTTGACTGAAAACTGAATCATGCTGTCCGAATCGATGCAGTACGTCTCTCACATCCGCAAGCTCAACGCTGAGGATGGCTGGGTTCTCTTCAAGTCGGTACACGTTTGTCTTGGTGAATCTAAGCTAACACAGACTGAAATGCTGAGCATAATCTTGTCTCCCATCCACCTTTATTCAGTGACGAAAAGGTGGGCATATTTTCTCATTGAACATGCAGCTGCGCAGCTTGCGAGAGACTGACGCGCCCTTCGCTTCGCTCTTTTGCTTGTCTAGGTCGTCAAAGCGCCTTTGTCATCTTCTTCTAAAGAAGACCTGCAGTCGGATGTCGGCGTCAAAGGTCTTTCGCAGCTCGCATATGTGTACTTCTTCGAGCGATGCTAGCCATTTACGGTGTGCTTGCATGTACGTACACTACAGAGTCAGTGTCCACTGACGGCACGCCCATGCCACGTGAAACTGCCTTTCGCCTGATCATTGCCACCATCCATGGCGAGGTTCCTCCCAAGAGGGATAGGTATAATGTGAAGAGTCTGACCGTCTCGATGCTGCCAGCTGCAGGCAACAGCGTTCGTTGCGCACACCGCAGCGTCCTCTATTTGAAAGATCGAAAGAGGCGTGAGCGCGCTGAGCAATGAGCATTCAGTCAGCACGTATCTGATGGGTTGTGGTTGCACCGAATCAAAGTGACGATTGGGCAAATAATCATCTTCAGCCGTCGCGCGAGCACTGAGCCAGTCAGACGGTGTGCTCGATCAAGGGCCTGACTGAGCATCGACAGGAGCGAGTGGGTTATGCTTGATGCAAGATTCATTAGGGTGTACATGAACATAGAGGTCAATACGCAGCTGGAGGCCGATCGCGGGACCTCGTATATACCTCATCCAAAGAACATAGAGCACGTCCCTACCTGAGGGCGGAAGGCTCCGAGCTGATGCGAGCATCCGACAATGGTATCTGCCGGCGCGGAACCTGATATACGACGACACGCCCCACGGATCTGCTATGAGGTGGAGGAGGGAGATCAGGAGGAAAGAGAGTCGCAGCCATTGAATGCAGCGCATCGGTATGCTGCGAGTGAGGGCGATGGAGACGATGACAACTGCAGCAGCGACACTTTCGACAGCGAGTGTGCCGATGCGGACGACCCCCTCGATGGCAAGCACGTTGCCCGCAGCCCCTCGGGCGGACCACACCGCAGTACCTTAAGGGAGACATGGCATATCGCAAGAGAGGCACTGCCTATCCTGGTCCTCGCGCTGTTCAGCTTGATGCTCGCTGGAGAGCTGCTTATCCACCTGTCGCGCTGGCCAGTGTTCGTCAAGGTGAACAAGCTCTTCATTGCCGTGCCCATCCTGCTTAACATGAAAGGCAACCTCGAGATGAACCTCTCCCTTCGCCTTTCCACCTCAGCTAATATCGGAGAGTTAGATACGAGGCGCACTAGACAGGCACTCGTCGGAGGGAACTTGGCATTGCTGCAGGTGCAGGCGCTGATCGTATCGATGCTCGCGGGGTGCCTTGCGTTCGTGCTCGGCCTTCTCGTGCCAGTGGACGAAGCGGCTGCCACGAATCCCACAGTGCCGTCAGCGCCATCAGGAGGCAAAGGGCAGCAGCAGCGCTCACCGCTGCTTTCCTTGCTCGCGCAGCAGGCCACACAGCGTCTTCGCAAACGTCGCCTCATCCATGGGCACCCCAAGCCGCCCCTTGACCCGGCCCTGAAGCTGCGGAATGGCTACTTTGAATTTGTGATGGTCATTGCAACGGGCACGCTCGCCGCTTCCCTTTCCTCCGCCGTCCTGGGAAGCTTCATGTGCGCGCTCGTCATCCTCAGCAGGCGCTATGGCGTCAACCCAGACAATGTCGCCTCACCATTGGCCGCCTCGCTCGGGGACCTGCTTACGCTAATTCTGATGGGCCTGCTCGGATCAGCGCTAGTGCGCTTTGAAGGCACGATTCTCGCGACGCTCATCCTTGGCGCGCTGATTGCGTTCTGCGCAGCGTGCTGCATCATTGCATTACGGAACTCGTACGTCAAGCAGCTCCTCTCCTCCGGTTGGACGCCGCTACTCGTCGCCATGTTCGTCTCGTCCGGCGCGGGCATAGTGCTAGACAGCTTCGTGAAGACGCTCGACGGCTTTGCGCTGCTCGTGCCCGTCATCACGGGCCTTCCTGGTGCCTGCACGGCCATCTTTGCCAGCCGCATCAGCACGGCGCTGCATTCGAGCGACGTGCCTCACCTCCAATTCTCCGATTCCTATACCCAAGCACCCTCACGACCGAATCAAAGGCCGCCGGCCGCCAAGCGAAGCGCGGTGTTGATCTTTTGGATCACGCCGACAGAAGGCTGGCTCGTTCCACTCACGCTTGCAGCGATAGGCATCGGCATTGCAGGCATGTACATGCTGCTCGTTTGGACCAGCGGGCATATAAGTTTTGGTTGGCCATTCGCTTGCTGCTTTCTTGCTTTCCTCAGCTTGACGGTGTGTGTTTATTTGAGAGCAAAAGCTCTTTGAGGAGGAAAGGAAGGGCACGGAAACGCTAACTGATCGATTTATTGCATTGGTCATTCCCTCTTTTCCTTTGTGCCAACGATAGGTTGCCATCGCACTCGCTTTATCGCATTTTGTCTGCCTCTACCTATGGACGCGCGACTACGACCCAGGTGAGACTCCGTCAAACCTGGCGCCCGACTGCAACCCTTATCGATCCGCGATGGCATGCTCATCTGACTCGTGATCTCCCGCTCGCCATGTTGCGCAAAACAGATATCTACTGCCTGCCCTACGTTTCCTCGATCATAGATTTTGTCGGGCAGCTCATGCTTGTGTGCGCTTTCAAGCTCGCGATGAGTCTGGGCGATCACATCACCTCGTCCGTCGGAACTGGGGAGGCGTGAGAGAATGAATTGAAAAGCTGCGTCAAATCGAGAACAGTTATCCCTTGTTGTACGATGAAACCTCGCCGGCAAGTTTCACGCCCGATGGTTCTGCGCTCCATCTCCTATCGCTACCCAGCGGTCATCTGTATGTATTTGTATCCTCATCACCATGTTCGCAACGAGAAAGAATCTACTTTCGAGGAACCATTCGATCATGGACAATGAGCTGTGAGAGCTGAGGCAGCCGGAACAAGGGGCGTATCCTTTTTCCCGGTCATCACGACCATTCTGATGCAGGCACATGTGCTAGAAACTCTCGCCTTGACACCAAGTCTGTCCAAGGACGCCCAGCACCACTTGCCGCACCGCCGACTGGGTCAGGTGACGGCGCATTTTCACAAAAGAAAAAAGTGGCAGCCCCCGTCGTGTTGGCGGATGTCCAGAGTGGAATTGAGGGAAGGAGAGGATGGGGAGTCCCTACAGGACGCATAGCATTGACTTTCGAGCTCGGCTGGCTGCGCAGACAAGCGCAGTGCCTGTGGCTCTCGCTCAAACTGCCGCCGCCAGCGCCACTCTTGCTTATGGCTCTCCACATACGGTCAACGCTCCCCTTCGATGCGTCTCCTGAGTTGTTTAGGGCAAGTCTTGGAACATACCTCGTTCTTTGGCATTATCACCCAGCGCTAGTCAAACCTGGCACGCCGCATACAATCCAAACGCTGCGTAGATCGTGGTCAGCGGCATAGTTATAGAGGAAAGAGGCTTGCGGGCTGCTCTCCCCGACACGATGACCACTCACGTATACGCGCTCGCGAGGCGCAACGGCGAAGATGAGTCCCTCTTTCGGTCGGCCTCCATGTCCCTGATTCAACTGTATATCCCAGCCGAAGTTGCGCACTCGACGGTGACCGAGCTGGGCGAGCTTGGAAACGTGCAGTTCAAAGATGTGAGTGTCTTCGTGTCGGTGCGAGCGGCGGCATGTAGAGGTGGGCCCGACAGCACCGCCTTGCCTCGCGCACCGATGAAAAGAAGAGGTTAGCTGAAACGAAATTGTGGCGCTTGGGTACACAGCTCAATCCCCACGCTACTGCTTTCCAACGGTCCTTCGTGGGTGACATTCGGCGCCTCGATGAAATGGGCAGGCGATGCCGGTTCCTGCATGCCCAGATGGAAAAGGAGAACGTGCCTATCCGCCCCTTAGAGTCGGCCTTGCCTTTCATCAACTTTGCGTCAGTTAATGGCGCCGGAGGTGGCCGCGGCGGCCCCCAAATGCTCGATGAGCTCAGTGTCAAGCTTCGTGAGCATGAAGAGAGGCTCGGGCAGATGAATGGATCGTACGATACGCTGCAAAAGCGCTTGCTCGAGCTGGAAGAGGCCAGACACGTGCTCAGGGAAACTGCCGTCTTCTTCGAGCAGGCAGAGGGCAGGCACGAGCTCGGTAGGAGCAGCACAGACGATGCCAATGCGCCACTTCTCGATGATGTTGAGAGTGGCTACGCGGCTGGCCGAGGTCAAGGCGAGGACAGCGGCTACGCTGGCTTTGACTTGGAGTGAGTAGCGGCTTTAGCTGGGGCAAGGCATGCGCGGTGTTGTTGAATTATCTAATTGCAGATTCGTCGCTGGTACCATCGATCGAGCGCGCATGGCCACCTTTGAGCGCATTCTGTGGCGGGTTTTGCGTGGCAACCTTTACATGAACTATGCAGAAATCGCTGAGCCGTTCGACGATCCCACCAAGGAGGAACCGGTGCGCAAGAATGTCTTCATCATCTTTGCCCACGGCGCCGAGCTGCTCGCCAAGATCCGCAAGATCAGCGAAAGTATGGGCGGCACGCTGTACCCCATCGACTCGAATGCCGACAGGCGCGAAGAGGCGCTCAGGGAGGTCGGCTCGCGGATCGAGGATCTGAACAACGTTCTCTATTCCACCAGTGCCACCAGGAGGATGGAACTGGTCAGGATCGCCGAGACACTTAGCGCGTGGAGCGATATCGTCAGACGCGAAAAGCTCGTCTACTCGACCTTGAATCTGTTCATGAACGACGCAAGTCGAAAGACATTGATCGCAGAGGGTTGGTGTCCGACGGCCGCCGTCGGCTCGATCCAGCTTGCGCTGCGCAGGGCAACAGAGAACGCCGGTACTTCTGTGCCTCCCGTTCTTCAGGAGCTCCGTACCAACGCCAAGCCCCCCACGTATCATCTCACCAACAAGTTCACCGAGGGGTTCCAGGCCATCATCTCCGCTTACGGAGACGCTTCGTACCAGGAGGTCAACCCGGGGCTCTTCACCGTCATTACTTTCCCATTCCTCTTTGCGGTCATGTTTGGTGATATCGGACATGGGTTTCTGATGTTCGCGGCTGCTGCCGTCATGTGCATCTGGGAGAAGAAGCTGGCTAAAGCTGGTCTCGACGAGATCTTCGACATGTTCTTCTTTGGTCGCTACATTATCCTTCTCATGGGCGCTTTCTCCATCTTCACCGGCTTCCTTTATAATGACATCTTCTCCAAGTCACTTCATCTCTTCCACTCGGGCTGGGATTGGCCACACCAGGACGGTCTGGTTGAGGCGAAGAAGCTGGATCGCGTCTACCCCATCGGCCTCGATCCGTCGTGGCATGGCACGGACAACAACCTAGTCTTTACCAACTCGTTGAAGATGAAAATGTCCATCCTCCTCGGTGTCGCGCACATGACATTCGCCGTCTGCCTTCAGATCCCGAACCATCTGCACTTCAAGAGACCAAAGTTTATTTGGGCAGAAGTCGTGCCTCAGCTGCTCTTCATGTGGTCCCTGTTCGGCTACCTCAGCTGGGCCATCATCTACAAGTGGTCTGTGGATTGGTTCGCAACAGATGTCAGCGGCACGCGCCTGCACCATAACCCGCCGGGCCTGCTCAACATGCTCATCTACATGTTCCTCAGCCCCGGCAATGTCGAGAAGGAGAACGAGCTCTACTCGGGCCAGGCATTCGTCCAGAGTCTGCTCCTCCTCGTTGCCGTCGTGTGCGTGCCGTGGATGTTGTGCATGAAGCCGTACCTCGAGTACAAAGAGCACCAGAAGATCAAAGGAGCAGGCTACCACGCAGTCGGCGCCGACGATCTCGACCACGACGGTGACGCGGCCGATGGTGCCGGTGAGAGCTCTGCACAGCAAGGCAACGGCACCGATGCCGGTGGCCACGGCCACGGTGAGGAATTTGAATTGGGCGAAGTCATCATTCACCAGATCATCCACGTCATCGAGTACTGCCTGGGGTGCATCTCCAACACCGCCTCGTATCTCCGTCTCTGGGCGCTGTCGCTGGCGCATGCGCAGCTCTCCGAGGTGCTGTGGAACATGACAATGAAGATCGCTCTGCCCATGGAAGGCGTCACAGGCACTATCATGATCTTCATCATGTTTGCCCTCTGGTTCAATTTAACCATTGCGATCTTGGTGAGTCGACGCTGTTTGCGACTGTAATAGTGAGAGCCGGCCGACTGATTTCTCGTCTTCACAGTGCCTCATGGAGGGCCTATCCGCATTCTTGCACGCGCTCCGTCTCCACTGGGTCGAAGCTGGAGTGAGTGCTTCTGGGTTCTAGCCGTGGGCACTGTCCGCCAGAATGGCTGACATGTGCGACGCCTGCTCGTTTCTTTCACGTTCAGAACAAGCACTACATGGCCGAGGGGTACGCTTTTGCGCCTTTCTCGCTCGCGCCCGAGGCCACGACGCAGTAGGCTGTGCATCGTTCCTGGTCCAGCGTCCAATCTACGTAGATCGGCTTCCTTTGGCCGTCTCTTGTAGTAACGGACCGGATTCGGTACATGCAACACGATCGTTATCTCCTCCTCTCCTCGCGCAGATATTTGGCTGCTGAACGATGTCTCCACGTTCAGGAAGCATGCCGCCGTTCGCACGCATCAAGGGATGCAAGGCACTGCTGTGTGTGATCAGAGAAAGAGATGTGTAGAACATGAATGAGCCAGGAGGCATGCCTACGATGTCAGCCAACCACTCCCACAGACTCATAGCACCTCATACCTTTTTGCTCTAGTGTGAACTTTGCAGACCACAAGTCACAACATGTAGCATACGACGTCCTGGGTGACGAACACAAGTGCAGGGGCTAGCAGAGGAGTCGGATCTCGAGAATCTTTCCCTTAAGGCGACTGTCCAGCGACCTGACGCAAGCGCAGCAAGATGCGGCGGAGTTGGCGCACCGTGCTCTGGGCCTCGTTCCTACAAGACGCCTTATCTACAGCTTCAGCTTTCTCCTTTGGCAACCGGCGATTCAAGAACGAGGGACTGCTTGATGCGGGGAATCTAGGGCTATCCGCAGGACGGGTTGCGGCGTGGGGGGACGCTGATGGCGATCAATTGTGAGGAGACTTGTGCCATGCAGTTTAACACGAGCCGGACGACTGACCCACGCGGATGCGAGCAGCACGGACGCCTTTGTCGTCGATGATACCGTTTCGCAAGTTTCCGTACGGCTATGGGATCACAGTGAGCTGACCGCGTTTATGAATACTCAAGCGCAAGCTCTCACTCAATTTCTTTGGTCTTTGGCGTTTGCAGCAACGTTCAGTTTCAAGCCAGCAGGTCCGAATCAATCTCTGACAGTGCCTCCAGCCAATCGCATACAGAATGTGGTGCCATCCGATTTCAACCAAGATGGAGTGCTTGACGTGCTTGTCATGTCTTCCCCATCCAAGTCCAATTCTGCGAACGGAGAATTGCATCTGCAGCTGTTCTTCGGACAAGGGGGTGGCACATTTAGTGCGTTGTTGCCTCTAGGTTACTGGAGACATTTTGGACAGGGTATACTGAACGTAGTACCCCTCCCTGATTTGCAGACCCGAGTGCCATCGAACTACCGCCATCTTCTCGTGTTCAGCCGCTCCTTCTCGACGCTACGGGAGATCTTGGCATGGATCTGCTCGGGCATCGGTCTGGCGCTGACAATTCAATCAAGCTTTGGCGCAACGCGATGGCGAACCCAGGGAACAGCAGCAACGAGCCTTTTTCTATGTGGGTAGACTGGCTGAAAGGCGCTCCATTGGCGCGCAGTTGACGCCCTTCCTCTTTTTGATCAGCGAGAGCATACCTCTTGTGGACACTTCAGGCAAAAAGACCAAGTCGTCCTGCGCTCTTAGCGCGCCACATAGCTCGGCCTTCATTGACCTAGACGGCGATTGCATCGCTGGTAAGGCTGTTCCTCTTTCGTCGGCACGAAGTTGCGAAGCTGATCTTGCATTTTTGGGAAGACTTGTTCCTTGTTTGTGAAGGTCGCTCCGTCGCGTCACCTAGCTACGAAGTATGGACGGCACTCAAGAGCGATAGTCCAGATAAACTAGCGATCCCAGCGAGCTACCAGCTTTCGCAACAGGGCGATCTTCCGTCGGGCGCGGGTATGCTTTCCTTTGCCGATTTGGATCGCGATGGTACGATCGATGTTATTTTCGCCTCTTGCGATGGGACGTCATGCTACATCAACATTGCCAATAATGAACAGATGCCTGTCTGCTCCACCCAACCGGCCGACTGGACTCTTCCTTGGCTGACGGGGGACAAGGTACAGGAAGGGGGAACTGCATTCGTCAATAATACAGCGGCACAAGATGCATCCTCGAGCAAGCGAGCGAACGAAGCGTGCCGGAACCCGTCCGAGCTGTGCACTGCGGACCCCGCCTTCCGCCTCGCTTTTGGTAAAGGATTGAAACGCTTCAATGTGAAGGATATGCTTGGACCAGATTGGACATTGATGCTAAGCGACAATAGCGTGACGCCGGCTCGTCCCGTCTTTCTCTCTGTTGGCGACTTTAACAAGGACGGATACCCGGACTTGCTTGTTGTCGGGAGCAATGAGCGACATGAAAAATCGCAAGCATTTTTGTTGCAGAACACTCTCTGCTCACGTGCGCCGCCGAACTCGCCAGGCTGTGACAATGGCAGCGACTCGGAGGCTCGGACGTTCGTACGCGCCACTGGCTCGGACCCGCTTGATGCTTTCACAGACATCGTCGGCGCCAGCTTTGTCGACCTGGACGAGGACGGCTCGCTGGACATTTTGCTTCAGACTCTGCAGGTCTCGCAGCGCGGAGGTGGCAGGCCGCAGCACGGCGTCAAGTTCATACAGAACAACCTCTTCTTCGACTCGTTTTTCCTCAAACTGTTGATGCTCAACGGCGCTTGCGATGGGACGTGTGAGCGGCCTGCAGGAGCGGGCGGCTCCTTTAAGCCGTGGGGCGTCAATTATGCGGGGGCGTCGTATAAGTTCACCGTGCTCGACCCCAACGGCATCCGCAGAGCACAGCACGTCGGGCAGCTGCCCCAGACAAGCTACGGCGCGCTGCTGACGCCGACATCGTACCTCGGCTTGGGGAGGACGAACAATTACGTCGAGCTACTCGAGATCGGCAGCTCACGTCGACAGGCGCAGCACGTCCTGTCCATGGAAGGCGTCATCCCCAACAGCCAGATCTTCATCAATCCGTGGCAGCCGCAGCGCGAGACGAGCGAAGGGCGCGGGAACCCATCGACGTGGGGGAAGATGATGTACCTCCACCCAGGTGATTGGATCACCTGGGTGACCGTCGTGCTGGCCGGCATCATCGTCGTACTGCTCGGTGTCGTCATCCTCCTGCATCTGCACGAGCGGCGCGAGGACGAAAAGGAGCGCAAGCGTGTCGTGTATGCCATCAATTTTGATGCGCTTTGAAGGTCCTTCAAAGGCAGCGCGAGTGCACGTGTTCTCCTTTCTTTTCCTAATATACCACATTTCTATTATGTCATACAAGAGGACGTACTTGGAAAATCGATGTTTTCGAGGCTTCATGATAAGGGTTCAGGATGAATGCTGGTTGCGAATGTGACCGGGCTGATTTAGGAGGGCATCGTCACGTCTTTGAGCAGATGGATCATAAGCTGTTTCGTCACATCGTGATTGATGGGTAGAGGGGGCAGGCGGCGCTTGCTTGGGCGCCTCTCGGCCTTTGGGGGTGCGATGAGCGCAAAAAATATCTGCTCTATATGTGTGCGATGGATGTGGAGGGTTTGAAAATGGTCGCACGGATGCGTCTGGAGGTTTGCGGTGCTTGCCTTTGGGAGGAAGCCACTCTTGAAGGGGGATGCCGAGGGGCGTCACATGATGACGCAGCCTTTCTTATTCCGCTTAGCGAAGCGATCCCGACTGGCCTGATCGGCAGCTTCAAACGCTCTACATTGCCGCACGATGTCGCAAAAGACCTCGTCGACATTTATGCGCTTGCGCGCGGAGGATTCGTAGTATGGCACGTTGCCCCACGCGCGCGAAAGATTGGTGCCGATCTCGCGTGGCACTTGGCGCTCGGCGCGCAGATCGGCTTTGTTTCCTACGATGACGGTCGGTACCTGCATGAGGGAGTAGATGACAGAAGCATGGGTATTGTAATCAAAGAAAGCACGCCTTCTTCCGTCAGCGGACAAGCTCACCCGCAAGTGCTTGACGCGAACGATCTGCTCGCGCAGCGGCCCTAGCTCGTTGACGCTGGCAAGGTGCGCAAGGGAAAAGACAAGGACAAATCCGTGTCCGGACTTCATGTAAAGCTCCTTGAGCGCCATGAACTGCTCGGTGCCGGCAGTGTCGAGGATCTCGACAAGGCACTGCTGTCCGTCAATGCTCATGAGCTTCTGGTACGTCTCCTCGATCGTTGGGTCGTACGTCTGGACAAAGATGTTCTTCACAAACTGCAGCGTCAGGGCGCTCTTGCCGACGCCGCCAGCGCCCATTACGACGATGCGTGTTTCCTTCATCGTGGCTGTCTCTGTGCCGTCGTCGGCTCTGATGCTGCGTGGGTGCGCTCCTGCTGCTGCTTCAGCTGCTTTGCCTGTTCGCTGACCGAGACGCGGACAGCGCTGGCTCATGCACACATCGCCTAGTCTGTGTCGTCCTGTCTCGGCGCCTGCCTAAGTCGCTGCGGCAGTGAAACCCTGTGTATCTGGTCTTGTTGTTCCTTCCGCAGGTGCAGGCAGAAAAAAAGAGAGGTAGAATGGAGGTAGAGGAGGAGCCTGCTCCCCCTAGGATCGGCCAGCAGGCGGTTCGGGAGGTTGTGCTTGGACGTATGTACGCCGCCGTGTGAGTTGCAAGTTGCTCGACAGGTCCGCTCTGGTTTCTCAGTCAGGCTGTGTGTATGTATAGTAGCTACACCCTCGAAGTTGGACCCTCTCCGAGGTCGCAGATCTGGGTCTTTGCTCTATGTATGTGCGAGCCCGAAGGGTGTGGGAATAAGCAGATGCAGGGGAATGCGTGGCAGGTTCTCTGACGAGAGCCCGAACAGCAGCAACGAGAAACCTCTGGTTCATCGTACAGTATCAAGTATGTCGCCCCCTGATCTGATCAGGACTGGGCCTGCGATGACCAGAGATGGCATCCTCCATCACCTCACCATGTCCAGGCGGTGAGAGCCTCTAACAAGGCCAACAGCCAGCAGGGGTCGCGCTCGCACTGGCAACCGAACTCGAACCGAGGGGACTCCCCCTTAACGCGCCACACGTGGATCCAAAAAATAAAAAAGAATGCTTTGCACCGAAACCGATAAAAGAGGAGGACGGAGGGATGGATGTCGCGGGCCCACGTTAGGCACACCTACCACCATGGGTTGTCGATGCTGATCAGGAGGATGTTGAATGCTGATGCTCGAGCTATCTTCTGGAGGCGACGCATCTCCTTTACGGATACAGCTCGTCATCCGATGGCCGGAATGCCCTTTTGAATCGCCTTTAACTCAACGCCGGAGCTGCAGCCACGTCGACGTGCCCGGCAACCTCCTGTAGCACGAGTCCCGGTCTGGCGGCCGAAGCGTGCCAGCTGCGGAGGCACCTTTGCGGCCTTGCTGCTTCACCGGAGGCAATGGCATCAGCGATCGAGTATGTGTCGGGGGGGGGGACCATTTCGGGCACACCGCTCGGAGAAAGCACGTCGCCGTCATCTCCGTCTCCTCTGATCTCGTCGCCACGGCCGCATTCACGCTCGCTCTCACGCGACATTGTCACCCTTATCTTCATCCTCCTCCTCTCGCTCGCCCTCTTCCGCTGGATCCTCCTCCGCAGCGTACGATTCCTCTTGCGCGACCGGCTGCACGTACATGCGCTCGGCACCCGTGGCATACGCGGTCTGCACTTTCGTCCAGCTGGAGACTTTGGTGTAGCAGGCGCCGCAAACTCCAGCGGAACGAAGAAGGGCAGAAGGAACACGCGAGGCTACTCTTTACGCATTCAGCAAATCTACCTCACATTCAGCGGCTCGATTGCTTCCACCGCCGCTCTTCGAGGCAGGAAGCAGCGCACAGGCAGACCATTCCCGAAAGCATGGTTCACGCTACATCTCAAAGGCGTCGGCCTTCAGCTGCCCGCAGAGGCGGATGGGGATGGAGGTGATGCGGCGCAGAATGCGGCGCTGCAAGATGACGTGGATTCGGGCGCCGAACGCTGTGGCGGTGGGCGCGAGGGTCTTCTTCGAGCTAAGCGCCGAGCAGAAAGCGCCTCCACGGATAGTAAGGAGGGACGATCGATCTCGCGAATCAGCGGCTTGCAAGGCTACCTGATCCGCATGGCGCGGCCCCTGCTCTACGTCTGCGCTTCCGCGCTGCCCGTACTGACACGCGTCGTCGATGTACAAATGGACCGCGTCGAGGTTTACCTCGAAGCGCAGGACGTCGTCCTCCGTGTTGCAGAGGTTCGCGCCGGCTTTCAGGTCAGCATGCGAGCCCAGTCCGGCGTCGGCACTGCTTCTGCAGCCGCTGCGCAACGTCGGCGCGCACGCAGCCGAAGCGCCTCTGAGAATGCGTACAGCACCTCCCGTAGCACCTCGCTCGACGAGTCGCATGACACCCCAGCGGCGGGGGACGATGCGCGGTCGTATCGCTCACTCGCCGGCATGCTGTACGGCATGCCGAACCGCGTCGGGTCCGGCGCGAAAGGCGTTGTGCTCTTCCTCGCGTCGGGGCTGCCCGAGGGAAAGGCCACGATCATGCTCGAGTGGCAAGGCGTGCAGGCCTTCCGCGCCGTATCGGCGCTGGCCGATCTGCAGCCGAAAGAGCAACATCGGACAGATGTGGGCGCTTCGGAGCCGTGCTGGAGCATCAGCGAAGATGACGCTCACGACCACAGCAGCACGTGGGACGACACGTGGTCCACTTGGGCGGACAAGGAGACGACGGAGAGCGGCAGCTTCTGCGCCACGCCCGTCACGTCGTGGTTCCAGGGAAAAGGTGAGCACGTACGCATCGCCACGTACAGCCGCCTTCTTTTCGCACCGCTGCCGAGCCAGATCGAGGTCGACGTGCTACTGGGACCCAACTTCTTCCACCTCAAAGCGCACCGCGCGTTTAGTGCGCGGGGCAGGATCTCGGAGTGCGTGCTTGGCGGCAATGCGCTGGAGCAACTCGCGCAGAACCACAGAGGGGGCCGGATGGAACAAGCGCGCCGGCACATGAACCAAGAGGCGTGAGTCAGTATCTATTGTTGCTACAGATGTATGTATCGCTAAACGAATTACCCGACCGAAAAAGGCACGCCTCAGGTTCAGCATCCAAACAAGCGAGTACAGCCCGAGCTCTGATTGCTGCAGTCGGCAGCCTGGGCTTGACGATCGAACGCGTCAGGTGTGCGTACGCGTCCACCAATGCAGACAGCAAGACGTGGACTTGCGAAGCCGCTATCGAGCATGTAAGCTTCTCCTTCTCCTCAGCGCAGCCGCAGAACCCGCTCTGCAAACGCTGGCTCAACACCATCACGCCGAGCGTGCCTGCCAACAACAGTAAGAACGCCGGAGGACCAGGAGAAGCTGTTGCGGTTGCCACAGAAGTGTCATTGGCAACATCAGCATCAGCAGCGGCGAGCAAGAAGACGCTGCGGTCTTCACTGCACGACCGCATCCGCAGACCGCTCAGTCCCGTCCCGTCCTCAATGACGCCAGCGCACAAGGACGTCCGGCTGGAGCCGAGGAGGATCCTGCACGTCGCAGCGTCCATGGGGAAGGTTTACGTCGATGTGCGACAGGCAGGTGGCTCGCTGAAGAGCCTCCGGGCCTGCAGCATCGACCGAATCGAGCTGCAAGTTCTTTCGACTTGGACGCCTTTTGGCCTGTGTCCCAGCATCCGCTACAGCATCTGCGCCCCGCCCGCCGCACAGACGGTGCTGGCGGGTAATCCGAACGAGAGCGCCATCTACTTCAGCACCACAATCCAGCACGTCGCCCTTGCTGCTTCTGCCTCGTTGCTCGATCTCCTGCGCAAGGACAAGAATAGCGCAGGCTTTGGTCGGGATGCCAGGCATTCCATCCCCGCCGCTCTGCCGACGTCGCCGCCGTCATCATCCACCTTTTCGCTTCCAAAGGTGCACTTTGGATTCCACTTGGGCCACGCGACGGCCAAGCTCGATGTAGGAAATGATCACGACAAAGAGCGTTCGGCACTGGTGCTGACGATCCCGAGCATCGACGCTGCACTTCACACCGCCTACCAGGATGCGCATGTCGTGCGCACCGATGCTGCGCGCCGAGCGGCTTGGAAGGAGTACGACAAAAATCAGCTGGAGTGGGACCGGAACTGCAGACCAGTCGCTCGCACACAGTGGGCTGTCTCTCCCGCACTCCCTCATAACGAGGGTAACTACGGTGGCGCAGGGGCAGAAAGCGGCGCCAGACCGCGTCGGCGCTCGATAGTGCGAAGCAATACTGCTTCCGTCGATCCGACGCCTGTACCAATCTATAAGTACGTCCTTTCTGGGAATATTCACATTCTCAACAGTGCTGTTGTGCTTCAAACGCGGCAGGCCACCGAGACGCAGAAGACCTTGCCCATCGGCAAGCTTCGATTGGTGCAGCTGTCCACTTTTGGCTCCCTGGACGTCCCGACCGAGGTGCTGGCTGCGCGCCACCAACGATTAGGACGCCAGGACAAGAAGTCTGAAACTTCTTTTATTGTCGATGGCCTCAGAGTCTCAATTCGCGGACCGGCCATGTGGAATGCGCTCGAGAAGATCGTCAACTCTACCAGCACGGCTGCACGAGGCTCAGCGGTGCAAGCAACAGTAGTAGCCGACAGTGCGGATGTCAAAGCTGATACACTGCAACCATCGAGCATGCGCAAAGGCCTGCTTGACAAGCTGCCAGCAGACGCATTTGCCAACATCAGCTTTAGTGATCTGGACATCGATTTGGCCAACATCGACGCTCACCGCGACATGTCATCCCTGGCGGGGGTAAAGCTGAAGATGAAGTGTCTCTCGATCGACTATGCACACCGTCGACGCTCCACGCACGTCCTGCCGCACGGCGAGATGTGGGGTGCGCGGAGCGCACTCGAGCTTCCGGAGGATGCGCCGCTGATGGCCGGCGCACTGGCTGTCAAGGCAGGGCTCGCGGTCGTCACCAGGGTGGACATTGACAATCTCCGACTTCTCGCCATCGATCCGAAAGCCGTCATGTCGAACCGCGAGAAGCGCCAGCAGGCGTTCGTTGGGTCATTCGACGAGAGCGAACTCCCTTCCCTGCCCGAAGGCCATTGTCTTTTACGCGTCCCCGAATCCAAGATCAGAGCGAGGGTCCTTCCGGACTGCAAGCAGACGAATGTCGAGCAGGTCTCTATCACCGCTGAGCATCCCAAAGCAGTCATGTTGGCCGTGGAGTTAGCAAACACGTACCTGCTGATGCACACCGCTGGGTGCGTGCGGCGCGCCCTGGGCTCGACTTGGAAGAGGAAAGTACCTCCTGCTAGGCCTGCTCCATCTTCTGCAACCCTTGTTCTCAACTTTGACATTACCTTTCAGCGCGTAGAGGTGCCCATCAGCTTACCAGAAGGCGTTCATCTCTTTCTTGGTCTCAAGAGGCTGCAGATTCAACTCTCAGCGGAGCGGGTCGCGTCAGTTGGATTCGAGACGCTTGTCGGAGCGGTCTTGCGCAAGGACGTGCTCGAAAACGGAGATAAGCACGACCAATGGAGTCGAGTGGCCATCTTCCGCGGCGTCACCATTGACATCAAGCCGCAGCCGTCATCAGGGCTACCGGATGTGGCGCTCGCGGGAGATAGCCTGGTGCTCAATGTGCCTTTCAACTACAGTACGCACGAGATCATCGAAGGCACTAGCGTAGCTCTGAAGGCGACGAAACAACTCATGCACGAGTTCCTACTGGGTCACGAACCATCAGCGATCAACCCTCTGCGACCGATGTCCGCGCAAAGCCTGCCGCTGCTCTCCGTCGAGCTCAGAATCCTCGTGTTGGAAGCGGAGGACGACCCTATGGAGACCAGACTCGGTCTCATCTGGCGTGTCGGCCGAGACGAAGCGCGTGCACGCTTAGAACGACAGAGCGCCTTTGCACAGAAGATGTCTGATGCGATGCGCAAGCAAGGTGCAAAGAGGAATAACTGGCCCTCAAGCACACCCAACGTAAACGGCTGGTCCGCTGCTGAGAGCACATCAGAGGTCGATTCTGACGACGACAGCGATGTAGGCAACTCGGCGCGGGAGCGTGCGTACGTCAACACAGACTTGATTGCAGATGCGCACCAGCGCCTCGATGCCTTCGATAGCGCATCCTGGATCCGAAGGGTAGACAATGCGCGTGCCGCTCAAGAGAGGCGAGAAGAAGCGATCGCCAAAAGGGTGCTCGGACGCTTCTCTCTGCAGCCCAAGGATCGGGGCTGGCCCATCAACATGCGAAATCGGCCGTCGGTCGCTCCCCTTTTTCGTTCAGCCATGGCCCACATCCTCGTAGAAATCCAGCGGCCAAACTACGGAGTCGACTCGGCTCGTGATTTCATCAACGCACACGGCGAATCCATCCCCGATGGATTTGACTTTTCCATCTTCATCCCGATGCACCTGCAGTGGCAGATGGCCGAGTGGCGCATCAACATCAGGGACTATCCTATCCCTGTACTGCACGTGGCTCCAGATGAAAGCAGCGGAACGCAGAAGCAGAAGGCATTGCTGCTTTCCACCGATCTGTGCATCGTCGAGCAGATGGGCGGCCCGGAATCAACACGGCACATACCAACATGCCTGGTGCACGACATCTGCGACACAGCTTGCGATGGAAAGTACATCATTCAGGTACCGAAGGTCGCGATGCCGACAAAGATATTTGGCGACCCGAAGATCGAAATTCACACCCCTCGACCTGTCCGGCTCTGTTGGGGCCAATCGATTCAGCCCGCTCTCTCTGATGTTATTCGAGTGTTCGATGGAATCACCACCCCGCCTCAAGATCCATCTCCAAAGATTGGGTTCTGGGACAAACTCCCATTGATCTTGCACGGCACAGTCGAGCTAGATTTTATACCGGAAGGCGCCCTGCATCTGTATCTGAAAGGAAGTCGCGATCCGTACAAAATTCACGGCGACGGTGCTGGATGGGTCAAGGTGCGCATTGAGTCGCCCCGCTGATATGGAAATTGTTCGCTGCCAGGCTGATAACGTCACCTCTTCTTCCAGTGCTGGAAGGACCACGTTAGTGTGCAAGTCGGCCATCAAAATGCTGAACGAGAGGTGATCCAGATCCGTTCTCGCGAGTATGCCCTCGCAATCCCTAACGTCCAAGTCCGATCTCGAGAGGTGTCTCAATATGGCTTGGGTGGACATGACGATTTTGGAACTTCCATGTCAGCGGCTCGACCAGCGGAGACGTTGCTCGGAGAGCAGCGCTATGATCCGCAATTCCAAAAAGTCGTGGCCCACTTATATGGTGGTGTCAAGTGGGGAGCCGGCATTGTGTTAGAACGGACCTGCAACGACCATGATTGCAAACAGGCGACCAAGTGCTCGGGCACCCCCTTCCATCGCAAGTGTAGGTTCTTCGATCGCATCTCACACTGGAAGGTCATCACCAAGACTCGCGAATACTTTGCATCCCTAGCGGATCAAGAAAAGGTAAGGCACCAAGCGCATCCTTAGAGGGCACGACTAAGCAAATTATGCATCCTCTCCTCGCAGAGAGATTCTTTCGCGGGTTGGCGTCATGATCACATCCACTTTTCCCTTTCTGTGCGCTCATCAAGTCAAGACAGCCAGACACCAGCCTCAAACAGCTTGCACGTCACGCCACTGACGTCAGCCCACTTTTGGTCGTGGATCCGGCTGTTCAACAGCGCTCTCAGCTTGCCAGTCCGTCAGGGTCCGATCTTTCCCGACGCTTCTCCGCGGTCACCGAAGTTTGGCTTTCATCTGGCCACAATCAAGTATCGGTTAGATCTGTCGCCTCTGTCGTTCAGTCACATCTATCTGCAACATTCCCCCGAAAAGTACCGAAGTTCCACTGCGTTGTACCTCGGCCTCAAGGCAAGCACACAGCGCTTCAACATGGATCTCCATCAGAGGCAGCAAGAAGTTGTCCTCCAACGCAAGGCCTTCAGCGATACGAAGAAGGTTTTGCACAAGCCCATCAACGAAGCGGAAGTCGATTTGAGCAAGTTTGAATTGCGAGTCGTTTGCGCCGAGATGCAGGACGAAAGCGCGCCGGCTACCGACGAGGGAGACACGTTCAACGATGATGAATCGCCAACGGACGCTTTTCTCAGAAGAGGTGCAGCCGGTGAGGCCTCAGACCAGTGGTATGACAAGAATGACTTTGTCGAGCTCGGGGTGACAGTCGGCAGCGGCCGACGGTGGAAAGCGACACGGATGCGCGCTGCGACCGTCCTCGATTGCCCACGCTTCAACTACCACCGCAAGCTACGTACGCATCGCGAGTTCGATGAGGATGAAGGCAGTGTGGCTGACAGCCAAGACCCCCACGATGCGTCGCTCACGCCCCTGGCTGAAAGCAAATTCGGTGATGAAGATAGTCACACTTGCTCCATTGGAGAGGCAGAGTGTAAGTCCATGCGGTAAGGCTAATTGGAACGGTCACCTGACGCCAGGCATGACACCACTCACAGCTTCCAACTTGGTACAGAGTGAGCTTGCCCGGCAGCGTATGGATCAGCTCAAGGACCACGCAACAAAAAGAGGACAGCCGCTAGATTCCGAGGTATGTCCTCCGGGCGCACCGCACCCCGCTCTCAAAGGCTGACGCGCGCTGCTCGCAGGAGTACAAGGCGAAGATAGCCCTTTTGAGCTCGTACAGCGAGCTGTTACGATCTTTGGATGAAGGGCATCATGCTTCAGCGGAAAGCGCCAATCCGACTGGTTCACATTTTGCGGACAGGCTAAAACGCTCCCACGGAGGGCACAAGGCCAGTTTTTCTGGTCTGTGGTTCAACGACGAACGAATGCAAAATGAGATTCTTGAGATGCAAGCCGAATGGGTCCAATTCAACAACCGGTACTTGATTCACAGCCCGGTCATGTTCCTCAGCGATGGAACTCGAGATATTCTGCTCAAATACTACTTGAGCAACAGGTCACGGCGAGGCTACGTCCATTCGATGACCGCAAAGGCGCTGCGGTCGGTCCGCGAACTCGATTTGTCTCTTTTTGAATCCGAATCAGCGCGTGATGACCAAAGCAGCGTTGACACGGATATGCGAGAAACTGCGGACAACGCCCCCTCGGTGTCGTCCTCTTCGGAAGACGACCGAGGAATCAACTTGCTCCGTTCTCTCCTGAGGGATACTATGCAGTACATCAATGTGGAAAAGAGCCTTTCTAAGGCTGATTCTGACTCTGCTCTGATAACCAAACCGATGCTGAGCGATGCGCATGCTGGTATTCGCGACGACTTTGAGGTTCGCAAAAGCAACATTTGCGTTCTGATCAATCCTCAGATTGTTCTCCGGAGCGAGCTGGATGACTCTTCGTGCGCAATCGTTAGCGCTATGCGAACTCATCTGACAAATTATTTCGTGCGCGATACCGGCGTGGACGAGGACGACGTCAACGAGAAAGTGATGAACCGCAACTTTTTATCTTTCGACAAGGTCGAATGCTGGCACCCCAGGGATGCAACGCCGACAAGTGGCTTTCTGACTCTGCCACTAGAAGTGCTGTTAGCGGAAGATCAAAGAGACGATGCCTTCCGGCGGATCATGCCGCGCACCGATTGCGCTGTGCAATACGATAAGTTTAACAAGGTGAGTGGGTACCTCGCGCTGTCCCTCCTGTCGACAGCCGAGCTGATACCTCGTTTCTGCACAGCTACGACTCCGGGACGCCTCACGGCAGTGTACGCAGGGAGGTAGCGATTTGCCAATGACGCAAGACCATCTCCGGCACAATATGGATCTCATTCGCATCCACTGTCCTCGTTTCTCGATACATGCCGACTCGGAGCAGTATGCTGCACTATACAACATTGTCACGGACCTGCTGCTGTACCGGGACCCAGCGCACAGAGAACACGCTAAGCACTTAGAGACGATCCTCTTCGCGTACAACTTTCGCGATGCAGATGGCCTCGCGAGCATGGTGGATGCCCTGCAAATGCGTATCCGACAGGCCGAGGATCTCCATCACCAATACGAGCGCCACTATTCAGAACTGAATGACGCAGGCAAGGCAGATGACGCCGCAATCTATGCAGAGCTGACGAACCTGCAGAATGAATTGTCTCTGTTCATGGAGGCGATTACCGTGGCGCAGGATCAACGAGCTGGGCCAGACAAGGACAAAAAGTCTGCCCTGCGACTTGAGGCGTCAGCCGAAGATATTGCGTGGCATATGGATTCAGCAGATTCACCAAATGCGCTGGCGGAGCTTGCCATCCACGGAACGAGCTTCACGTGGTTGAGCAAGGCAGACAATTCGACCGCCAACACATTGTCGATTGTGGACTTGCATGCGCGCAATTCTCGGCCAGATGCGCTGTTCTCAAGCATCATTGCAAAGTACACCAAGGCGCAAGACCACTTTATGGTAAAGCAAGGTCGTATTCTGAATGCCGCCTGGTCTGTCCTCGCCCCTGTCGGCGGCATCTCCATCATCGATCGCTTCGAGCTCAACGTCCACCCACTTCGCGTGCAAATCGAAATTGCGGTGGGCCGTGAGATAATGAACTACATCTTTGGCAATCGGCGGGAGCGTGAAAAGCGGCAGCGGGGGGTGCAACTGTCCGGAGAGGATGTGCAGACTTCGCCCAAGCTTGGAGCTACCGATCGATCCGGTGGTCATCAGAGTCTGCACAAGCAAACATTGCTCAAGGCTTCGAAACATCAGACCGCTGACTCGGCTGAAATGTCCCGGAAAAGCTCCTTCCAGAGCGAGTCGGATAGCGCAAGCAGGGGTCGACCGCCGCAGAAGTTGCAACTGAGTCGCACCGCTTCGCGGGCCTCGTCTCCTCCCGGCCAAGGGCGCAAAAAACCCGAAAAACCTTCAGCAGACGTCCCGAGCGAGGATATTGGCAAGATCGTCCGGGATGAAAGCAATGTCATCGCGTTTCGACACGCAGTGGAGATGAGGAAGAGGGCTGCAGCAAACAAGACTTTTGTGTATGTGAAGGTGTCTCAGACTGTCTTTTGTCTGTCGTACAAGGGCGACAAGCGCAAATCGCTCACCGACCTCTACGACCTGGTCTTCAAGTCTCCCTCTTTCGAGTGCCGCAACCGCACCTGGGCGTATGAAGACCTCGCAAATAGCTTCAAACGCAACGTGCTCCGCGCGGCTTGGAGCCAACGGACAACGCTCATCAAAGGCTTCTTGACCACGCGACCTCGGCGCATATCGGCAAAATTGGCCTTGCGAGACAAGATCAGGCGGCAACAGCAATCCACAAAAGTGAGAATGGCCGACTTTGTCGAGCAAAATGACGTGCAGCAGCCTGATGGAGCGGAGGACGAGGGCAGTCACGGGGAGGAAGACAATGCCACGGACGTGGCTTCCCTCACGTCACAGACCTCCGCATCACAGTCGACGACTTCGTCGTCCGGACTTAACAGCACATATGAAAGCATTCAGGTGCAAGAACACAAGCCGCGCATGCGTCTGACAAGCATGCTTCGCCGGAGCAAATTGAAAGATGATAGCGGGGTGCGCGATGCAGATGCTATTTCCCCATCCATGTAGCACATAGGCATCAAGGCATGTGCAGCCAGTGTTTGACGAATTCCACTTGCTCTTGGTGAATCGCTTTGATGCGCGGTGGCTCATTGTCGCGCTGCGCCACTGGCAGAGAGTTCTCATCACCTGAACAGAGCGTGCGAGAAGGAGTATCAGAATCGCGCGAGGGTAGGAAGACGCTGGCGCGCTCACAGTGATGCCAGCAGTCGGGAATCAGCTTAAAGGGGCGCTCGAGCGTATCAGATCGCGCGCCTCCGAACGCGTATTCTTCCGAGTGCGCGCAGGCAGGCCTCCATGGATCATCTACGGGGAGAGATATGAAGTGGTTTCAGCGACGCTGCCATTCTAGCCATACCGAGCACCGAGGCACACTTACATTGGCCGTCGATAAGAGCCAGATTGGTGGTGGATAGGGCAAAGCCACCGAGCGCGTTCACCTCAGAGATGTTAGGATGCGCAGGAAGGTTGTAGTGCTTGCCGGGCAGGTAGCCTTGGCGGCAGACTTCCGTCGAGTAGTTGTGATCGATGAGGGAGGAGATCTGCAACAAAGTCGGCCTGTCAGCGTTAGGCAATTCTAATCGCTATCTGGTCGTCGTCGACGCACAAGTTTAGGCCCCGCAGGATGCCCCGGGGTGGGCTCGGGAGGAGCTGATTGGAAGTATCCCCAGGTCTGGCAGGTCTGGAACACCCAAGAATGGCCTGCGTTTAGCGTTGTCGTTTGCCTTGAGGGTAGGGTGGTCAGTCTGAGAGGTAGCGAGATGCAAACGTAAAACATGGCTCACCTCGCATCAGTGTAATTATACGTCCCAAAGCAGAGGTCCGCCACGGAAGCCTGTGCCGTTCCTTGCGTCTCGCGCAAGCAGTCGTCGGCAAAATTGTCGCGAATAAATGCAGCATACTGGTAGGTCTCTTTGGGAAGGGACAGGTTGTGTGCGTTGCCTTGTCGCATGAGCTGTGCCGACCGGTCAGTGGCAGCGGTGATATTGCCGCAAAAGCTGTCCCAGAATGGTTGGCTGCTGATGCTTGCATCCCAGTTGAGCGCCTGAAAGCTCCCAAGCGGCGCAGCCCAGAGATTGGCGAGATCGGCGACGTGTGTCAGGTTGGGCGTGCCCATGATTTCGAGGAAGGCGTCCCGCTGCTCGTGTCGTGCGGCCTTACTGAGCGGGACCGCAATCGAGTCGAAACCAGCGACAGCGGCTTGGATCGCCTGCGCACAGCTAGCTTCGGCTCCGCGGGCGATAGGGTACATGTACTCTGGATAATCTTCGATTGCCTGCACAACCGCCGAGCTAGCAATCGCTCCGGTGAACAATTCTGGATAGAGCACGCGCAGGTGGGCGCTCCGCGCACCGGGATAGCTCCCGCCGTACGAGATCCATCTCGTCTTGTTCGGCCCGCCGGTGAGGTCCTCTTCAACACCGGGGAACTTGATCTGGCGGACAAAGTTGGCGCTGTCCTCGAGTGCCTGCGTGTTGTTCAGAAAGCGCATCGCATCGCTGTCCCAGTATGGCCCTGGCGGAGAGATGACGCTACGTGGCGGGTAGGACTTGCCGTAGTAGCGGTGCTCGAGGACGACAGAGATGCCGCCCGTCGCTCCGGCCAGAATGTCTAGGATGCCATGATCTAGATACGGCTGCAGATTTGGGCGATACATCAGTGGTTTTCGCCCGCACGCTCGCTACACCTTGCTCACCAGTCTTCCCTCTGCATTTGTCTCCCCACTGTCCAGAACGTAGACCACGGTCTTTTCTCCTTCTTTGCGGTGTGACGGCGGCTTGTAGTACTTGGTCGAGAACCAATAACGCTGTTCAAAAGTGACATTGTTGCTTGGATCGAAGTGGTCGAGCGGTTGTGTGAACGTGTAGGCTGGGTACTTTCCCGTCAGAGAACCACCGGTTTTCGGGTTCACGTTGAATGTAAGCTGCGCCTCGTCGTTCCACAAAAGCACGGCCGCATCAGCACGTCTGTCGGCAAGGCTTTCTTGTTGCTTAGCGGCGTGGAACGCATGGAGACCTGGGGCGTGCTTGGGCCTGCGGAAAAGTCACAGAGCGCGTTTCTTACTTCAGCCTCATGCCTCACTCTTGGCATTGGGGCTACTCCGTCTTACGTCTTGAGCTGCCAGTCAGGATGCCCTACATGGGCCACAACCACCTCGAGGCTGCTGAGCAACAGGAGCGCCGTTGCGAAGCGCATCGTGCAGGATACAGCGGGAAAGATTCGGCAGGGTTGCATTCGCTTGCTAGGATCGCCTGACTAGTGCGGTAAGATGGTGACGCAAGGCAGACAACGGAGAAAGCCTCCAAGCACAGCCAGTGGAGTGCGGCACCGGTTATTGCTCTGTAGATGGAAGGGGTTCGGCGACGCCGAAAGCATTAGGGAACATATGTGGTAGTACATAGGAGAGCCAGCATGGAGCAGGCTATCTATCCTTTGGAACCTCGCTGCACGAGCCACGAGGGAGAGGCTGTGTCTCTTAGCGGAGGGGTTGATTATTTTATTTACAAACATGTAGTGCTTGATGCCGTTAATGAGGGCATGGCGTGGCAAGGAGGGCTGTGGGAAGAGGGGGCGACTGTATCATGTGGCGAGAGATATGTGGAGCATTTCGGTCAGGAAGTCGAGTAGTGAACCACAACAGTTTGGACGGTGACCAGTAATTTCAATTTGGGAGCATACCGATACCCAACATACTGCCACTGGGGATGGGGGGGGTTGAGACGAAAGCCATCAAGGCGATGTAGAGCTAGGAGTGGGTGAGGTCACACCATTCATTATGTTGTGGCCTGCGAGAGAGGCGATAACTGACAGGGCATCCCCTCATAGCTTGCCTTTGCTCATCCACGTTTGAAGCGATCGGCCGAGACCAATTGTGACTGCGCATCAACAATGCCAGAAGCAAGTGACTGCAGCTGCAGTTTTCTCGTTGCGTATATGCGCCAGCGCAAGGCCACACTCGCCCTAGTCCCCTGCACTCGCACACTTCCTTCACCCCAGCGCGATACAAAGGTGAGCGCCCCGTCTGCGGCAAGTGCTTCTTCCGCATCCACCTGCATGGTGGGCAGCTGGCTCGCTTTCCAGGTCCTTAACATGGCCGAAGACTGCCGCGCCGTGAAACCTCATCAGCTTGGCGCCGGGGTCAAGTTGGCCCAGCTGCCCGACGCTGCTGCCGGCTTCTGCCAGGTCGGCGGGGTAGAGGAGTAGGTCGTTGAGCGCATCGTCGCACGTGCCTAAAGATTTTGGACAGAGTAAGCAACCTGGGTCGCGGAATAGAAGCAGATGCATCTGATGGACGCCCGTGACGACTGGGCCCCAGTGATTGCACGCGAGCAATGGTGATCAGCGTCCGAACGTGAACGTCCTGATTCCACAGGCTAGACGAGCAAAAGGCGTTAGCGTGGAGTTCAAATGCACGAGCTCTCGGCACACTGGCGTCTGCATTCGACCTGCCGCAAAGGGGCTGCCTTCCACCCGCGTGCCTTTGAGCAGAGGGGGATGCAGAGCGCGCGTCCTTCGCACATCTAGCGGGGGTCTGTTGGCGCGGACCCGTTGGCGCCGCTGGTTGTGCTCGACTGCTGCGCATGCTGGCTACGTCATCCTAATCAACCTGCCCCTCCGCCCCATGTTATAAGCAGCGATGACGTCTAGAGCGAACCCACCAAATGGAATGAGCACCGCGGCTTGCGGCCATTGAGTATATGCTCGCACACGACTTTGCTCGCGACGACACTTGTGCATCACGAGCAGCAGGAGGTCCTGGGCGGTCGCTGGTGCAGCTTCTGCACAGCAGCGCAAACATTTGTTCAAGGAGAGAGCCGTTCATCGAACCCGAGACGAATTGAAAAGGGTTTAGATCCGAAAGGTTGGTGCGTCCAATGCCCATGAGAGCACCACGCGTGTAAACAGCCCACGTACACACCCTCGTACCACCCATATCTGCCATAGGGTCGAGGGCATGAATCTGTCCATATCTATCCAGGTCTGCCCGGCATGGCAGAATCCTCGAATCGGGCACGCTGGTAGCTCCTACCGTCCCTCCCTCATCACCTTATCGCTTCATCGTTTTCATCTGTATCTACGAGCAGGTACAAGCTACAGTGCATTTGCCAGCACGGGCAAAGTGGTACTCACTTTGGAACATGCGTGTTCGTACGTACATAACTTGTATACATGTTCATGTCTGCAATGTTGTGCGAGGCTGGAAAGTACGTCTCGTACGTACAACGGTAGACCTGTGGCAGGTAATAATAGAATATGGCACAAGACAGGATGGATAGAGAAAGCAAGTGAGTTGTTGGGGTAGTCCGTCGCAAGGCCCACTAGAGCTGGGCATCAAGAAGAAAATGTAAGGTATAACGACCGGACTGGTGCTGGGAGCCATATGCCAAGATGAGCGCAAATACCACACGTGTCAACTTCGCACAATAACGTCTCGCGTGTCGGCTCTACGAAGTCATGAAATGGTATTTTGTTTGTGCATGGCGTCAGATGGGCATATGCTGGCAGTCCCGTCCTTGTCATTTCCTCAGCCGCATGGCCGCCCGTAGTAGCTGCCGAGAATCGTCGTCACCGGGCAGCAAGCAAAAAAGATGCAGCCTCCAGGCACTGTTGGTGCCCTAGGTTCCGGAGGAGGCTGGTCGATCCACCGCTGGTCACGGGGGAGGTCGATGGCAGCTTGCAGGCGCATCCCGTTTGATTCCAGAAACTCGTCTGAAGTGTCCGCCGTCTTGGGTGGTTGATATGACCAACTGCCTCGCCTTCGGCGAGGCCTCCGCGCTCGAGGACGCTTGGGATCCTGGCTGGTGCGGATAAGCCAAACCTATGGCGTCGATGTCCGGGGCCACTTGAAGTGGAACTGGTCCAGTGACCCTCTATGATAAAAAGAGCGAAATGAGTTCAGAGGCAGGTATTGTATGCTAGTCAAAGATAGATTACATCAATTGGCAATTTAACCAAGTGGTTACGGTGTTCGCCTGCTATTAAGCACTTTGCGATAGCAAGGGCCAGCGAATCCTCTCTGAGGGCGTGAGTTCGAATCTCACAGTTGTCGTTTTTTTTTCCAATTTCCAGATTCAAATTGCTAATGCTCTCCCAACAAATCGGAGTTTAGAATGAGACACACCAATCGGCAGCTTAACCAAGTGGTTACGGTGTTCGCCTGCTATTAAGCACTTTGCAATAGCAAGGGCCAGCGAATCCTCTCTGAGGGCGTGAGTTCGAATCTCACAGCTGTCGTTTTAATCCACCACGTGGATTGAAGCCGCTTGTTTTTTTTATCTAATTAATCGGGTTCTAGGCTTGCTGTAGTACGGTGATGCACCGATAATGGCCAGATCTATGTGGACCGGTCTACAGGAAGCAGAGGCGCCCAGCATAATGTGTTGGCCAAGTCTCGTTTCTCATGGTGAATCCAGTAATAAAAATTTAGCTTTCCGCTAACCCCTCTACTGGTTGCATTCGACTGGGCGCACATGGAGAGTCTGTCTTGGCCCTCGATTTCAGTCTCCACGTGATCGCGACTTTTGTACTCATAAAGCAACGAGGAGTATTTACCGAAATGACGATACTCCTGGAAATGCTTCATGCAGCCCATTCTGGCGGAAGCGCTGCTCGAAAGCCGCTTCAGACCAAGACACAAGCGCGGCTGGTGGCACAAGCTGACAGGCGCACCGCGCACAAGGGCTGGCGACAGCTTCGAGCAGAGTACGCAGAGATTCCGTCCTTCTTTTCCTCGGAACCCACTGCAACAACGGGTGGCAGTCTGTTGGGCCGCATGTGCGTAAAATGAATCTGTCCTGACGCCTCACAGTCAAGATATTCAGGCTGTGTCCGGCCTCATACAAGTTGAACCGGTGTCGAATCTGTCAAGGTGCTCGCAAAGCCAGCATTCAGCTCCTCACAGTTTTCTGTGTTGCAGACTGCGCAAGCGCGGATGGCCTGCTCTCCGATGATGCAAGGATGCGTCTGGGGCAAAGGAGCGGGTCTGGGGCTCACTCGCACAGCGAGAACAGAGTCTGTCGAGTTACCGGCCCTGTTGCTGCATCTTTCTTGGTAGAGTGTTTTGAATAACCACTATGGGTTGACCTCCAACGCATCCATCTGCGTACTGCGAAGCGGGTGAACACAGCTAGATGACTGCTTGTTCAAGCGGCAATAGGCCACAATTTGCCGCCATACGCAAGGATTTGGTTTGGAGCTGGTGCATTTTATGTTCGCTTTGTCGTGGAAAGCTTCTCCGCAGCATGCACCTCTTCAGGACCTGTTGCCCAGCCGCCTGTCCCGTCAGTAGCCCACCGCCGCAGCGCTAGAAGCTCGCCTCCTCCCACCAAGTTAACACTCCAACACACGAACATTTTATTTGTAAAAGCGATGTTTCATCAAACAGGTTCAGGCTACATAAGACTACATACTGATATACATACAGTGGATGCTAGACGTCGAGTCCCGGACAGGAAGACTCCAAGGTCCAGGTGCTGTCTGCAGTCTTGTTGCTACGTGCCTAACCTCATACAGCTTGTGTGCATATGTAATTGCACTCGGAACATTTTCGAGCTTCGAAAAGAGGCTTCTGGTGACCCGCTTCGATGCTCGGCTGTCACGCGCTCCCTCTGCCTGGGCTGCACATCGCAAGCGTGCGACTTTTGTTGCTCAGTTCGACGCCAGTCTTGCAATGCGGTGTTAAAGGACATCGACGCTTCAAATGTTGGAAACACGACGTCCAAGGTTCTTCCAGGCCGTCGACTGCTACCGAGTACTTATCCCCCCTTTTTTCCCAGTGCAAATACCTACTTACATAGAGAGGCTGCCAGAGTGTCGAATATCTGCATGCACCGCAGCCATTCAAATTGACCGTTGCCCTTCCAGCCTCAACGATGTTGTCCAGTTGTACGTATCAACCAGTAGCTTGTCTCGACTGGTTGCCGATGGTGAGGCGGCGAGGGTTAGCTGACGGCCGTTTACCAAAAAAAAGGCTGGCGCAAGCTTGCGCAAGTGTACCCGTATCAATCTCATCTCCTCTCTTGGCTTCGGACTGCTCCGGCTGACGGGACCGGCACCGCCGGTATCACAGGAGCTCACAGCGGCGGCATTCGAACTCGAAAAAGCACCTTTCTAAGGTCACTCGCCTGTTCAGCGGGCTTGATCTTGTGCGAGACGGCACTGCCACGGGCTCACAGGGGCTAGGTAGGGGTAAGGGGTCTTGCACCTGGCGGCTGGCTAGCAGGCCAGGCGGCAAGGGCAGGGAAGGGCCAGTATTGTAGAGCCCCCACTTATTGCCGTGATCGAGGGCATGTCAATTAGTAATCACCCTCTCACAGCAGAGTTGCAGATGCCCATGCGTTAAGCGTTGAGCACAAGCCTGCAATGTGCCTCACTCTTTGATTTGCTTCGACGCCCGAAAATTCGGTCGGACACCTCTTCATCTACTGGGTATGTACACTCATCATGGAACACAATATGTACTAAAGCGCTGGGGCCAATGCGTGTATTGTGTGCATCAAAGCGGAGTTACAAGGCAGGTTAAGACCGCCTTACGATCCCTTTGCCACCAGACCCCAGCGCCACCAGAGTCTATTTTGTAAGTATAGCAAAATGATTGCAAATAGAGCACCGCTCGAGAGGGGAGGGGTCCGAATCTCTGGTGGACGCTCGGCTCGATATGCCCAGACGGCAAGAATATGCCGGTGACGCGCGAGGCACTCGCATCCACGCACGGCGTCAAAAGTAGCGGTGATGGGCCCTTGGATGGACGTCCCCGAGCGCTTCCTGGACGACTGGTATCGCTTGGCTGTCCCCTACACCATCCCAAATATCGTCGCTGGGTGGATTTCGACAGGTCGAGTGCCGCGGGACGGCGGTGAAAGCCGACCAGATGTGCACGTGTACGCCGCTGCGCACGGCGCCGCGCTGCACCGGCTTCGACGCGACCAAGGCGGGCGATGTCGGCTATGTCGCATACAACAGGTTCAACGTCGCCACCGCGCAGATCCCCTCGTCCGTGCTCAGCCTGCCCATCGTCGGCTCGAAGCTCGAGCAGGTCAAGCTGAGCTTTACGCGGCTCAGCTGCGGCGACTAACCAGGTCGATCAATGAGCAACACCGGCCCGGACGCGTGCGGCGCGCCTTCCGTCCTTTGTTCAGCGATGTCCCTCCCCTTTTGTTTCTTTTTTTGCTTTGTCCATTTAGGAAGCCAAAGAGCCAAGAGCTTTCGCCACCGACCTTTTTTGGTTGCTGCAGAGAGCTACATATTCCGCTGCATGAGTGCGCCCGTCTGCGCCGCTTTAGAGTCCATGCTGTTATCCATAATCGCAACGCAATAGCAGCAAGGCCTAGTTTCTTCATCCTCTGCGGTTGAGAGTCTTCTGTTGGCTGCAGCACGAAGCCGACGAGAGACGCGCTAGCGAGCAAAACAAACCACAAAGGGCTCGCCCATCCGCCTCTGTCAGCTGACAGACCTTGCTGAGCGGGCGAGGCATCCCCGGCGGAATTCCCTTCTCGTCGTCAAGCAACACTCGTTGAGACATTGGCCGAATCAACCTAATATCTCACGACACGAACTGCAGACAGCCATGCAGCACCTGTGGCCTCTTAGTGGCTATGCTGTTTTCAAAGCCAGACACAATATATACAAGAGGTAAGATCCTACGCGCACTATCGTACGAAACAAAGTCCCACTTCGGCTCGTAGCCTCCTACCATAGCAGGCAGGCGTACGTTCCTCGACTTTCTGACTTCAAAGAGGTAGACTATATCTTTATATTTGTTAATATCAATTAGAATATGGAAGCTGCTGGAGCCTGTGCAGTGTGCAGACCTGGCCCTGCGAACCGCCGGCTGGGCACGAGAAGAGAGGAACAGCAGGCAGCAGACCACAGCATAGCTGCATGTGGGTGCAATTCATGCTGATCATATATTGCGGCCAGGTGGGGCTCCATCACGGGAAGAGTGTCGTGCGCAGTTCCGCCTTTTAAAGTGTCTCACCCATTGGCCCTGACTGCACTCCACCGCAGATCGTTGGAGGCTGATGCCGTGCCGTGCCAGTCAGTCCCCGTTGCCGCTGATCACTGTTCAAGGGCCTTGCTAATCACCAGATGTTGGCTGTTTAACGAACATCCTGGGAGCTAGACAAGGCGTGGGGTGCCATTTCAATCGCCCCCATTCGTCATCGAGCTTCTTTCTGCTTGTACATGCCCGTCGCTACAAAAGCATTGAACTGATTATGACGGGTCATCCCGCTGCCGTCGCCATCAGCAGCCAGCCAACCCAACGCCGCCTCGCCTTTGGCTCGGCTCGACGATGAAGTTCGACCAGGCCCTGTACACCGCGGCGTTGTACGCCCTGTGCTCGCTGCGGGGAGCGCGCGCGCTATGGCCACAACCGGCGTCGATGACCAACGGCAGCAGTGCGTTACAACTCAATGTGTCCAACTTCCAGATTAACCTGCCCTCCAACGCGCCGCTGGATCTGCAGCAGGCCGCCGAGCGCAGCATGGCCGAGATGCGACTAAGCAGCATGCAGCCCCTTGTCGTCGGCCGCGGTGCCAAGAACGCGGCGGTGGTAGAGCAAGCGCCGCTTCTAACGAGCATCAACGTCGCCATCGGCAGTAGCAGCAACAGGCACAGGCGCAAGCTCAGCATCAACCAGGTCGCGCTCGAGCCACGCGCCACAGCGTCCATCAAGAGCATCTACGAAAACATGCTGACCGACATCAAAGAATACGATGAGTCGTACACACTCGATATTCCAGCCGACGGCACGTCCGCCACGCTGTCCGCCGCCACGGCACTCGGCGCGCTGCGTGGCCTGACGACGCTGCAGCAGCTCATCTGGGCGCTTCCGGCGGACGGCTTGGGCTCGATGCGCTACCTGTGGGGCGCGCCGTTCCATATTGAAGACAAGCCCGCATTTCCGTACCGCGGTCTGTTGCTCGACACGTCGCGCAACTACTTTTCGATCGCTTCGCTCAAGCACCTCGTCGACACGATGACCTTCGTCAAGATGAACCAGTTCCACTGGCACATCACCGACGCGCAGAGCTGGCCCCTGGCGCTTGATGGCGATTACGCGTTCTTGTCGCAAACGGGCGCTTACTCGCCCGCCGAAGTGTACACCAAGGCGGACATAGCTGACTTTGTCCAATACGCCGGCAAGCGCGGCGTCAACGTCAACGTCGAGATCGACATGCCCGGGCACGAGTACATGGGCGTGAGCTCCATGCCTGGCGACCTCGTCGCCTGCGGCAATCAACTCCCCTGGACCGCCGTCGCGAACGAGCCACCGAGCGGCCAGCTGCGCCTCGGCCAGAACACCACCGACAAGTTTGTCGCCGGTGTCATTGAGCAGACCGCCGCCATATTCCCCGGCAAATACTTTTCCACTGGCGGCGACGAGATCAACCTCGCGTGCTACGGCAAAACGAAGAACTCGGACATCGACGAGTCGCTCCTCAAGCCCTTCCTCGAAAAGGCGCACGCTAAGGTTGCCGACGCCGGCAAGATCCCCATGGTTTGGGAGGAGATGGCGATCAACTTTCCCGCCACCGGCAAGACCCTGCGCAACGGCACCATCGTCGAGACCTGGACCAACGCCGACAACGTCAAGGCCGTCCTACAGGCTAACCCGGGCGTCGACCTGATCCACGCGCCCAGCACCTACTTTTACCTCGACTGTGGCCGCGGCGTGGGGCTCACCGGCTCGCCTTCCCCTTCGTGGTGCACGTATGTCAACGCATGGGACATGTACGCCTTTGACCCGCTCAACGGTACCCAGGGAGTGCAGGACGGCCCCAAACGTGTGCTCGGCGGCGAAGCGGCGCTCTGGACAGAGACTGTCTTCGAGGGCAACCTAGACACGCTCATCTGGCCCCGCACCGGCGCCGTCGCAGAGGTCTTCTGGACTGGCGCAAGCTACGAAACCAACAAAGAGACCAAAACGCGCAGGGCCACCGAGGCAGCCCCGCGCCTCAACGACTTGCGTTACCGCATGGTTGAGCGCGGCGTCGCCGCCCAGCCACTCGTCCCCCACTGGTGTGCGCTCAGGCCGGACCGCTGCCCAGACGTGTCCAGCTGAGCGCGCCCGAGTGAGTCTGGGGAATAGGTTGGCCGCGCCCCTGTGCACGCTTTCTTTCCTCTTTCCACCAGTCTCGGTCGCTTCTCTTAATGCTTGGGTAGATTGTGCTCATAGATTCAAATGCAAATGCTGTTAATACAATGATGACCCCTGCCCAGACGCGACATTGCCCTCAAGTGCTTGCTGATGCGCAGTAACGTATCTTTGCGCGACATTGCTCGTCAGTGGTTGCGGATGCGCTTGTGGCGCAGCAATGCATCTTTGCGCTGTAGTAGCAAAGCGCCAAAACCTGTCATCGAAGAGCCCCCGCCTGGCCTGAGAAGATGTGGATGGACTCACCGAAAACACACTCCCGCACCCATTCTTGCCCTCGCACTTCCACTCGACCGTCGCGGAGCTCGTCTTTGGGTCGACCTCCTTGCCGAGAACGATGCACTGCTCCATCGTCAACTGCTTTTCGCGCACTGCCTTGGCCTCCTCCTTGGCGTGGATCGTCTCTCGATGCCGCGTCAGGTCGTACATCCGGTGGAACTCGGTGCCACAGTACTCCTTAGTTAACGGGGAGACATAGTCGCAGATGGACATGCCGCTTTTGCTCGTCGGGAATGTCCGCTCGGCTCCATGGAACGGTGCATCGGACGCGGCAGCGGCAGTCGTTTTAGTCTGCCGACCGGATGGCGGCGACACAACAATCTTGTCCTTTCCACCGGTCGCACGACGTCGCTTGGTACCAGCACTCGCCTTTCTCGCGCTCGATTCGGCAACGTATGTTTCGTCGCCCGACTCGTACTCCTCAGGCGTCGCAGACGCAGCAGCCCGCTCCGAAGACCCCCGCTTCACCGACGCTTCCCGCCGGTGCGCCGGCGGCAAAGGCTTGCTCGCCTTATAGCCCGGCGAATACCGATACCCGCTGAGTGCCTGTGCCGAGCTGCGGATGTTCGGGCTTATGCTGCCTTCATCTTCGGGGCTCTGGCTGCCCGCCTCCGACGTCCGGCGCTTCTCCTTCTTGCTGCCGTTTATCGCCTCCCGCGACATGAGGCCATGCAGCGCAAGCGGTCGGTTCTGCTCAATGTTCACGTCGCTGCTACTGCTGCTGCTATCCTCGGAAGGAGCCTGCCCGTCGGGAATCGAAAGGCCGCTATCCGCGCTGCCCGGAATGTATCCATACCCCCCAAATGTTCCCGGCGCCCTGCGCCCAGCGAGGGGCCGTCTGCCGGGCGGTGCGAGCATTCCACTGCCGCTCATTATCTTGGCTGTAAAGCTGACGCAAGCCTTGTCCTCCTCCTCGCTGGACGACGCCGAAAATTGTGAAAAGCGCGGTGCGCTCGCATCCTCCCGACTCGACGCCCGAACGGCGTTGCGGACATTCACCGCTGCCAATCCAGGTGCGTGGCCCGCTTGCCCGCGTTGGGCTGGGAAAGGGAACGCAGCATTAGGATGAGTGCGGTTGAGGTACGGTTTTTCGTCCTCGTCGTCCGGCGTGCTGGTCAACCTTCCAAGCGCGCTGTTCGCGTTGAGGAAGTTGGCGGCGGAGCTGCCCTGTGACAGCCTGTCATCCGCAACGACTTCGTCATCGATCTGTATCAGCGACGAGTCAGACGACAACGATGCCTTCCTTACGCTCCGCCAAGACGGCATTTCGCCCGGCTTGAGGGTCTGAAATCGCTCCATACTAGGCCGACTCGGGTTCAGCAGCGAGGACGCTTGGTTGTCAGACGGCGGCGAGGCGATCATGCTCTCTTCCCTGCTCGAGACGCTACTGCTGCCCGTCAAGCTCGGCGTATCGTCCAGCAACACCGCGTCGGAATCTGCTTTGGGTGTGCCCATGCCATTCGCGTGCGCATCCCGCTCCTGCATGTTCCCCCCAGCCTTGACTCTCCCAGCCGTCGCCACCACAGTTCTTACATCAGCCAACGACGCAGGCACATCATCAATCGCGGCCGGCCTGCTGGGAATATGTAATGGCACCGGTTGCCCCTCGAGCCCGTCGCCGGCCAACGCGTTCTTTAGCTCAGGCGGATCCGGCGCAAACACGCTTACGTTCCCCGCCCCCGAGCTTCGGCCCATCGCGCTCGATGCTAAGATGGCAGCCTCGACATTTTCGTAGTCCAGAAAGGTTTCCTGTGGACTGACAGTCAGGCCGCTCCGGGCACGTCGGAATTCTTGGCGGCGAGGAGGCGTTTTTCTTGTCGTCGCTGCTGAGCTGCTGGCGTTCTCCTTGCGTTCGTTATGTGTCTGCTTGCTCGCAAGAGCAGGCTGGGGCGGAGGCGGCATAGTTATTGAATACTCTGCCTGTGCCGGTGTCTGATTCTGCGCTTTAAGCGTGGAGAACCGATCCTGAGCCACATTCGCAGTGTCCCCGTTTGGCCTTCCCAGCGGAAAAAGCGGCGGAGAGGGAGATGGGTAATGCAACGTAATCGCAGTACTGCCCAGGCTGTTACTGCGTCTCCTGGTCCCGATCTGCGGCCTGTCGTGCACGCCGCCACCAGCACCACCGCCCGAGAGATCGAACGTCTCGCTGTCGCTGCCCGACGCAGCAGTGGAAACAGCGGCATTGCTGCCCCATAGGCTGCCTGGGATCTCACCGGTGTAATTGGGATTTTGCATCAAATCCCGTAGCGGCCCTTTGAGCGCACGTCGGTCGATCCCGGCGAGGTCAGCGCGGATCTGCTGCCGCTCTCGCGCTTGCTGTTCAGGGGTGAGCATCAGCGCCATTTGCGCTGCCTTCGCCTGGTCTTGCTTGGCTGCTGCGGATGCCGACCGCAAGCTGGGCTTGTAGCCAGGCAGCGAATGCCGCTGCTGCATCCGCTCGGTACCGGTCAGACCAACGGACAGCGAACTGGCTTCCGCCTCGGCTCCGGCGACGCCTTTTGGTATAGTGTTCGAGGAGGATGCACCGCCCTTCCTCCCGCTGCTGATGCCAGGGCTAATCCCCTCCATCTCGGTCAGCAGCACATCCGAGCCTCGTCGACCATTCGTGGCGTCCTCGCCCGCAGATGAACTGCCCTCAACAATGGACAACCCGTCAAGCCCTTGGCTTCCAAATCCAGCTGTCGCGTCGTGCGATTCTTTTAGGGTGCCGTGTCCGGCGCTGCCCTGGCTGTTGCCGAATGTGGCCACTATCTGCGACTCCTCATCCATGGTATTGAGCGGCCTACCGTCCAAGTCATGCTCTTCATCGCTAGCCACGACCAACCTTCCTTTGATGCCCGTGGCTCCAGCAATCGGCGTCGACACCCCGCTGCTCTCGCTGTCAAAGATAAGTTGGGCGGCCCGCTGCTGACGCATGCACAGTGCCTTTTTCCAGCCAAAGGAGCAGCCCTCTAGCTCCATCAGTTCGGTTCGCCAGGTATCATCCCGGTCGCTGTCGGGGCTGCCATTCTGCGCCGCCTCGCCGCGTGCTTGATAGACGCTGTTCAGCTGGGAGCCAGTCGCGGACGTCGAGCCCGGACAGCCGGCCGCCACGGCAGCCTTCTGCCGGTCGTGCTCGGTCTGCGAACCTGACTGCCACGAGGAGCGATACAAGGCATCGCGCTGGCGCTTCTCCTTTGGCGTACCGTCGACGGCACTGGTCGTCCGGGGTGAGCTCGGCGGACGAGCGTGCGTGTTGCCCACCGACGGCACGGATGCTTTGAACGCCGCGGTCGCTGATGGCATTGGCGCTTCAAAGGATGTAGAGGGTAGGGAGGCCTTAAACCTGTTTACGGAGGACATGGTTGCGTCCACGGTGGTCGAAGTTTCTGTATGGCAACCAAAGTGTGTGCGCCTCGTCAGAAAGCAACCCGAATGCAAAAAGTCTACTCGAACACTCACCTGCAATGGAGCTCGTGTTCCATGACACTGGGAGGGGTTCTGTTGCGACCGGTAGGGGATTCGCACTAGAATATGTCGATGCCTGATGGGAAGGCCGCACCATGGACGAGGTCGTGGACATGCCGACGTCTGAGGGCACCATGGCGTGCCAATTACACACCATACAATCTATACAAAGTCGGTGCCACCACAGCCAATCCGTTCACTCGGAATTGCAAGAGCAGACACCTGTTTCTGCTCTGGGTGACAACGACGATCTACGACGTGCTCTCAAGTCCTTCCCGCTGATAACTCTGTGCGGAGATCGTCGTCGGCCGCAGCCCGTCTCGATTCTGATTGCTGGTTCCCCGGCGAAGCGAGCGCCGGCGCTGATGCCAGCGCTGTGCGAGGACGGGGTATCTATTCTCGCTGATGATAGATCGCAGATGCAGGTCTGCTCCATCCGCCCGTGTGAGCTTGAGACACCTCGCGTCCTCGACCCTTGCAATGGCATGCTCTTGTCCTTCGTTGTCTCTCTCCACTCTCTCGCATCCCACTGCTACAGCATGTATCCCAAATTGAAGGCGAGCCAAGAGCAATGACATAATTTGCGACACGATTTACAATACTTGCTTAGGACAGCCAAGAGACTGTCCGGGCGCCGCGGAACTGCCAGAACGATCCCACTCGGCCTTACTCTGTGTCTTGACCTGGAACTCCGGATTCATTCCTCCATTGCTCCCTTTCTGTATGCTTCTCTCACATTCGCTCACCGCTTGCGCTGCCGCTGCCAGGGTTAACCCCGTCCGTCAGGTCGCCGTCCGGCTTCACTCAAAGGGACGGCCGCTACTCGCATCAAAACAGCGACTTTCTCTTCTGTCATGAACACGAGGTGGCATGAACACGGTCGCGACTGCTCGAATGTTCACAAAAAAATCGCGTTGCGAGGGTTCCGTACGCTGGGGATCACATCGGGAATCCGTTCCACAGTGCTCCAAAGGGATACAGAGCACAAGCACGGCGACACTGCTTGGCTGGTTGTATGTAGGCGCTCCCACTTTTGTGTGACAATGTGTGGATCTACAAGGGCATGCACTAAGAATCGATGGGCCTTAACCCCCCGCCCTCTCCGTCACACTTTGCGCGGCCCGCCGCCGACGATGCCAGCGGCACTTGCAAAGTTCCTGTTGGTATCGGCAGCTGCGCCCGCTCCGTTACCCGCCGCCACGCCGACCTTGAGGTCTCCGAGCGCCTTGCCGACGCGGCCCTTACCCGCTGAGAATGTCTTGTCTGCAGCCCCTCTCGCATCCGTGCTTTCGCTTGTGCTGGCAGCGACCTTGTCGCTCGCCTTGCTAACGGCCTTTTGTACCAGCGTCGCCGGCTCCTGCACATCGGCGCTCAGCGCAGACGGCTTTTTACCCAGCCCGCCGAGGACGAACCCGCTGGCGAGGATCGCACCGAGGACATATGAGCCTGTGCGCTCGTGCTCGTCGAGCGGGCGGGACTTGCTGCGGCCGCTGCTACTCGATGAGGAGGAAGCAGACGCAGAAGGTGCGCTCGAGCTGCTGCTGCTGCTGCTGCTAAAGGCGCGGACGCTCTCCGACAGTTCGCTTAGCCTGGTCGAGACAGCCTTGGAGACGTCGCCTGCGACCTTCGACGCCTGCCTTTCGACGTGCGCAGCATTGGCGCCGAGGTCGTTGCAGACGTCGGAGAGCAGACATTGTAGAGGTGAAGATGACGATGCCGATGAGGGGCTGTCGTAAGTGTGTGCTTCGCTGTCGCCCGCGTCGCTCAAGCCCGCGTCGTGCGCTGCCGAACTGATGCCCCCACCAGGCATGGTCGACGTGCCGGCGACGGCGATGACCTTGCGCAGAGGCCGAAGCTTCTCCTCAGCCGCCTTTTTGGCGAAGCGATCCGCAGCCGCCCCAGGGGATGTGTATGCTGTCACGAGGGGCTGTGTGAAGCGCCACATACATGAAAAGCGTCAGCGACCGCCTCACAATCCCTCGGTCCATACTCTGTACTTACAATCTCTGCACCATGCACCGGCGCGGGCTTCTCGTACGGGATGACATACTTGAACGTATTTGGCACTTTGGGTAGGTCCTGTGGTGGCACGCCTGGTGGGTTGCTCTCCGGCTCCTTGAGAGGCGGAATGTCATCTGCAGAAACCGAAGTCGCAGCAGCCACCACGTTGGGCGAAGCGAAGGGCTTCCTCGAGCCTCCGCCGATGGAGACTACGACGGACGGGTCGATGACCAGGTCGCCTTGTGAAGCAGATGCGCTGGTGAGCTTGGCGGCTTTCTCCTCTTTCGACGCCGTTGGCTTGGGGATCGCAGCGCTGTCGTTTGCAGCGGAGGAAGCACCAGTGTTGCCTTTGGGTGCGGCAGCCGCAGCAGTGCCACCCTTCTTCTTGTCGCTGTCCCTCAGGCTCGCCAGCGTGGCCTTGGACCGCGCGCCGCCCGTCTGAAGGTTCTTGGCGCCATTACCGCTACCGCCACCGCCACCGGCCTTCCGAATATCATCTTGCAGAAGCCTGCGAATGAGCTCTTCGCGCCTTCCGCTCGTTGACAGGCCACGCTGCTTGAGTTCTGTCTTGAGATCGAGCACCTTGCGGTCGTTGTACAAATCTCTTGTGAGCAGCACGCTCGACACCAGCGTCCGGGTCTGCGGCGGTTGCGCAGCAACGCTCAGACGGGCCGCTTGCGAGCGGAAAGCGCTCGACGTGGCAAGGCGAAGCATGATTCACTCAAGTAGCGGCAAGCGGTTCTCGTCGGGGATTGCACTGGGAAGTCCTGAGCCCTGCAGCTCCTTGCCTTCGCAGAGGGCTCCCTCTAACCCTTCGTAGTGACTATAAGACTGCAAAAGTGAGTGCTGAGTTCTCTCTTCTCGTGTCCGTTCGATCGTGAAACCCATGGAAAACACGTTCCGCGCAGGTACACACATCTGCCGAGATGCGGCGAAAATATTCAGTCATTCCAGAGTCTAGCCTGCACAAGTTGTTCACGCTGAAGGCTGAACACTAAAGGAAAGAGCAAAAGCGACAAGATGACCTGATATGTTGCATGCTATTCGCGCGAGTGAAACAATAATTGCAAGGGATTTGCGACAACGATAACGGTGACAGCGAGTGATGAGCGACCTATGCTTGCCCAAACACATACGACAGAATGATAGTGAGACTATGTATACAAGGGTGACTAGCGACTGATATACGCTCGGGCTCGGCTCTACCAGCGTGCCTGCATATGAGCCAACGAGGGGCTGTGATGCTGCGGAGCTTTGTTGGTTGCTTGTTTGTATGCGTGTGACAGTGCGTGTCTGCATGAAGTGCGACAGACTTGCTGTTTTGGGTTGCTGGCTGCCGCGGCAAAGTGGGCGGGTATACTGCGTAGAAAAGACGAACAACGATGCGCCGACGGATCATGGAATGTGTTCGGCATTGGCCGTGCTGATCTGCAGCGCGTTACCAGGTTGCGGCGACGCGAACGGGTGGTATAAGACCGGCTCCTGTTGCTGGGTAGAGCAGGCCGTGTGCTGATCCGACGAGCCGCTGGCGCTGGTCCCGACGCTGTTGCTGTGTGGCCGATTGGCAGCGGTGCACATCTCAAGGTCCTTTGGCTGATCCTGGCCGTCGACATTGAAGGTCGACGTCGATTCCGAAATGTGCATGACGGCGTTCTTCTCCTCAAAGCGCTCCTCGACTGTGTGGATGTGGACGCCATTCTCCAGCGCAGAGGCCGCATCCGCAGGCTTCGGTCGGCCGGTCGCACCGAGCCGAGCGAGGATCGAGATGCCGCGGCTGCCGTGCGACGCGGTCTGCACGTTCGAAACGGGTTGCGACGTGACGGCGCCAGCATACGTCGAGTGGCGGTTGCCCGTGCCGCTGATGGCGCGGACGCCCGAGCCCGAGCCCGTGCCGTCGGCGGAAAAGACGACATTGCTGATGCTCTGGCGTGCATTGAGCGTCGAGAGCAGCGAATTGATGTACAGCTTGGCAAGCGGCAGATTGAAGACCAGGTGCAGCGTGGTGGGGCTGGCGAGGAAGAGGATCAGGTCGATAATGGCAAATGTGGTAGTGAGCAGGCCCGTCTGGAGCGTGATCCTGATCAGCCGAGTGATGAGGTCGTCCGTTGCCTTGAACCCGGTCCTGCTCTGTCGGAGCGTGTAGATCAGGCTGACCGTGATGGTCAAGTCGGCGAGAGCGGCAAAGAGCAACCAGATGATGACGACGACCTGGAAGCTTTGGAACTTCTCAAAGGTGAGCACGATCGAGACGCCAATTGTCGAGCCAATTGCACCCAAGAGCGAGGCGAACGAGAGGATGCAAATGCTAGCAGGGATGATCCAACCCTTGTTCAGGCGGCGCACGCGCCAGGCAAAGAAGAGCTGGCACGAGAAGGCCATGATGCCCGTCATTACGGGATCCGTCGTAAACGTGACATTGGAGCGAGACGCAAACTGCAGGTTGCCAAAGTTGGTGACTACAGAACGACAACGTCACGTCAGTCGAGCCGGAGCAGAAAGAATTCTTCCCGCATACACTCACCCAAGTAGTCGTATATGAAATGCGCGTCAAAGACACTGTTCATTGTGTCGATGATGAACAAAAACGCGACGAATATCTTAAGCCACTTGCCATCGTTCCGGAAGGTAGTGTAGTAGAGGTGAGTCTGCAATACGGAGAAGCCGTAGAGCCAAATGTTGAGCATCACCCCGATGAGGATACAGCCGAGTGAAAGATCGTAGGCCGACATGATGACAAGACGGGTTTGAAGAATAAGCGGCAGATGGACCGGCTTGGCGGCGGCGCTTCACGTTTCTGGACGCTGTGCTTTGGCAGGACGAATAAGGCAGAGTGACGGCTACTACAGCTGACGGCTGGTACCACGAGAGATCAGGAAAGATCATGGATGATGGACCGCTCCGAGTGCTGGTCTATATACGCTTTTGATACTTGCCTACGGTGGTTGCTTTCATGCTTGCATGTTGTTGACATGCACAGGCCGGCAAGAGCCCACCACGGAACCACTGCTGTTATTTTCTCACACAGCACGTATCAGAAATCTGAAAAGAGTGTGTTGCATGAGCTGTGGTATCTGACAGCTGATGAACTCTGCAGTGTACAGCGTGCAGAGTGGATGTTAGTGCCGATGCTCTCCTGCAAAGTGCAAAGAGTGAAAAGTTTGTGGTGCCTGCAAGGCCACCAACCAAACAGAGGACTGGTGATACGGGTGATGGCTGGATGAGGTTGGTTTGTCGCCCGCCGGTCCAAACATGTTCGTGCTCCCCCACCATGATCCCGTCCTCCTGACATTAGACCCAAATCCGCGACTCCTCTGGCGCAGGGATGACTTACTGCTCACGCATTAAAGCTTATTGCACGCGCACATGACAATAGACGAGTTCTGTCCGCTGCTTGTGACGAGGACGAGCCTGGGCCTGATCTGAGAGAGATTTCGGTACTGTTCCTGGGTGAGCTGGTGCTTCAAAACGGAAATCTGCAATCACCAGTTGTGTCATGTCAGTCAGTCAGCAGCAGGCAGCCATCCGCCCTGGCTTGCCCGAGACGGTGACTGCATGTATCTTTACATCGTTTACCTGCCAGTCATGTGTGCTCTCATCAACACTGACATGCTGGCGGCTGGCCAATCGACCAAGACTGCGAAGCAATATGTATGTGCCCGACGCGAGATGGGGGAAGACACAAGATCGAAAAACGGAAGAGCGTTGTTGAACGGCTTGAGACTGTGGGAGATTGGAGGTGGAGGAGCATGTGAGGGACAGAGGCGGGCACAGCCCACATCACTCGCCCTCAAACTCTCTTTTTCCCTCCTCGCTCTTTCCCTTGCAGACAAGTGCACGTGGGGATGTACGTTTTACCTTGTACATACATGGCAGTCCTTCGCCATCGGGCATTATCCCACTTCTGTTCCATCGGCCCCAAGAAAGGAAGGCCGTGCAAGCTGCATGAGAAGATCATTCGCAACTTGCAGGGTGGCGTCTAATAAGTGACAGTGGGCGAGGGGACAAGCCTAGCAGATGGCAGATGGGCATAAAGTTCATTCACGTCAAACCCACGGACGTGCTCGCACGCGGGCGGAACCGCGCTTGTGGGTCATCGCTTTGGGTTATATTCTCCGGGTACCGGCATGTTGTCTGCGTGCAAGATGAGAACCTTGTCCTCGCAACACACTGTGAGGCAGCTCACCAGTGTCTGCCCATTCTTCACCGCTGCACCCCCCCTTTCTGGTGCAGGGGGAAAATGCGCGCATGCACAACGAGGAGCCGACGTGCATGTCTCATTCATTTTAAAGTTTCATCCCAACTGCTGGTACAGGGCTAGTGTTCTGCTTGCTCAGGAAGGATGCCATTCCTCCCACACGCCCCCACGGGACTATGGATCGCTCGTGCTTGGTCATTATTTGCCTGGGTCTTTCCCTTTTCCCCCTCGGCCTAAAGATCAAAGTGTCCTCAGATCACGATTACATCACCTCTCAACGGAGAGGGGAGAAAAGTGAATGTCACACTACCACAAACATGTTTCATATTTGTTCATGTGTAAGACTAGCCTGTGCCAGTGCGCCAGCCCTCGTCAGGCTTGGATGTATGTCGCATGCGTTCTCCGAAACTTCGCGTCGCGTTCTGACCCGTTTCCCACCGTGCCAACCGCGTCTCTCCTCGCAAGGGATTGACAGCAGGCTGTGGTCGCTTGTTCCGTGCCGGTCAAGCACAAGAGAGAATGGGTCGAGAGCAAGATAGGCGAGCCTTGCCTCGTCCGATTTCCGGGTCCCGGGTCCCGGGTCCCGACGCTTCCAGCTTCGGACTCTGGGTTAGCCTACACGGGGGGGTTAGGGTAATAGGGAGAGAGACCTAGATAGGGCAAAGTAGAGCCGGTACATCATACCATACACTTGCATGGCATCGTGCTTTATGAAGTGAGCGACATTGCGGTGTGCAGAGATCCGTGGCCGATGAGGATGCATTCGTGACAGGGAAGCGATTCCACAGCCCGCGACTCGAGCTATACGCATCCCACGACTCCATCATCATCATCGCCGTAGTCGTCGCATCATGACCGTCGCCTCCGTCTCTGCGTCATCCGTGAGCCCTCCTGCCTCCACTCGCACCTCATCACCTGGACCGGAACCGGGACCCCTGCTGGCGACACTGACGGGTGTTCAACATGCAAGCGCAACCGTTTTCGCCGCCTTCCTATTCGTGCACGTTGCAGCACCCAGTGTCTCGCTTCTTGCGTGCTCGCGAGATGCCTCCGGTGCAGCTGAATTGGCGAGCAAGACGATGGTGGGCGCGGCGTGCAAGCTTGCTCGACAGCCAGCAGCGCAGGAAGCTGAACGGCCCTTATCCGCACACCGCAGATTCTTGGCAGAGTCTACTACCAAACAGCGCTGACGGAGTCGATCTTTGTCTGGGCACCGCTCGCAGCGCATGTTGGCGCTGGCGTATTGAAGCGGCTCGTGCGGGCGTATTTCAAGTGGCAGCGACGGAGCCAGAGCACGTTCAGGCGCAGACAGAGCCGCAAGGGCAAAGAGAAACCGCAGTCGGCCGACGCGGACGATGACTCCCATGTTCACGGCGGCGTTAGCCCGTATACGCTCTCCACGCTGCGAGCCAGCTTCCCGCCCCTGACGCTGCACACTCTCAGCGGCTACGTGCTCTTCCCACTTGTCTTGCAGCACGCCGTCCTGAACCGCATCGTCCCGCGAGCATCGCACCCCCCAATCCACAGCCTGAGCCCGTCGGAGCTGGATTACACGTACGTCTCGTACGGCCTGCACGCTCACCCACTGCTCACGGGGGCGTTGTACGCCACGCTCGTGGGCGCCGGCAGTCTGCACGCTGCGCTCGGCGCCAAGGCCGTGTGGACGCGGCTGCGCATACGGATGGGGACGCGCGCAAGGGCAATGCCGTCGACAGGAACAGAATGCGCGGCCGAGCCCGAAGCAGGGGCAGAACAGACAGCGCAAGCCGTCCCAACGCAGCAACAGCAGCGCCGGCGACGGTGGAAATGGAGTGCAGAAGCCACCGCAGCGGGATCTGCTACGGTTGTCCTGCTTGCTGCGCTGCTGCGTCTGCGCAGCGAGGCGGCTGCCGAAGTGCAGGGCTTGCCGAGGAGCATGGTCGCACGGGTGAGTATGGGTCCGTGTTTCCTATCCTCGTTGGGCTCGCCTCGCCTCTCGCCAGCGCGCCTACGGCAGTGCTGTCGACGCAGAGCGAGAATAACAGCCCCCTTGCTCATATTTGTTTCATCGTTTGCAACCTTTTTCTTTTTTCGCAGTACACTGCCTGCTATAGCCTCGTATGGCCGTATAGTTCCATCCATTGATAGCAAGTCCGCACAGCAGTAGCAGCAGCAACAGCCGTCCCCGGTCCTGCGCCCTCAGGCCAGCGTTCGTGAGACAGGCATTCTCTATGCCATGATGATATAGCACGTATAATAGGATACAACACCCCTGCGCATGGGTTGAAGCAAGCAAGATGCAAAGCAAAGGAAAAACAAAGAGATGATGGATGATCGACGATGATGGGCTAGCTTCAGAAGGTCGAATGCCCCTGTCGTCGATATTGCTCTTAAGTGGGTTAGTCTTGCAGCAATGCGATGAGCTGGCTCAAGGTTCGAGTGACTGTTCGTAATTCTTTAATGTCACGATCGAGCGCCCCCGACACCTGCGAGCGCGTCCTCAACGTCCGCCTCGTCAGCATCCCCATTCGACGGCCCGCACAGATCGGCGATCGACACGCGGCGTGAAGGCGGCCTGCCCCCTCCCAGCCCACTACCTCCACCCCCACTACCACCAGCGGCGGCGACCACCTCGCCGCAAGAAGGTGCATCGCCCATCGTCGCGAAGCGCTTGTGCGCGCGCCCGTCGTTCATGTCGTCGGTGGGGCGCTTGAGGTCGCGATCGTCGCGCACGCGGTCCAATGGAGGCGGATGGAATTGGAACAGAGAGTCGTCCGGGCTGGTGCGCACCGAGGAGGATGGCGCAGCGCCAGTGCCTGTGGCGATGCCATTCACGTTGCCCCCTGCGGATCCTCGCGCGCGTGAGCGATCTGCCGTTCCGCCCATGCCCAGAAAGCCGACGGGGAGGCCACCACGCGAAGGCAAGCGGTCCTTTTCCAGGACTGCACCTGCCACAGAGCCACCAAAGACGGGCCCAGAAGCAAACGCGGGCGACTTGTTCATGAGCGCGAACGACGAAGATGCCGTGTGGAAGTCGAGCGCATCGCCGCGCGGGCCGGAGCGCGAGGGCAGCCTGTTTCCGAACGAGAGGCTGTTGGCGCGAGACGACGGAAGGCGGATGGCAGCATCACCTCCCACTCCCCCTGCGAGGCCGGAGATAGAGTTGCGTCCGCCGCCGCCGGCCGCAGCGCCTGTGGCGCCGATGCCGACTGCGAGCGGCTCGTCGCCTCTGCCGCCGGCACCACCGGCGGTGCCGGGGCGGCTGAGAGAGCTGAGCGGTGGCAGCGTCGGGCGGTCCATTGGCGAGCCGGGGCAGCCGTGGCTGCTGTTGGGCCGGGTGCTAAAGGGCGATATGCTCGGGAGACCGGGCGGCGCAGACAGGTGATCTGCGGCGCCAGAAGGCCCAGGCGCACCGGGTGGGCCGTACGCGCTGCCGTCGCCGGTGCTGTTGGTGCTCGGGCGCGAGGAGCTCGTCAGGCCGATCGAATGCGTGGGGAAGTGCGTGGAGAGCATGCTGGGGTAACTGGCAGGGTAGGACGAGTAGCCATTGTATCGATGGTCCGTAAAGCCATT